GTCATCAGCTCTCAACCTAGCCAACCATGTAGGGTTGCGAGCATAAAAGAGTGGGGAGGAAATTAACCATGTAAACCAGCATGAGCTCCTTGGAGGAAAGGTGAGATATACATGTAATGCAAAGAAAGAAAGAAAGAAAGAAAGAAAGAGAAAGAAAGAAAGAAAGAAAGAAAGAAAGAAAGAAAGACTGAATTTCTACCAGGGCTCAATACTAGAACCAATTTTCAGTAGCAGGGACAAGGCCTTGAACACATGAAGGCATAGTTAACAAAAGTGCATCTGAACATGTGAGCATGTACAGAGTACTTTTCTCTCCACCTGCTGGGCAACAGTTCTCTTGCCACAAAGCATTCACTTTCAGCAAGAGGTTGAAGTGTTTATCTAGGCTGAAAGATTCCACAAAAAGGCCATTCTCCTTTGAGGATCCCGTAGAAAGGAGTTTCAGCAAAGTGTGGCTTGTCCCACTGCTGCAGCACTAGACTGAGAGAAGCTGCACCCATCCAAATTCACCCCGGGCTCTTGCATTATCAACTAGAACTTGGTCTGCCCATATGCAAGAGATTTCCTCTCACCCACTGTAACAAAGGATAGCGTTAACTCATGTGCATAATGTGTGTGTGCCACCAGTGTGGTGCTGTCAGATGCAACCAGATGCATGCCTGGTGTCTCCCCACTGTTAGCAGTCCAACTAAGTTGTGCCTCCTGTCACATCCTAGCAAAGGTGATGTCAGGGAGACCACAGCATCGCATGAAAGACCCTTCTATGTCATGCAGTTACTCCAGTGTGCTTGATGTAACGTAGCCTAACACTGTGCTAAAACCTCTCATGTGCCCTTCCCAAAGAAGCAGAGACGTTTGGATTTTGCTTGCTGTCTGTTCTGCTCCCACGGCATGTGGCCACTCGCTTCCCTAGGCGGGTGTTTGTTCAAACCTGGGCTTATTGGTAAACAGCATCAAATGGGAAATGGCTTCATTGGAATGCAGAGCTCTTTTTAAACGTGATCAGAAAGCAGCTTTGTTAATGGTTTTGCTGTAAGGTTGCCAGATTGCATCCTGGAGGTGCCACTTTTACCTTCCTGGGTTCTGTCCCTCACCTTCTTCCCACTGACAAAACTCGAATGCTACTGGCTTTGGCACACAGAGGAGGAGGAGAAAGGAGAAGGCACAGGCCTTCCCACTGTACTGCTAAAGGTAAAAGAAACCTCTCCAGTTTACAGCCCAGCAATCTTACTGATGACTTTTTTGACTAACAGCCTCAGACACATCAAAAGATTGCATTGGAGATTGGTCCACTGGGGCAAAAGGGCCATTGCAGTCTACCCACAGCCATCTCCCACCTGCCCGCTGTCACAGTTACAGCGGGTGGCTCTGCCTGTCACTGGCTCTACCTCTACCAGCTAGAGAGCTTGTATGACAAGCTAGGATGCAAGAACTTAGTTTACTGGCCCTTATGTAAGATATGTGTCATGTTCCAGTCTTTAAAATTAAATTGTTCAAAAGAAAAAAAAGGCAGGCAGTTCACCCAGTGTTTTGTGGAATATGGTGAGATCAGATGGGAGATTTGATACATTTTGCAGCATTTATTTTTATTTAAGTTGGGGTTCTGATGTTTCATCAGATGAGCCTTTGGTCTGATCCAGCAAGGCTCTTCTCGTGATGTATGTCTGTGCATGTGTTGGCGGGAGGGATTAGTAGAATGCCTGCTGCTGTCCTTCCTCACAAGCTATATCAAGCACCCTCTGGTGTATGTTCCTTGCTGGACAGGTGAGCACTGTGCAGCTGTTGCAGGGGGTGAGCGCTGTGGGATTAGTAGCTTGAGCTAGGGGCAGGGCTGCTTTGGGAACGTGCATTATCATCAGCGGTGGCCAAGCGAGATCACAGGCTCCCAGCCAAACCCCCTTGCTTTGAGCTTGCCAACGGATGCTGAGTTCAAAGGGCTGAGGTGTGATTGATGTGTGAAGACAATTCTCCCCCCTGCTTTCCCCAGCAGCATGCGCGCGCCTGCACACACACACTCACTCACTCCTCCTTTCCCCAGCCTGCAAAGTGGTTGTGGAGAATGCTGATGGGAACAGAGGGATCCCACATGGGTTTAGGAAGAGGCCAGAACATTTAAGGACTGGGGAGGCAGGATGAAGTGTGTGAGGGCACTGAGCTTAGACCTTACCATGAGGCAGCTCCAGCCAACTGGGCTAGATCAGCCCTTCTGAAGAAGGCAAACCGCATGTTTGCTTCAGCATACCCTCCAACATTTCTCCGATGAAAATAGGGACCTCCTAAGGAAAAGTGGGACATTCCGGGGTCAAATCAGAAACCGTGACGGTTTCTGTAAATCCCAGACTTTCTCTGGAAAATAGGGACACTTGGAAGGTCTGCTTCAGGACTGAGAGGATCAGACAGATTTTGCCTCTGATACAGATACAAATGAGAAGGAAACACGAATGGGGTCATGCTATCAGGATGCAGTCTCAGCAGTGCCGGGAACTGATGAGACTTACATCTCATGGATCAGGTGTGGGAGCAGCAACCACACATTGAGACCCAGGGGCCAAGGATCAGTTTAAAAGGCACATTGAGAGATTAGTAGGGGTAGCCATTTGGCAGGGCCAAGGGAGAAAAGATTGAGTTAGAGTGCATGTAAGGGAGAAAAGAAGAGAGAGGAATTAGAATGCCAGCAATGGCACAGGATCTAGCCAGAAGTGTGAGGAGGACCCAGGAGAACTAGAGGCAGTAGCAAGTGGTGGGGGAAGTCATCTTCATAATTTGCACAGGACACAAAATGTTTCTAAAGTTGCTCCTGAACAGAATATTCTAGACTCTCTCTAGCAGATCAGATGTAAGCTTTCATATCAAACTCACAACTTAACTGTGACACAGCACCAGTGGTCAGTATAGTCAGCAAGAGTCCTCCATCAACAGTTGTTTCAAGACTGAAAAGGGAATTCTCTGCACTCATATGGAACAGATTAGCAGAACAGATTAATCCATACCCAGTGGAGGCCGGCCCATGAGGATGAATGAGGCACTGCCCTACCAGCCTCAGTCTGCCATCAGCCAGCTCCCACCTGCCTGCCTTCTAACTTCCACCCCGTCCAGGGGGTGGCACTGCCTGCCAACTTCCTCTTCCTTAGTCTTTCCTATGTGGAACTCAACCAGAGAGACTAGAATAACTTGGCTCTGCCCGTCATTGGCTCTGGCTCCACCTATTGTTGGCCTTCCTCCTTACCAATGTTCACGGAGACCAGCCACCACCACTATGCAGACCCATAAGCAGAGAGTTGAAGGAACTTGAGGCACCAGGCCAAGACAAGCAAGCTCACAGGGCTAAAGGATGAGCTACACTACTTAAGACTTTGTAGAGGCATGGAAAACAAAGACGGCCAGCCTATGCAGATGTCTCTGTGTGTACATGTACATGCACATATGTTTCTTCTGGACAGAACAGCAATAAGACCCAGCTGAAGGCAAAACTATTCCTGAGGTTGACATCTTTTTTCTTGACAGCAGCTCTGGGTACTTCCACACAACACTTTATTGTGGCCTCTGTGCAGCATCCACATCAACATGACGGCAGCCTCATCAAAGTGCCACCCCATATTTTCTTGCTATTAGATTAGGATTTACCGTTTCGGTGGAAAATCTGATAAGTAAAACAAACAAAATTTAACAGGCACTCTGCTCCCGAGTTCCCCTTGCAGCTTGAGCACACCTTGAGCACACTGAGAGCTTACAGAAGAAGGGGTTGGCAAGGTAAGCTTCCAGAGGTGCCAATATTGTAGTGAGCATTGTGGTAGACTTTTCTCCCCTCCCCAATTCATCCATCTAGAGGCCCTAGAGAATCTCGTGTGCCCCCTCCATAGATAGAAAGGCCTTCCAGGTGCTGAGGTTCCTCCCACAACCTTTGGCTGAGTGCAAATTAAATAAATAAATAAAAGCTGACAGCTCCAGAATGTGAAACCAAGATACCACCCACCACCAACCAACCTGTAGCGCTCTGGAGCCTTATGAAACAAGGTTGCAGGGAGCTCCTCCCTGGCGAGGCCTGTGCACCGTGCCCCTGGCTAGACTGGTGCACCCTGCCCACTCTTCCCTTCCCTTCCCGTCTGGTGTTCCTTTTGCAGAGCCTCAGGGCCAACATTATAGGCAGGGTGGGGATTTATCAGACAGCACCAGATACCAATAGGGTGACTCATTGTTACCCAGCCCATGCAGGGCAAAGCGGGCAACAAGGGCTGTTTAGGATGCAACAGCTTGCTTCTCACCAGAATCACCACCACACAAGCACAGGCCCTGAATTCTTTGCACATTCTGCTCATATGTTGGGACCCCAGGCTGCCCACCTAAAAGGGTTGTTGGGCATTCGTAGCCAGCAAGCAAGAGCACCCAGTCTCAAGTCATTTCTGTCTTGGAACAATGTAACTTGGGACTCTTTCCAGGGACTTGCTACTGCCCTATTGGCGTGTGGGAAGCCTTTCCCTTACTAAATAATCATTCTGCTCCTTTTGTGCTTTTCCAAATTAGGAAATGTTGAGGTCCTCCCCAGTGCCACCCCTGTTCCCCTTTCCTAAGTACAGCAGATTCTTGGACAGGATTAGAGACACCACTGCAGCCTTGATCCAGCAAACATTTTCTGGCTGCAGCAGCAGTCCTCAGAATTTGCAAGTACCGTGGCAAACGCCCCACACAAACAATCTCAGCAGCCCATGCATGTTGAGACCATAAATACAACATTCCCAGTGTGAAGGCTGCCTGATGGATCACCCATCAGGATGAGTGCCATGGAGCTCAACTGCTGAGCTTTGGGTGGAGAGACTGGCATGTTTCTTTCCAGGGGGCCCCCATGTGCTCTTTTTCCTGCAGTTCCATTTTGCAGGTTTGGCATAAACCAAAGCACGCACGTGTGAGCTATTGTGAGATGCCATGCAAAGCAAGTAGACATCCCTAGGCTTCACCCAACAACAAATCTCATGTCTCCATCATTACACCCTCAGACACACACCATCTCTGATTCACTTTTATTCTCACAATAATAAAATAATTTACCAACCACAGTTACCATCATACTACATGCCTACAGTGCCTGTATGGGACACTGGAGTCAGAGGTCTCTGTGCCCCCACCCTTCAATCTCTTGCTAGAAACATTTATTTTAAACAAACTCAGCATTTTTAATTTCTCTCTCTTTCTCTCTCCTGAATAACAAAGATTCTAACGGCAACCAAAACAGGTCTTGAATTGGTCCAGCGTGAAATGTGGCAGCTGGTATAGCTCAGTCGGTAGAGCACAAAGCTCTTAATCTCAGTGTCGTGGTTTTGAGCCCCATGTTGGGTGAAAGATTCCTGCATTTCAGGGTGTTAGACTAGATGACCCTTGCGGTCCCTTTCCAACTCTACAATTCTATGATTTCAACCCAGGATTTTAAAAAAGAAAAAACAGGTATTTTGTTCTGTAAGGGCTGCCTGCCACCTGAATGATCCCAGTGCAGGATTTGTAAGATACATCACGGGGGGAGGACTGAGTGAGGTTCTGCAGAAGGAACCTATGTAGGTGTCTCCTGGGCCTTCGAACCACAGCTGGAGATGCCAGTGGCCAGAAGCAGCTGGAGTTAATGTCAAGGATTCCAGCTAAGCCCAATGGCGTGCAGCTCTTTGTGCTTCAGAGGTGCCAGGCTCGCGACTAACACCCATGTACAACCGAACCCCTTGAGTGCTCATGCACAAGTCAGAAAGGAGGAGAGGAAGTGCCAGGGAGATGATGTGAAACACAAATGTGCCAGGCTGCCCAAGCCGTGCCTCCTGCTTTTTGCAGGGCTCCACTGTGCCCAGTAGAAACCGCAGAGTCTCTGGAGCGTCCAGCAGGGGCCACGGTCTTCATTTGCAGACGCTGACCCACTCTGTGAGCCGGCACTCCTCGCAGGCCACGAAGCAACACCAATGGAACTTGCAGTTGCATCGCTCGCTGCGCGTCTGCCGCAGGATGTTGTGTCCCCGCCCGCAGCACAGGCTCTCGCAGTTGTCCATGCCTGGGCTGGTCTTGTTGCATAAGCGCCCTTGCGTCCCCATGGAGTCCAGTGCCGGCTCCCGCTCGCAGAAGTCAGGTGACTTCTCAAAGTAGATCAGGTCGCTGATGCCGGCCCGGCGCCTCTGGCGGGCGTGGCTCAGCTCCATCTGCCCTGTGTTCCTGTTGTGGGGCCGGATCAGCATGGCCCCATAGAAGCGCTCCTTGAGTAGGGAGCCCACCAGGCGGAACTCAGGGGTCACCTGCCAGCACGTCTTCAGTTGGCAGCTCCCCGAGGTGCCGTGGCACTTGCATTTCCTCCGCATGTTCTCCATCACCACCTGCCAGGGGCACAAGCAGACAGTGGTTAGCAGAATTCAGCTAAAGCTTTGCCTTGCACTGCAGTTTTGTATTCCCCTCTAGCACACCTTGTTCCCAATGGGCAGCTTGGCTTTGCCATCCCTTGGAACCAGTGTATGCTGCTGGGGCAAAGGGCTCTCTATGCAGTTTTGCCCAGTTGAAACAAGTGGCCACACAAAGGGTTCTCCAATAGCTTGCTTCATCTTGCTGGGCCAAGGAGAGCCACCAGAACTCAAACTGCTACTTTCACGAAGCCGGATAGCACAAATCTTGAATACAGCAGCAGCCCAACTTTCCAGGTTGAAAGAACAGGACTAAAATTGTATATAAAACATGGCTAACACGCATACTAAAAACAAATATAAACAAAAGCATCATTACAAACAGTGTTAGTATCAATAACTGTTTAACTCAAATGTAACTGCAGGCTCGTCCACACTTCCGCTTGTGCCGTCCCTAAGAAAGCACAGATCCCATCAGTTTTCCACTTGACCCACTCCTTTCCAAGGAAAAACCCGCTCTTTAGCAATAGAATGGAACAAATGGCAATCTGGGGGAAACCCAAATTTCCATTTGCTCCAACTGAGCACTAAAGAGTAGTTTTCCCTAGGGGAAAACAGCAGAGCAAGAGGAAGTATGGATTAGCCCTAAATCATGTGTCTGGATGGGCTTGCCAAAACATTTTTTTTTCCAGACAGGTATCAAAGCGTTCATCCGCACTTCCCCTTCCTTTGCTCTTTCCAGGCACACTGTGATTTAAAGCTCCATGTCCAAGTGCCCTTTCCCCTGTCCCTTCTGGAACTTTCCCTGTGAAAACCTGCTCTTTAAAGCCCAATTGGAGCAAACATCAATTTGTGGAAAACCCGAATTAATGTTTGCACTGGTTCAACTTTAGCAGGCAGAGAGTTCCAGAGTCACACTGACACAGACGCCACACCAAAGTGCAGAATTAACATTCTACGGCACTTGTAAAAAGTGCAAGTAACACAGATCAAAGTGATCCAGTAGGCACATAGAGGGAAAGGCTTAGGAAAATTAGTCCCAAGTTGTTAAGGGCTCTAACAGCTTGAACTCAGCCTGGTACATCTGAATTTCAATAATGTGATTAATCATTGTCATCTATAACGGAGGGAGGAGAGGTCCTTCCGCATGTGGGATGTAGGTGTGAGCGGCATTTGCCCTTCCCAGGATTCCATATAAATAGATCCAAACTGTTCCCAGTTGCTATGGTGTTCATTAAGAGGTGGGATGAGGATAGTTTGTTCAACCCTGTATGGGTGCAGCTGTTGTACCTGGTTACATGCAGCGACGTGCGGTCAGGGATTACACGGCTGCAAGAGGGTAGGGCTGTTTGCAGAGTCAGAATGAAAGATGAAGCTGATGCTCTAAAATTATGCATCAGTAACTCAGATTTAGACAACATTCATATCACAGGACCTTTTCATTTAAAAAGAAAGAGAAAAAAGCTGGCTTTTTAAAAAGGTACTTATCTCCCCCTCCCCAACACACTTTATTTTGGAGTCTTGCTGCGAAGTACACAGGGCACTAAGGTTCCTTTCTGTAACTATAAAGGCAAGAAATGTAAAAGCTGCCTTTCCTGATTTCTGCAAGAAAAAACTAAAGCTAAAATGCAATTTTAAAAAATTGAAGCTGCAAATATGCACAGCACAATGTGTAATCACCCCTCCCTCTCAAATGGAAAGGTGTGTGTGTATACTACTTCCAAGTATTGAGCAACTGCATAGACAAAGGCCACAGAAGAGACATTTGAGTTTTGTTTTGGATTCCAAATTTCTGGTTCTGCGAGAAGAAATGTTACTTTCAAGATCCTGATTTGGTTTCCCAAGCTCTAACTATTGCAACTGTGTTTATTCCGAGTTTTACTTGATCTGAAGCTCCATCTGGGACTCTGGACTGAAATGATTATTGTTATTAAAGTGGGCCCTGCCCAAGTTTATCATCTGAAGATCAAAACGAGACACATTAGGGAGGAAAGAAAAGAAAAAGGGGAAGGAGCAGGGTCAATCAAGACTCTTCAGAGTAAAAACAGAGAAAATGAGTTGTTTGCCAGGTGGAAGGGCGAGAAATGGGATCCATGCAGGGAACAGAGAGTGCAAGTTTAGGACTGATTAAAGGGCTGGAAACTGTAGATAGAAGGGTCTAAGCAGCAATGCAGAGAGAAAGAAGAAAGGATTGATACAGAAGAGGAGAACATTGAAATATCTGAATATACTCACAAGAGGTTTAAAGCTAAAACAGGGAGAAAGACAGACTGCTGCAAACTCATCAGGATAACCAGCATAAATGATCTCTCTCCAGTACAGGGAAGAGCTGCCTACTCACTGTATGGCCAACCATCTCCAGAATCCTGAGGGAGCATGCTTTTGCCCACCTGCCTGGTACCTATACTGAATGTTCAAATGTGTTCTTGGTACTAGAAAAAAAGTCCCGAAACTGAGATTCACCGGGGATGGGGGTGGGAGTGGAATCACCAACTAGAGAAGGGATGGAGGAAACTGGTTCTCCAGCTGCTGCTGAATTGCAACATCCATCATCCTTGACCATTGGCCACGGTGACTGGGGCTGTCAGGAGTTCAGTAACATCTGAAGGGCCAGAGATTCCCTGCCCCTGAGCTAGAGGGTCCGGCTGTAGCATCTATCTCATATTATGTTTGGATCCAGCTAAGATGACTGGTTTGGCACTGGGATGCAGAAGACCTTGGGGCTAATAGAGAATTAGATATATTGTACAACAGAAGCTTCCACTTGATTGGCATGTAATGAGGCCCTGAAGGTTAAGTTAACTCTCTGTTTGACCTTGCATGTATGCTTGGAAGGCCTAGGTCAGGTGTGGGGTACCTTTGGCCCTCCAGCTGCTGCCGAACTACAACTCCCATCATCCTTGGCTATGGATCACACATGCTGGGCTGATGGGAGTTGTAGTTCAGCAACATGTGGCAGGTCAAAGGTACCCCATCGCTGGTCCAAGTATATTGGGAGGAGAATGCCTGAAAAGAAAGCAACTGGGAGGGAGGGTCAGCAGTGGCTTTGGTGTAAAGGGCAGGAGGCTAAGCTAACACTCATGAGTTCCTCTAGGAATAAAGATGGGCAACTTGGAAAGAAGCACCCAAGGTGTGATTCCCTGCATAAGATCATTTTAAATAAGTGGAACAAGCCTCAGCCTGGGATGGCTTAATGCTGGATTCATCCTGGCTCAAGATGCGTGGGTGAAAAGACTCGTGAAGGATGTCCTTTTGCTGGCTTCCTGGGCCGAAGTGCCCTTGTGTGAGGTTGCTTCTACCCAAGGAAAAGCCCAAGCACAAAGGTGGTGGGAGGTGCTGTGGAGAGAGGGAATGTTCTTTATCCAAGTTTGGATAGGTTGCTAGGCAGAGAAGCCTACTTGCTGCTTGAATGCAGCTCACCCATCACATGCCCATCTAAGATCTGGAGGGTACAGGATTATGGCCCCCTGTCTGTTATGTGTACTGAGGCCTGGAGCAGTGGTGGAGTATGCTTGTACCTCCCCAACCGTCAGGCAGGCATGTTCCAACCAGGGAAGAGGTGACTGCCTCCAGCCTGGGAAATCCCGTCTTCCTAATGGGTGGGCGAAGGCAGGAGAGAGCTGGGACTGAGAGAGTAAACTGATGCCACTTAGCCCAGACACCACTATTAAAGGGGCAAAAGCCCTGCCCTCTTTGGAATCTGGCCACCCTACACCATATCTATAGTTTCTGGGGCAGATCCTACAAATGGACCCACATAGTCTCTTTGCCTTTCACTGCTGCTTGATGGCATGCAAGAACACAGCTCCACCTTATGAATTTCTGTCTGCCTCAAATGGCTATTCAAAGCACAACGTCAGGAAACAACAATAACTGTTCTATCTTGTGTCTGTTCTTGGAACAACAGGCAAGAGTGAACAAGATGGGGGCCCTGGGAAGCCCAGCTGCAAGTCTGTGCCTATCTATTTAACCTATTTGAGGGGCAATTGGCAACACACCATTTCTCAGCATGATATACCTCGCTGGGAAAAATAGAACAAATGCTGTAAAGCTCTTTATACACTGTTCTTGCTACTGGCTTGGACTTACGGCAGTCTTTTCTGCTCTGTTTGCAAGCAGGAAACTATTAATATTAGCACACCTGGGAGGCATTCCAATACATAGTAGATTCTACCATAAGCGAATTAAGAACGTTATCAGGAAAACTGCCAAGGTCTGTGTGTGTGTGTGTGTGTGTGTGTGTGTGTGTGTGTGTGTGAATGAAACAGTTTCCTACCCACCAAGCCAAACTCAGTGTACCAGTGAGGTACACCTACCAGGTGTTTTGACAATCATCTTGCTCCTGCAGTCCCAGGTAGGGGCAAAAACAAGTGTTATCAGGCTTCTGGCAACCCATAGTACACTTTTTATGGCAAGTCACTAAGTGTGCAGACGGGCTCCTTTTAGCTATATGCCACCTGCTCCTGCATGCATGCTATAGTAATTGTCAGGCAAGTGCATGTGTAGAGGGAGAAAATGGGACTTTGTTTATTCTGCACAGTGGTACCTCGAGTTACAAACGCTTCAGGTTACAGACGCTTCAGGTTACAGACTCCGCTAACCCAGAAATAGTACCTCAGGTTAAGAACTTTGCTTCAGGATGAGAACAGAAATCATGCTCTGGCGGTGCAGAGGCAGCAGGAGGCCCCATTAGCTAAAGTGGTGCTTCAGGTTAAGAACAGTTTCAGGTTAAGAACAGACCTCCGGAATGAATTAAGTTCTTAACCAGAGGTACCACTGTATATAATTGTGTACCAAAAGTCCTGTTTCCATTGGACACAACTTTCAGCATATTGGATTGCGCTATCTTGACTTCTGTTCACACAAGTTTAGCACAGAGCCCACACCCATTGTCTCCTACTCTTTGGCCAGATAGCCAGGCATTTGCCTGGTTTATTTCTTGCTTACTCTGGACTGGTTCAAATATCCAGAAACAGCATTGAGTGCAGCAGGACATAATAGCACATGGCTTTAAGTCTGAAGGGGGTAGGTGTGGGTCTGTGCAGTAGGTCACCTTCACTTCTAGCAACCTGAGACAGAAGTGCTTTAAAAAATAAGATGCTCCATATTCAAGGGCAGTATAACCCTGATTAATGGGTGCTGGAAGCAAGGAATAGGGAGAGGCTAGAGCCTTTTTAGAAGCTTGCCAGGGTGACCTGGCTGGTGACAAGAGGACTGGACCAGATGGGACTTTTGGTCTGATCCAGCAAGGCAAGTTATGTCCTTCATGGGTGCCGCTCTCGCCTTGGTAGCTCAGAGTTTTCCTAATGCCAGCAATGCCAGTTGCCACAGATCCATCCCTTAACCAAGCACAGCTGCAGCCCGGACTGCCTTGCCAAGGAAGCTCCTCCATGCCTCTTAGGGAGACAAAAGGGGCCAGGGCAGGCACACGATATCAGCCTGCAGAGCTAGCCAGTGCCATCTCCCCACCAAGTGCTAGCCCCGCTTGCACAGATTGGATGGCAAAATCAGCCACACACACCCCACACATGCCGAAAGCAGCAAGCACCACCCCCTGCTATGCAGGAACACTGTAATAAAGGAAATTAGCACCAAATTACAGAGCACTAATAGGCTGGAGCCATTATCCCCCTTGCAACCCACCTAGTGGTTTGGAAACCATTTCCTGTGTGCTTCCCCTACTGGGGAAGGGTGCTGGGGAACAAAGTTCCCATCCTGCCCAAGGCAGGGGCTTCCCGAAGGAACCTGTGGGAGGACAATGTTGCTCCCCCTCAGAGAAGCCCTCCAGAGACATCTTTCCTAAATCAGAGCTCTGTCTATACCATGCAGAGGGGATAACAAAAGGTCATTCACAGCAACCAGGCAGGGGCATGTCTTCCTCTCCCCCACCTCCACTCACTCTCCAGCCCATTACGCTGAGCTTGAAAGTACAACTGTTCAAAGGACACCTAATCTCAAAGAACAGCTGCACAGTACAATCCTATTGCATGTTTACTTGGATGAAAATCCCACCAAGTTCAATGAAACTTACTTCCAAGTAAGTGTATATATAGGATTGCAGCTGTAGTGGGGTTTTTTCTTTTTTCTTTTTAAAGAAACAAACCACGAAGAGTCTTTTCTCTGGCAAAGGATCTACTGCAATTCTGTCAGCAAGGGACAGTTTCTGCAAGTGGGTGGAACACCCACCAGCACGTTCCAGGAAAGGCTTCGTAGGAGAAGCCAGAATGTGGGTCTCCTTGAATAGTGCTGGTAGGAGCCAAGGTTTAGTTTCTTCACTCCCATTATTCTACCCTTTAGGTCACAAAGAAAGCATCCGGTGGAAAATTGGTCTCAAGAGGGAGAAGGGCAGAGGGAATCAAAATGCTTTTTTAAAGAAAAAGATGCTTAACATGGTAAGAAATTGGGGACAAGTATCCCATCATCATGGGCCAGTTCTAAAAAATCCTATTAGGGCTCCTCAAAATATGCCTAGTTTGTTCATATTAAGTAGAATGGCCACTTTATTAAATTAAGTTGCAACTGAGATATGTCCCATTCCTCCCTCCCAGGTCTCCCCTCTAAAACCCACCATAAGAACAAGCCCTTTCTATCACCTTGAGGGCCAGGTTACAGGTTTGAAAGGTCTTTTCTGAAGAATTCTCTCTTGTGGAGCACGTCCTATGCCAGTAAACTCCAGTGAGGGTAACCCAATGATAGCATAAGGTAGGCAGCAAAGTGCTGTGATCAGTGCCCACTGGCTAAGTCTGATACACCATTTCAATACACTGTAGAAATACTACATTGGGGCACTGTGGGCAGCGCAGTCCTTGAACCCAGCTGGGGTACCTGGGTGTCAATGTAATGCAAACTGTGCAGCTGCCATGTGTCATTGCCAGGCCCAATCACCATTCTTGGATATATGCCTCTTTGACAGGGCCTTTTGTGGCTCCTGTGCTGCCTGGATCTTACTCTGCTGTCTCCTGATAGTCTTTTCATTGCACGCCTATCAAACACATTGATATCATGTACACACAAACACACACACCATCATTCTCCTGCTTCAAAGCAGTTTCAGGTTAGTCCTAAGAGATGAAAGAAAGCCACACATTTTGGCTGGATATAGCAGTCAAACACTGGTTCTAGCAACAAGGTGAGCCTTTCTGCTCCACAGGAGTAAAATAAGTGCATTCTTTTTAATTGCCACTGGTCAAAAGAGCTTCACAAAGCGAAGATCAATGGGCAAGGTGCATTTGTAGCCAGTGTTCAAACTCCCATTGTTCTAGGCACATTTTGCAACAGAGAATTTCATTAGGGTAAGCAGTTTCTGAGCTCTGGGCGCAGTACTGTGCCTAAGATTTCAGATTAAAACTGCAGAGTGGAAGGAAAGGAAGACCTTTTTCTGCCTCCCCACTTCCAGCTATTGTGTGAAGACTGGAGAAGAGACCCTCTTAAAAATATTATGGGGGTGGGCAGGGAAAGGACTAGACCATGTGAAAAATGAACATAGTATTTTAGTTGCAGTTCATTCATTTTCAGCTTTGTATTCTTGTTATAAAAAAGGGTGCCTAGACATTCTGTTGTTGTGCCCATAACCTAGGTTTAAGGTGCCATTTAGCTTCTAGCTTTCATATCTCAGTTTCTAACACTGTTTGTAGCAATCCCTCCTTCCCAGCTGTTGGACCTTCTTTGCCAACCAAGTTTACGCAGTTACTGGGGCGATGGAATAAAAACTTGCCCACAATATCTTTGCTTACTTTATTTTTAAATAATAATCAAACAGCTGCAAAACACCTCTTCTCAACACCACTCCTCAACAGTATTCTATAACAGTACACACTACACCACTTGATCAACTTAAATACAGTTTTCAAATAAACAATTACCCTATCACATCGCTGCATTCGGTGCAGTAGGTAATTAGTTAAATTGTTAATTAGTTGCTAATTAGTTAAATTGTTAAGATACCTCAGGTGTGCTAAATTGTGAAAAGCTCACAGATGTTCTGCCATGCAGGTTATAATTACAAACACACACACCTGAGTAGCACCACTGACCACATCAATATTAAGAAAACCCAACACCAGCTCCTAACACTGATACTGGATCCTAACATGGGACTCACTCTAACATCTTTTTTATAGAGACACTTTCTGCCTCCTTGTTTTGCTTCCAGTGTTTTGAAAAATGGGTAACCCTTTGGCGGAACACACTCAAGGCTTTCCTTGCTGGTCACTAGAATTAAATTTCTGGCTGCCATTAGCAGTCAGATTTATCGACTCTTGGGGATCCAGCTCCTTTCCTCACTGAAGCATAATATCTTATACGTCATAATATATTATACATCACGTATCCCCCCACAGATTTTTGATTTATATTTTTTTTAAAAAGGAGATTCCATTATCAGTCTGGGCATATTGTTCCATCCAAGTATCCCATACATAACCTCGATTTCCCTGGATTTCAAAAGCACTGATTCTTGTACCAACCTTGGTGGAACAATGGTTCTCCTAAATGCACAGATACAAAGCAGTGGCAGAGTGGTCTGACTCTGATGGATTAGGCAGAGAGTGCAGGGCTCCTTCCCCCTTGTCAAGGAGCCAAAAGGTCAGAGTTAGGGCAGGCTTGTTTACAGGAGAAAGGCTTAACCTGTATTAGCAGTCATTAACCTGGATTAGATTTCTCCTATATCAACACAGCAAGGGCATTTGAACTGCCGATTTTACCTTTCCATCTCAAAGGAATGATAGAGAGAAAGGAAAACATTTCAGGCCAGAGATTTTCAACCAGTGCGTTGTGGCACCTTGGGGTGCCTTAAATGATGGTTGGGGTGCCTGCCTCTGTCCCTCTTTCCTTGCTTCCCTGCTTCCTCTGATGCCCTCTCATGTCTCTGCCTCTCAAAGGCTTGTACTGCTGTTTGTTGCAGCAGCCCTTGGCAGTGCTGGCATGAAGTGGTCTTGCTTAACACATACGTGAGTTAGTTCTCAGTGGTATATATCAGTGGGACAGTCACTTGCTCTTCCAATGGATTCTTAAAACAGTCCTATTGGACCAACTCCCCAGCTCACTGCATACCTGCTGATTGTGTGAGAGGACTCCTGCACCTTTTACGATTTACACAGAAGGCCAAGCTTCACCATGTATGGCTTTTCACATCAAAGTCATGCAGAGGCAGAAAAACCACCCATGACCCCTTCTAGAAAATTCTTGTAAGGCACTGGAGCACTTTCAGGATCTGGATGTGCCAGCCTTCAGTACTTGTAATTGATGAACTCATATAAATAGAAGTTGGCCCTATACGACTGGACATCTCTCTTGTATACCTTACTTTGAGATTACTTATAAGTAACATGACACAGTTCATGGGCTTCCTTCTATCCTAATGTGATGTATCTCAAGTACTGATGTTCACTGCGGCTGACTTTATAGTTAGGAATGGTGAATCCAAAATAGAGTTCAATTTACCATACATACATTGTGGCCACTTCACGTAATTGGTACTTTAAACATATATCATAAAATAAACTGATGAGCAAAAGACTGAAGGCTGTTATGATGCGCAACAATCCCAAATTACTGCAGATTGTCTTCTGAGTTCAGCGATGCAATTTTTAGGAACATTTCTTTTTAGGATGCAGACTGAGAGGTAATAGAGGAAGTGAATGTGCTGGGAGAAGTCATTTTAAGGTAACAAGCTTTTTTGTCTGCAGTCATGCATCTATATTATTTAATTTGCAATGTTAAGCACTGCTCAGTTTCCACTTGCATATACTACCCTTGAGGATGTCTGGTGCACTAAGCTATAATTAGAACACTATTTCTCTTAAATTACAAAAAAAAATGCATTGTTAAGTAATCTTTCTTTCTAAAATATGGAACACATTATACTAGTGCTTGAACACCTACATTGGCTTCCTGCTGCTTTCCAGGAACAATTCAAAGTGCTGGTTTTGAATTTTGACCTAAACAACTGAAGTTAAAATGAAATTAAGGTGTCTCCAATGCTTACTTCTACACCTGCATAGAGTGGTCACAGATTACAGACAGCTCTGTTCACAGGTATCAAGTGCAGCCAAAAACTATTTGTGCTGAAGAGCTTTGTCTAGCAATGATAGTAGTACAGTGGTGTCCAAACTTTTTTCAAAGAGGGCCAGATTTGATGAAGTGAAGGGCCGTGAGAGCCCACCAAAGGGCCGACCAAAGTTGTTGACCTTTTTTTAGGATTTTACCCCAGGAAATAAACTGCCACAGGGGCCAAATTAGGCCCCTGAAACGGACTTTGGACATGCCTGCCTTAAGAGGTCCTCCAATCAATCATCTTGCTGCATAAATTAATCCATCCAAATGCTTGCCTAACACTTCGCTTAGGACTTCAAACTATGCCGTCTTCAGGTGCAGATTAGGCTAAGCGATTCGGACATGCCTGCCTTAAGAGGTCCTCCAATCAATCATCTTGCTGCATAAATTAATCCATCCAAATGCTTGCCTAACACTTCCAGACTGTTGCCGTTTTCAGGTGAGATTCAGGTAGGATTCATATACCATCAGGATTCAAGTGGCATTGATGAAAGCAATGTGGGATAGATATAGACTTGTGAGCGCATTACTACCAAAGAGAGGTCATAATTTGATAGAAAATTGGCTTCAGGTGGAAAATCAAAGTTGAAACAGAACTGCTAGATCCCAAAACTAAACACTTTCAAGAATGTATTACTTGCTGCTAATATGGAATACTCAGGACGAAACGGTAAATCTGCATGATTAATGGCACAGGATGTTGGATAACATTATGTTTGCTGACTGGGAACGGTTATGGACCACAGTACAAGTTTACAGCATGTAATGCTTTAAAGAGAATATAATGAAAATGTGTACAGGTGGTACATGACCTCAAGCTTGCAAAATCTACCACTTGCCGAAATAAATGCTGAAATGAGGAAACTGAGGTACATTCTTCACCTTGTGACGTGCTCAAAGATCAAGGCCTTCTGGGAAGGATATACATGAGCTGAAAAGGTATTTAGCATACCTTCTAAGAAACCAGGTCTTTCTGTTTGCATGTTATTAGAAATGGGTGCATCAGATCAGATAGGTGTACCTATACAATGCAGGTGAGCAATCTGCAACTCTTGGCCCAACATCTTATGAGTGGCAAATGGGAAAAACAGGTGGAAAAGGACAAGGGGGAGGGAGAGAAGTGGGTGTCAAAAAGACAGAAAGGGAGTAGCTGCACCCACTTCTGACTACTGCTGTCTGACAGATTACTCCCATGGGAATGTGACCCTCAAATGTGTCCATCAATAGAAAAAAGTTGGCCCTCCCCAGCTGTACAGCTTAGAGATGACTGCACAATTTTTGCTAGGCTTACTTCCACTGAAAATGTTCATTGCCATTTTCTTCCCTTAGCAATTAACTTCTTCATCCATCTTTTGTTATTATAAAACCACTTTCTAGATGCAGGTAATGAATTAGTAATAGTAACTCTCACTGGATTTTCCTGTAGAACTATTAGTTGTGGGGGAATAAAGAGGCTTGAACCTAGCTCAGATCATGGGTGGCCACCCACTCAAACTGTTCAGAATTTTAGCATTCAAACCTAAATCAGCAGAATGATGTGCTTGACTGAATCAAGCTTTTCTCAAAACCTCACAAATGCTCTTCTCCAAGATGGGGGTTACTGCACTGGCTGATCTACATCTCAGTATGTGCCATGCAGGGAAAAAAGATTCTTTGACACCTTAAAAACTAAAATATATTGTAGCATAAGTTTTGATGGGCCAGAATCTACTTTGCCAGATGCATGTACAGATAGTATCTCTACTACCTGCAGCTCAATGGTTTCTCAGTGAAAACAAATATTCTGAATACAGAGCAATTTCAGAGATGTGCATGCAGATCATTAAGCAGATCAACAGTTTTAATTATCATGAGCTACTTTTGTGCAAGGAGACTGTGTCTGTGTGTTCACAAGAACAGGGTTTTAAAAGTATGTTACAAAGAGCTGACTGTGGCAACACCAGCTGCCACTTTACAGGCTCCATTTCACAAGGCAGTTTACACCAGGAAAATATAGTGCTGGAACTGGTCATTGTACAGTTTGTGCATGTCAGATATGCATACATTTTAGCTAGTAAATTTTAGACAAATTCAGGGCTTCTAGCCATGATGGAGGCTATGCACTGCCTCCAGTGTTATAGGCCACATGCTTCTGAATACCAGTTGCTGGAAACTTCAGGAATGGAGTGTTCTTGTCCTCAGGTCCTGCTTGCAGGTTTCCCACAGGCATCTGGTCACCCACTGAGAGAACAGGATGCTGGACCAGATGGGCCATTGGCCTGGTCCAGCAGGCTCTTCTTATGGCAAAAGTGAAAACATGGTCTTCTATATTTACTTTAAGAATTTGCTCCCTTGTGCCACTCATGAAGGTATCAAGGTATGAAAACCATCCCTATGTTGGGCAGGTTGTTGCTGCAATTCTGGAGCCAGATCTATGATCACTTCTTATGGAAAGCAGAAATTCACCAAGCAGTGTAAGAAAACAGAGGTCCATCTCTTCCAGTATTCTCATGCACATTGTGTCCAGCTAAATGCCATGTCAGTCTCATAAGCAAAGAATAACATTATAGTCATTCTAGTCATGGTGGGATAAATAGTCAACAAATAGATGAATACAGTCCATGCCCTGTTTGCTCTAAGCATTCAGTGACTACTAGAAGTAAACTGTTTATAATCATGGGTGTTGTATTTGCTTTCCAGTGAGCTTGGAATCAGACTTGAGTATGCAGAGCACTGGGGCCTTTTCTTATGGATTAAGTAGTTAAACAGAACAATAAATCTCTTGAATTACCATAATTTTCTTGCACGTTCCACACTTCTGCTTCATCTAAAATGCAAGTATGAGAAGCTGTGCATCAGGGAAGCAGAGATGAGGATGGCCCTACCATGCTATTATTTCTGCTGGTAAACAAGCCACAATTGATGCTCTTGGTTCTCAGATTGCTCCAGGCAGGGATCAAGCACTGGCAGAATGCAAGCACAGTACACTATGGGAGGGCTTATCCACACTTACCTTTCCTCCGCTCTTTCCAGGCATGATCCACGCTTTAAATCTTCATGTCCAAGCGCCCTTTCTCCCCACCCTTCTGGAGCTTTCCCCATGAAAACCTGCTCTTTAAAGCTCAATCAGAGCAAACAGCAATATGCCCAAACCCCAAACCGATGTTTGTTCCCATTGAATGCTAAACTGTGGGTGAGGGGAAAGCTCCAGGGCAAAAAAAGAAAAAGGAAACAAATGCTCAGACACAGAGCTTTTAAGCACAGACTTGTGCCTGGAAAGAGCAGGGCAAAAGGTAAGTGTGGATAAGCCCTGACTCAAGTCTGAATCTGATTGAATCAGAAGTTGCCATCACATTAAATGCAGACAGCATTTCTCAGTTACGCCAGCCCTGTACAAACCATCTTGGACCAACCAGGTAGATGAGTGTCTGAGCTGGAATGATCAGCCTCGTTTATTTCTATAGATCAGGAACTGTCTGGGTTATTGACTCCCTCCCGGAAACCTTTTTCCAAGCCTTGACTCCAACTCCCCACCCAACCCATCGCTGCGCTTTCAGCTCACCTGCCGGCCAACACGGTTGTTGTGCAGTCTCATGCGAGAGTGGATGTCTCGGTAGGTCTCCCGGGAATCTAAGAAGTCCTTGGAAAATTTCTCCCCATAGTCCACATCGGGGCTGCAGCCCCCCCACTCCCAGGAATCTTGCAGGCCTGGGGCCTCAGCTGGCATGTGTTCCAAGTGCACTCCATGCATCATCCCCTTGCCTCGGTTCATGGCCTCCAGCTGGAGACGGTGCAGCTTGAGGCGGAAAGCTTCCTCATCCCCACGGCGCTTCTGGTCACAGCCACATGCCTGCAGCTTGCCCAGGGAGCACGCATTGGAGACAGCATGTACCACCCCTGCGGCTGCAATGGCATAGGCAAAAGCACTCTCACGGAAACCTGCAAGAAAGAGCACATTTCACTTAGTCACCATTGCAATGCTCACCACCCACATAAGATCCTCCATTGCACTCGCACAGTACAGTTGTGTGAAGGCTTAACGGCTTGCCCATGAGCTTATTCCAGGGATGGCGAAACCTGAAAGGGATTGCCCTTCAGATTTTGCTTGGTTACATCTCCCCTCAAGCAGCTGGGGTTGATGGGAGTTGGAGTCTAACAACACCTGGAATGTGATAGATTCCCCAATCCTTGTTGTGGCCCCCTGCTGTCAGACACACATAGCAGGCATTCCAACAGGCATGGCCTTTTTCAAGTCACAGCACAAATCACAGCACTTTACACCTTTGGCAATCCTATCCCCTCAAGTAACAGAGGTTTCAGGCAAGAGATTTTGGAGATAGGTGAAGGGTTAACCAGCCCCTCTTCAGCGCCACAGCCCTACCCTTTATCCAGCCCCACTCCCCAGCAACTGCTTTTAACCAAGAAAAAGGAATTTGGAGACCTGATCATAGATCTTCTATATCACACTGTCTTTTGGCCCATAGGAAAACAACAAACTATGTTCCTTGATAAAGATGAGGCGGCAGTTCTGATCCCAGCCCCTCAGGACGACAGATAAGGGACTGGTGTCCTTTTATTTCAGACAGCTGCTCAGCTTCAAAGCTTAAGCACTGCCTGATTGTTCATCCCCTTGTCTGATGGCCTAAGGCCTGTGAATGCTATCTTGTCAAACAGTCCCTGTCGCCTCCATGGGTGATTAGCTCCTAGACCTCTATATGTGCACATTGGGAGAGGAGTGTTCTTTGGCTCCCGTACCACAACTCTTGCTTCACATGACATTAGGCCACGCTTGTGAAATAGGTGAGTAGAGTTCACCTCCAGATGATTAAGGAAGAATGAGTTTGCAAACTGGAATAAATTTATTCCCCCAAGCCCACTTCATTTGTGTGATCAAGTGAGCTATTAAAATTTGTTCTGCCAGGGGCCAGGCTGGTGACTTTATAGACAGAGTCTGTACTAGGCAGCATGAGGACTATGGGAGAAGGAGATACAGGGAAAACAGGATCTTGCCTGTGTATTCTTGGCTTCCTCCTGACACGCTTATCTGAACATGGGGGTACAGGTAAGTCAGATCTGAACACAAGCTGTAGCTCCACACTTTCACTGTCCAAATCTGTAGCAATTTCTTGCTCTTGTCACCCACTTCAGTCTCTGTTGAATGATGCACAATTCCTACTACGCTGAGGTTACTGGTCAATAGTCCTGAGTTATGACTACCCCATGGGTGTTAATGCTCTGGGGTGTACTGAGCCTCAGTCTCCACAACACAGTCCTCTTCCCTCTGCTACAAGAGGTCCTTCACTGACCACCTGACCAAGATAGACAGAAACAGAAACATGGAGCAGTTACTGCTTTCCTCTCCTCTGCCAGGATTCAAGGGGGCAAAAGGCAAGACCTTGCAGCTAAGACCTCTTTGGCAGCCATGGTAGTTGCTGCCTTACATTTTCCAGAATGGAGTTCCATCCAACATTCTGGGATTTGAGCGTGGAAAGCCCTAGAGACCACCATGCCAGGGTGAGAAGATCCTACTAAGGCCCACTGCAGCAATGGACAAGGCAAAGAGCTTCCTGTTTAAACCAACCTTTGAAAACTAGGTGCAGAGTCCATTGACCACTGGACTGCTATCTGGGCAATCCGTATTTTAAAGCTGGTTCTAAATGTGTTTTGTTGTATTTTTAACTATTGTTTTTGACCACTTCATATTTTATAACAACTTGGGGGAAAGGTAGAATATATATTAAATAAACAAGCAGACTAGGCCTATGCTTACTTATTACCTTACTTATTAGAAATTATTTTCCCTGTACACAATGGACCTCACTTCTAAGCTAAAAGAGTGCACAGGGGTGCAGTGTTAAGGTAGTTGTCCTTTAGTCTCCTGTGCTCTGGTGTCATACTATTGCTTAGATCTCAGGCTGCTGCCAGAGGCCAAACTTTGGGGCCAGGAGTTGTACTAGCTGACCTTGGAGATCCATTCAAACCCTCCAGTTACGAGCAATTTGAATGGGGAGGTGAGGATGGGAACTCTTAGGCACCATAGAGTCTCTCACCATTGCAAAGCTTGCCAGCTATAATTAGAGCACGTTTCTGGCTTTGGCTTTGTTTATACTCTCTGAGATGCGCTGGAGTCACGCAAGCTCCCACAGCACAAGCTGCAGGCTGCAATCCCCATAGCCCAGCATTGTTTCACTGTGCAGAGGGGAATTTCCAGAACTGAGTTTATCAATGAGAGAAGACAAACTCTGCTCAAAAGTCTGCTGCCAGGGAAGGTTTCATATTACAAGCAGTAACACACATGAACACACACACACACCGTGACAAAATATCCTATGCACGAAGGATTAAGTATGCGTGTTTTATGAAGTATGCAAGTACACATCAGATAGATAAGATTTGTGATTAAGTGTGTTTATGAGGAGTTGGTGGCTTTTATTTAGGACAATAGAAGCAGCCAATAAGCTGATTGCTATCTGGCCTAGTAAATCAGGCTAACCAGTTTCCTAACTATCCAGTATGTTGTTTTGGCTTAGACAGGCATTAATGAGAAGCCTTGGAATTTTAATTTGCACACATTTAGCTCTATTCATATATGCAAGTGAGCAATGACAACTCATCTGCCAGGAGAGGTAGCAATCCTATAAACACCCCAGTTTTTTAGCAAGACCCAGTGGAACCAGCCAAGAGGATTCCATAGGCCCCAATGACACCTGTTTGTTTAATGCAGGCTCCCCAACATTTTGGGAAGTCGGAGATGCATTTGTAAATCTAAGAAATCAAAATGGGCAACACAAAATACCCACGTCACAGAAGAGAAACTGGCAATGCTTAGAAACACCCCCCCAAAAAAACCCACAAACAAAACACCAATACCCCACCAAAACAGACAACATCTTGCCAACAAACAGCAACCATGCACCCTCTCACCAAATCTCCCAAAGTAAATATTAAAAAACCACTCAATTAAAAAACAAGATGAGCAGAAAGCTGTGGCAGGTTCCAAGAGAGGTGTCTGAGGGTACTGTCGCATCCACAGACACTACATTAAGGGCCCCGGGTTTAATGTGTCAAAGGGGATTTTTCTGTCTGCAGCCTCTGCTCCCAGCTTTTCTCCCAGGTGGGCAACTGTGATTGCTACCGTGGTATCATGACAGCCTCAAAGGCTGAGGAACCAATAGTGATACCAAGGCAGCGCTGGGACTAAGCACCACCACTGAACCAGGGGTATCCTAGCATAAGATTCCAGAGATTCTGGGACCAAGAAGATAGAGATCCCTTAACTGGGAACTCCTGAGATTGGACCAGAGACTGCATCACTGCCTAGGACCAGCATACCTACCTCCCAGGGGCCTCATACTGTACACACAGTTTGTGGGGAAACACAGGCAGCATGTCTGGCATGATCTCCCGTAGGGGCAGCAAAATGCAAGCCTCCAGGCCAAGAGCTGACCCTTTAAGGCCACCCACTTTTCAAGGCTGGGGTGGAACCCAGCATGGGGTTCCCCAACTGCCAAAGCATGAAAGGATTCATTATGGTCTCAGACACTGTTGGAACATGTTGCTCACTAGGAGCTCTCCTTGGTGCTGCTTTGCAACCTCCCCCCCGCCCACTGCCCCCATGGACTCTTCTTCATGACCTGAACAGGACACTAAAGAAGAAACAACCCAGAGGCCAGAACCAGGTTGCTTCCTCATTGAGCATTTAGTGTCAAATTGACATGCATTGTTCACGCACATTCTGGAATCCTCTCATGTTTTCCCTAGTGCTGCTTCTATCTTTTCTTTCTTACTGCAGAAGGTCAGATACTTTTGAAAGCAGAAGGCAAAATATCTACCAGCGTAGATGCTCTTGCCACTACTCTTCTGCCTGTTTTTTGAGGCACTATATGATTATCAGGATGGTGAACCTATCACAGTTCAGCACATTCACTATAACCTTTGTAGCAGGTACCATTTTATAACCCCGTTCTAGTGCTAAGACAACTTTCTGACTAATCCAGAACAAAGACCACCCTTCTTCAATTTTCATCATGGCTATCTCAATTAGAATTCCCAAACCTATGCATGTAAGCTCCACCGAGTTTGATGGAGTTACTCACAAGGAAGTATACAGAGGTGATGTTTATTTTTTCAGTAGTAAAACAGACCAGTGCAGTTTTTGGTTTTTTTGGAAAGTAAGTGAAAGTAATCCTTTCTCATTTTGCTAGATATACACATGGCAACAGCCTACCAAAAGCTTTTCGACAACGGGGGGCAGGGGGGGCGGGGGTGGTGAGTTCCTTCCCCAGTTCCTTCCCAACAACCAAGCAAAAAGTGAGTAACTAATGACATTTAGTTTTAGCAAATAAAATACTGCTCTTTCTAATTGCTATAGACCTATATAGAAAAGGGGAGAAACACTATAAAAAGCCAGGAAATGTAAGAAGGAACTGAAGTAGGATAGATGACTGTGGCAACTGGGGGAGATATTGGGAGGCTACCAAAAATGAGGTTGGGGCCACATGTTGTCCACCTATGGCTTAAAATGGAAGAGTGCTACAGCACTAGACCTCTAATTTAGAAAACAGGGGGCAAGAACCCTTTCTGGTCACCACCATTTTAGCAACATGCTCTTTCTTAGAAACTTCAAAACAATCCATAACAACCTTTCTTTTATATATATTTCACAAATAGCAATGAGCAATCATGCTTAAATGAATGAACTGCTAGCATTCAATAACTTGATTTTATTTTAAAGCATGGCTCACAACTTGTTTTCTAAGTGGCCACTCAGAAAATTTGACCTTCCTTTCCCCCATTATGGCAGCTATGCAATGCCCACTGATACTGATGGAACATAGCAGAATAAATATAAAAGAAAAACCTGTCTGGAAGCAGCCCTCATTCTGCACCCAAATATTCCTAGCTCCCACCATCATGCTCCCTCTCTCTCGGGTTTCTCTATCTCTGTTCCCAGCTACAGCTTCCTAAATTTCTGAGCTTCAGTTTATGTCCAAACTTTCTAATTTCAGCATTCACTGTCCTGCCTATTCCACCATCCTTGAGCTGTGAATTATTTTCCTTTCCTTTTGATTGAATTATCTGAACTAGGCATGTGACACAGTTCTCTACTGAAGCTATGCAGGTCTGGTCCTGTAAGCTGCCTGGATGGGAAACTTTCTCTGAACCATATGCACGTCTTTCCCAAGAGCTCTGGAAGGAGGAAATAAATATTTGCTATCAACAGTATGCTAGGACCTCTCAGTCCCAGAAGCCCAAACACAACATTGTTATTTATTTAACAATTAAACCAGGATTTTCATCCCTTCCAAGGAAAGGAAGTGCAGAGAGCAAGTGCTGTAGTTGTGGGATGATAGGTGCTCAGTAAGTTCTTCAAAGGCTGCCACAGACAGTATTGCACAAACGATGATCAAAGAGGCCATGGGGTGGTTTGAACAAAAAACAGAAGGGAATATCAAAGTAAATGTGGAAGGGGGGAGGTTTTGCATTCTCTCAGGAAAGGCAAGGTGAAAACCACCTATGTCGAAACTGAGGAAGTTAACTGAAGGGTAGTGATCTTTATTAGCTTCTTCGGGAATACTTATTGCAATGCATACAGGATTGTTGTTGTTTTACGTGTGACACATTCTGCTATTATTACTACTGAACATTGATACGCAATGATTATTGCAATGATTATTTGTTACTAAACAAACCCTATAAAAGTTATCTCACGAACAAAATTATACACTGGGAGAATTGTGATCAGGTCACAGTAGTTTTGAGGTGACCACCAGGAGAGGGTGTGATTAGTTTCAGGGCTACAGTTCTAGATATAGTCAGCAGCAAACAACCCAAAAAACAACACTTTTGGACAGGACAATAGTCAAGGCCAGAATTAAAAGGAAGGAGTGTTATTCCTTTCACAACAGCTACCCTACATCGTAGCTCAGTGGGCAAGAAGCCTGCATGAACAGGTCCTCTAGAACGAGAGGTCAAGTCCCACAGTGGTCCCAAAGGTTGCACATATGATGTACACAAATCTGTACACAGTGCACTTCTGTTGGTTTCAGTGTGAAAGAAACAAGCATTTTGGAAGGGAAAGGAACAGGGGACAAAGAGACAGGGAAGAATGAACACATCAGCAGCAACTCACAGTAAAGAGACAGTACCTTGAACAGGCTGGAAATTCAGTGGGAAAGAGTAAAACAATAGGAAACAGAAGCGGGTGAGTTTGTCCCTCATACTTCTAAAATGGAAACGTAGTGACTACAAGCCACTAAAGTCCATCTTTGGGCAACCTGTTGGCAACAATAAGTTTAGATGGGAAAAGGAGACAAAATGTTCAGGTGGAGCTGCAGCACAGGACATACTGTCTCCCCCTGCTGCATGTCCCATCCTGAAGATGTCTGAAATGCAGAATTGCTGAGAAGTACAGCTTACCTATCAGCTGACCAACAGGAAACAGAGACAGGCAGTTGAAACAGTCATCGCTTTTATTGAGCAGCATCAACAACGGAGGGAGTTCTAACAACATCTCATAAACATGGGTTTTTTTATTTGCGCAGGACCTCCATGCCTCTTGAGGACTAGATGGCTGGCAGGCAGCCTAGCAGCAGAGGGCAGCTTCCCCCACCACTAAACCTCCACACTGGGTACGTCTGCCACCTGCTACAATCCTGTCTGCAGCCCACTTCCAAGAGACAGGAAGTCTGGGGGTGGAAAAAAAGGTGGAAACCCCTCACTGGAACAGCCAGTTCCCCACAGGTCACTGCTGATATAGGCCTCGCTTGTGGTCTACACAGCATGCTGGGCATTGGTTGCAGAAACATCTTTGTCTCTAGGAGTGTAGAAGGACCATCTCCACAGAGGTGGAGATAGTATCTAAGAAGGAGCAACAGCTGCCAAGAAGCAATTCCTGTGACTGGGTGTCCATGTGCAGCTGGCACATTAAAGTTGCCAGCCATCCAGTCCCACTCCCCACTCTCCCATCAGCAGTTCCCCCTGATGTCACCTCTTGGGAAATATAATGCAATCCCTGAGACAATAGTCATCTATCCTGTGCAGGAAGCTGCCATGGAGCTCTGTCTCTGGCTAAAGTTTGTTCTGCTTCATGTATCCCCAAGTCGGCTCCTACAAAAAAAAAAAGTGTCATTAGTGTTTGGGTGGAGTGGAGGGGTCAGTGTCCACTAAACGTGGTTGTGTTCCCTATAGCCTTTCTCGGGACATTGCAGGAACTGATCTACAGAGAGAAGAGGGTTGTGGTCTGCAAAAACTCCCTGGCCTGCAGAGTGCATTGTTGCCCTGTCTGGGAGACACAGCCACAACCTTTCGGAGCAAGAGTGGGCTGTTAAGCCAGTACACTTTGAGCCACATTGCAAAGGGAGACTTTGTGCTCCTGGGTGCTTTTGAGTGTTCAGGACTTCTTGGGCTGCTCAAGGGAGAGGGGTATATAGGATATTCAGGAGTCATACTCTGAAGCATAGGCGCCACTTTCCTGACCAAGGCCTTCTCTTGCTTACCTTGCTGTGTTCCTGCAGCCCCGAATGCAGCCTGGGTTTAACAGTTCATCTCTGCAGCAGGAGGACCTGTAACATTCTGAGGGAGGACAAGTGTCATTCATTTGCTCTTTTCATATTTGTCGTTGCCTTGGCTGTTTGTGCAAAAGTGCTCCCCTTAAGAACACAAGAAGCACCTGATGGATCAAGCCAATGGCGCATCTAGTCAAGCATCCTGTACTCCCAGTGCTCAACCAAATGCCTGTGGAAAATCTCCACCAAGTTCTCACTTGGGTAACTGCGACCTTCTAGACATGGGGGTGGATTGATGTAGCCCCATGCTACAACATCACATACATGCCATGCAGCTTAATATACAAGCTGAATTCCTTTACATGTATACTCCTGTGCGTGATTTGCTCCCGAATGAATCACAATCCTATCCTCCAGTACATTTTTGCAGTGGGCATATAGAGCATAAGTGTCACTACAACATGCTGGAACCAACTTTTGAGGGAGCTCAGAACCAGGTCTCAGCTTCACATATCTTCTCATGCCTGTTTGGCCCATTGTTTGCTCCTTACACCTGCATTTTGTATTGCAAGTGCAAAATGGCATAACTGCATAGGCATAGCACTGTCATCTGCCAGCACAGCAGAATTTAGACAACATTGCACATGTCTCTTTCACAGAATACAGCAGGCCATCTGCCACCATCCCGTTTCCAAGAGATCCTCACTTTGCAATGGGCTGTAAAGGAGCTTCACCAACATGAACAGCCTGCTAGGAGAGGCTGTTTTTGCAAGTGTTTTTTGTCTGCTAAATATGTAGGTAAGGAAATTCATACTGTGAACATCTTGTTGACACAACGTACGACAATTACAAGAGAATATAATACTGCTGGAAGTTCCCACAGAGCTACAAAAATGCAGAGGAAAAACTACACACCCATAGCTGCATAAATCCTGCAAAATAATGAGATGTTGCTATATGATAAAGTTTTGAGCACGCAAAGGTAAATCTGATTTTCTGTTCCTCTACAACTAATTGCTAAAACGTCTCTCCAATGGAGTTCCTCTTGGTATACAGCATCTGAACTGACTGCAGTGTGCCCTAGTAACCGAGGGCTCCTCAGTTAGTTCCACGGTTCCTCCGGCAATGTCAAAACTTGGATGATTTCCTGCCCAGGGTGCAGGGAGAGTCTGCCATGTCCCAAGTGCTGCTGCCTACTGCTTCCCCCTTCCCAACTCCTCCAAAGGCTATGCGGCCAGCCAGTTGAAACATGCCTCCCTTTCCCTCTCCTCTGCCCCATCTCCCTCGTTCCCTAATTAAACTGCAGGTGAACCCGCCAGGGACTGGCAACACGCCAGACCTTGAGCTCTCTGCTGCGGATCTTAACTTGCCTCCCTCCATCTTCCAAAGCAGCCCCTGAGACCTTGATCGCTCTAGCTGCAGAGGGCTGTGCTAGGGAGGTAAGAGACAGCCTCCTCTTTGCAGGACTTCCTAGGTGGAATTCAATGTTGCTCTTCCAATTTTTCCATCTGCAAAAGCGTTCCCCTCTCCTCCCTCAGCATGCCCTTTCTCCAAGCCAATTTCAGGGGCCTTGGGGGCATGCAGGGGGAGGGGAGTCCCATTATGCAAGCTGATGCAGCTGCTTAGGTGAATCCCACCCACTGTTATCTATACAGTGGTACCTCGGGTTAAGAACTTAATTCGTTCTGGAGGTCTGTTCTTAACCTGAGGTACCACTTTAGCTATTGAGGCCTCCTGCTGCCACCACCACACGATTTCTGTTCTCATCCTGAAGCAATGTTCTTAACACGAGGTACTATTTCTGGGTTAGTGGAGTCTGTAACCAAAGTGTCTGTAACCTGAAGCGTCTGTAACCTGAGGTACCACTGTATATGCCTAAACACTGCTAATGGTCAATTTCTTTCGCATCATAACAAACTTGAGATATATGTAAGTCATAATCAACCCATTTTACAGATAAGGCATTGAGGCTGAGAACCAGTGAATTCTGGATCCATGGCTAGGTAGAAGTTTTAACATTATAAGACTGCAAAAGAGCTCAGGGGGGAATAGCCTAACAATGAGAATCAAGGACAAGCCCTGTGCTGAAACATATTTTGGGAGCCCCTCAACTCAGCCTAATGGCACTCTTTTTGACCTGACAGTTTTAACAAAGATGGACACAGACAAATGACACCCCCCCAACAAAGGTTGGTTTGCATGTGAAAATGAGGTGCTAACAAGATATATACAAGTGGGTTGTGCATATTCTATGGTTCTATTGTCTTGTGTGAAGATACATTTGTGAGTGAGTGTCACTCACTTGCGCATCCTTTTACACTTGCTTCCATGCCACACAGGAAAGGTCTCATAAGCACACATTGCATGTTACAAACTCTTCCATTCTACCATGTCCTATCTTTGTGTCTCCCAGAAAGCATTGTGATTGTCAGTGCACTGGCTTTATTACCAACTTCCACAGCTACACTGGGCTTGGAAAGATAGCCACTGCTCCTAAGTTGTGTGGTAACAGCCACCATGTCCTGATTTTCAGAGAATTTTGAGGGAGCCTAATCCCATTTGCAGGCAGCTGGTGGGCGCTTTGGGAAGATTCAAAATTTAGGATGTTGCAAAGAAGGCCTTGGTTGGCTGGGATCCTGCTCTGTAGAGAGTAATGTAACATTTAAACTGGCACTGGCAAGAGCCCAAGAAATCAAGGAACTATTAAACAGATTCTCTGGACAGGATTTAATAGCAGTAATGTTTTAAGTACCTTAATCAGATAGAAGTATAGCTGGGAGCTGGAAATTGTTAGTTTCTTATGAGAAAAGGTAGAAATGTTAAGAGGAGGAGAATTAATCATAAGCTCCCCCAGGCTGGGGAAAAGGAAGAAAGCAATAGGAGGATTATTCATCTCCTCATGGCCTTCCTAAAAACAAACATTATACAGTTGAATAACTGACAAATCTAAGGTAGACAGGGAGAAAGAGAGCAGAATATTTTGACTGATCTTCCTGTCGTCTACTCCCACATACGAGGGAATCCATTCTTTCACTATCCCGACTAAGCTTGTGTCAAACCCATGTCCAGCTAATGATCTTCAATATCATGCCAAGTGATGTGCACCAAAAGACGTAGAACGTGAGGGACCCACTAGACTGGTGGTTTTCTGCAACATACCATTGGCACAATAACAGTACATTAGTGGTAGATTCATCTCTTTCTTTCTCTTTGGAGATCACTCATAGCTGAGTAAGATTGTCTTTCATGAAAACAGTCTTAACAGTGAGTCCGTGACTGTGGAGGCCAATTCTGGATCCACACATCCTTCCACCGTGGGGACATAGGTTTCCATGTGGGAGTTGATCACGGTGAGGGTTTGCCAAAAGTGCCTTCCTCTTAGCTCGTTTCTCCTTTTCGCCCTGAGTTTGTGTTTCTTCAAAGTCCACAACACCTTTGGTAAAGGCTTTTATCCAATTGAAGCGCAGCGTGTTTGAGGACCGGGACATTCACAGGGAAACCAAAATGCTTGTTTAGAAAGCCATTGTACTACCAACTTTACTGTACACTTGCAAAACATGGACCACTTATAAATACCATCTCCCAACTCCTCGAAAGATTCCATCAATGGTGTCTCCCAAAAATTGTACACATCACTTGGAAAGACAGGCGAACTAATGTCAGTGTACTGAAAGAAGCAAAGATCACCAGTGTCAAAGCAATGATTCTTCAACATTAACTTCGTTGGTGGATTCATACTGGTTTGTTCACACACCATTCAGCTTTCTTTAGTTGTTCTTAGATGATTCCCCAATATGATTGCACTGCTGCTGTCTAAAGGGGACCTTTCTTAACATTACAGACCCTAGAGCTGCCAAAACTTTCCAAGCTGTGACTCTCCAGGCTGGAAGAATCTGGCCAAATTTCATTGGGGCCACATGGTCCTCTTGCTGACAATAGCATCTGAGGTCAGAATGCAACTATACTTTATTCCTCACCCCCAAACATTGGAATGTAAAAGGTTAGCTATATGCTACATGCAAATGTACAACAGCCGCAGTACCATTTAAAAGAAGAAAGAAAGAAAGGCTGAGGGAAGTGGAATTTAGAATGGAGAAATGGTAGAAGGAGGGAATGCTTAACCCTTCCTCTGTCCACCATTTCTCCTCCACAGATCATACTTAGAGGCTCAGGGTTGGCCCAATACATTTTAGCACCTGAGGCAGCCCCCAAAATGGTGCTTCCCTTCCCAACAGGGAAAAAGAGGTAGGGGAGGATCTACATCAGGAACAAAGGGGGAAAGAAAGACTAACATTGGGATCTGCTCCCTCAGTGGATCCTGCCATCTGAGGCAGTCACCTCACCTTGCCTCATGGGTGGACCAGCCCTGAATAAAGATCTACATTGGGATCTGCTGCCCCTGTGGATTCTGCCACCTGAGGCAGTTGCTTCACCTTGCCTCATGGGTGGACCAGCCCTGCAGAAGCTTCATTTAGCACCCCCACCCCCTTTGGGGGTTATCGAAGGAAGGAAGGAAGGAAGGAAGGAAGGAGAAAGAGAGAGAGACAGAGTTTTGTCCAGAAGTAGTATGCATGACAGGTTGAATTAAGGAAATGCTTGGCGTAAATAGAAGTTGGGGATCCAGGAAGCAATGCATTAAGAATGGCCAAAATTTTTTTCCATGATGTGCAGTATGCAGTGTATCAGCTTCTATTGTGATTTTTCTGCAACAGTTTACCAGGGAGAAATAATAATCAAGATGCACCCTTATTTTATTGGATCTGGCAAGACACAAGCATTTATATCAAACATCTTTGTTCCCACACCACAAAACTGCTTCACATCTACCTTCTACCAAGTCTTCAGAAGGTCTTGTTACCAGAACTTGGGCATCCATTCAGTTCAGTCCACCTAGCTGAGCCAGGGTTGGAAGGAGACGGGTTTTCTGCAGCCAGTTCTTCAGCCTTGAGAGACTGATGAGGCTTTCTCTCTCCCTCCCTCCCTCTCTTTCTCTCTCTCACTTGGTTGGAAGAGATGATGAGGCGTAAAAGATCAGGGACTGGTATAGGGAGGAATGGAGTGATCTACAAATTATTTAAAGTGAGGAGCACGCATGGCTGAGCTGATGGCAGCGGATGTGGGAAGAGGCATGAAAGATTCAAGGGATCTGTCACTTTAGGTTACCAAGAACCATCCTCGTAAGCAACAGAAATTCCCAGGTGAGACGCAGCGAGACACAATTCACCCTCCCCCTTACAAGCAGCATTAATGCAGGTGACAAGGGACTCGTGTATCTGCCCCTTGCCATCACTCTGCACACACACATCATTGTCAAGGTCCAGGGAACATTATGGAATTCCCCTCAAACAGGCTCTATTTCGATTGAGGAGTCAAATTCTTGTTCCACGATTCAGGCAAAAGCAACAGAAAAGGGCAAAAACTTAGTAGCTTTGTATGGTCCTGATCATTAGGAGGAATAGCTTCATAAGCTTTCTGGAGGGCAATGGCACTGGACAAGGGAGGGTAAATCAGAATAGAGGATGCTGCCCAGCTTTTACAACAGACTGGGGCAGGGCCTGCACAGTGACAATGGATTAGAGAATTTACAGCACAAGCCTATAGCACATTTACTATGAAGTAAGCCCAACAGGCCTTGAGCCCAGATAAATGTGTATAGGGTTACAGTCTTCAGCTGACAGTCGTTCCTTCTTTTGAGAGAAAGTGGGGAATTGGGGCGGGGGGTGTTCAGGGATAGGGATCCCTAAGAGACAAGTATCAGAACCTGCAGAAATGTAACATTGCCATGATTCCTTGGGGGAGCCATGACAGTTTAGAACCAATCTACTATATCAGGCATGTCCAACTCCCAAGAGACTGTGATCTAATCCCAGTATTAAAAAAAACCTGGCAGTGATCTACCCATTGTCACTGGAGGGAGGAGGAGCGTGCGTGGGGAGGGTGGATTGCCCAGAGTTGCTGAGCTTTTTGGGGGGAGGATTGCAAAGAGTTTTTTAGCTTTTCCCCAGTAACTTTTTGTACACAATAAGGATCCTGCGATCTGCCAGAATCAGCCGGGGATCTACTGGTAGATAGCGATCTACTGGTTGGACAGCCCTGTACTGTATATTTTGGGAAGTGGTTTGTCTGTTTGTTTTCTATGCATTGGACACCTCTTGAGATATTGTCACCAAACAAGTTGGAATAAGTGTTTCAGAGGTGGAGGTAGAGCTCACTGTTGATGTTTGGATGCTGGTTGCCATTTTGAATCAAATGGTGGACCTAAACATGACTTCCGTGTGACATAGTTTTGGCCACATCTCAAGACGACGTTGCCAAACTCGGGATGAGGCTTCCTGAGGTGGGGTTTATGCCAATGTTTGGATGCCAAGCACCATTTTGAATCAATACACGGTGAGCACACAGCAAACAAAGTCTCCCTCCTTTGGATGATTAGTGTCAACAGTGTGCATGCAAAGCAAATAGTCCTTCTGCACTCCTTTTAATCTTGAATTCTCAGACTATGCATAATATTATGCAGCAGTAAGTTCCACCCACTAGTGAAAGCCTGTGGGTGGAAATTGTTTCATTCAGTTAGTAGCGAAATATTTCCTTAGGGCTTTCCATTTGATAACAATCTGAAATTCCTAAGGTCTTCTTACCTTTGTCCTCTGCTAAGCAATATTCTGAACAAAGCTTTCATATTGCTTTGTAGCTAAGAATGGGTTTGGTATGTCTTGAGGCTAAAGAAAGAGTGATAGTGCTGAACACCTCTAGGGTTCTATGATTCATCTCATCCCCCTCCATATAGCTCTACCAATCAGCTAGAGTTAGGCAGGGCCACTGCTCCTCAAAACTGTCACAAGCACATTGAAGCTTGCTGTGGCATAACAGGATTCTGGTTTATTCAAGTGCCTTCTAGCAGCTGGGATTCTTGCAAAGGATGCTGAACCTTGATGAAATCCAGCAAGGCAGGTTCAGAAACAGAAGAACATCCACAAGACCAATTCAGTTTAATGTAAACAGATAGTTCCCAAGAACACACCCCTGAATTGTAAATCCAACCATTAAATTGTAGTCAAACAAACAAACAAACAGATGTCAGCCCACCTCTGTCCAAATCTAAAAGATTATTTTTCAATGTGATCAAACTATCAGATTTCCATTTCACAATAAAGCACATGTGGAAACCTCTGTATCACAGGTGTTCATGAGCTTGCCTTAAAACCCAGAAACATGGTACCAGATTCAACAAATCCCCATTCCATCATTTCTTTCATTGCTCTCAGATTTTTAGCCAGCCAAGCGCCCACAAGGATGTGATCACTTTTGCCTGCTCAGAGCTTTCACAGAGCCAATGGCAGGAAGAGAACTCTAACCTCTGCTGAAGATGATGCTTTCATAGGGGATCTTGTTCTTGGTCTCCAGGCTCGAGCAATTCCAGCGCTGATCGCGGAACTGGTGTTGGCACTCGTGGATGGCGATCTGGATGCCTTGAATGGCAGAAGCCGTCACGTCAGGATTCCGCACGCACACCTCCAGTTGTCGCCGTGTCAGACCAGGCAAGGTCAGGCACACCGTGTTGGCATTAAGCACGGGTTCCAATGGCAACTTCAGGCCCAGAATCTCATTGGATAAGGAGCTGGGAAGAAAACAGACAAGTCAGTGGTGCCATCACCACGTGGCACCAAAGTGACCTTAAAAGCTAACATTTTTTCTTAGAAAGCGAATGTCAACATCCAGGATGGGCAACACCCACTGCTGCAACTATCTCTGGAGCTGATACTGCAAACTGCAGAGGAAAAAAGGAAACCTTTTAGCAAGGGAAACTTTGCAATCTCCCTTGAAAGCTGCTTCCAAATCGTGATTGTTCTTAGAGCTAGAACATCCCAGGTTGAAGCTACATAAGTATGTTCAATTTGTATTTCACTAGCCAAACTGCTTCCATGTTGGTTATGAAGTTTCCAGTGTATAGTGCATTTTTTATGGAAAATACCCTACTGAACTACCTTGTTTGGTATTTGCATTCTATAAACAGACTTTTCCTTGCCCCTTATGAATATTCTTTTACCCTGAGTTTTTAGAAAGTAATCCTTACAAAATGAAAGGAAGAAAGTAATCCATATAAGTTTCTACCTTTTTGAGACAAAGGGCATGATTCAACTAAGTTGTTGCATGTGTGTAATGAGGCCTGTTCCTGCAATGGGACTCCCCCACCCTCACCCCACCCCCAATGCCCTAAATCAGCAAATGGTGAAAAAGTGTCATTATGTGAGTGGACCTCATTCTCCGGAAGCATACCCCACTTAGCACTATGCTGAATTCCAGACAAGTACTCTGGGTCAATATAGAAAGGGCTACAAAGATAACCAACAGAGTTAAAATAGAGTTAACATAGTTAAGAACTCTTTACTTCTTAACTTCCATAAGCAAATTGAACGAGTCCACCATCATCACTGGAAGCCTTGCACAGCCGCCCAGTTTTGAAGTTTTGTTATCATAAAAGCTAGATAACTACATATTTACCTCTTTTTTAAGAAAGAAAGAAAGAAAGGAAAGCAAGCTGAATTTATCTAAAGACCAGATTCCCAAACCACTTGTGTTGAATGTTGCTGGCAATTATCCATTAGGTTATTGTCCAAATGCTAAGGTCTAAATCAGAATTCTCAGGCATAATTTGCCCATAATTTGCCATATTCACACAATATGGGATGAGTAAAAAAAAAAGGCAGCATAAATATTAAACAAAAGAGTTATAAATATCATACAGCAAGTTACTATTTCTTATTAAAAGTCCAGACAAAAAAAAAAATGTTTGTGCCTGGCAGCAGACTGAAAGCAAACTTGGCACCAGGTGAGTGTCTCAGGGGCATTTCCATGTTGCACAGAAGGGAATCTTATTAGATGTCTGTATCAGGCAGAACTTTCATTTATGTTCTTCTAATTTGATGACTTAGATGTTTAATAGCTACAGATGTTTCAGATAGCTCAGTCAGTAAAGCATGAGACTTTTAATCTCAGCATTGTGGGTTTGCACCCCATACCGGGCAAAAGATTCCTGCATTGAAGGAGGTTGGACTAGATGACCCTTGTGGTTCCTTCCAATTCTGTGATTCTATGAACTGGAAGGTGTTCCCTCAGAATTGTCCATGATCTCTGCATTTTGGACTGTATTTATTTCTTTAAAATATTTCTATATTGCCTTCCATTAAAATAACATCAAGATGGTGTACAATAAAATAATTCCATGCAAATTCATTTAGTTGTGTTTTTAGATTTTTTTCCCCATTGGATGTCCTTATCTGGTTTTTATGTAAGTTGCTTTGGGTCCCTCTGTGAGAAAAGTGACAAACAAATATAATAAATCAATAATTCAAAAAACAATTCCGTACGTAATAGAAACAATCCTATAAAAATAACACATATTGAATACAGTAGCCATGAACTGTTCAACTGTTTATAGAGATGAGAGAAAACTTAAGTAAACAGATTTTTAACAGCTGGCAGAAGCTCACCACAGCAGGTGCCTTCCATATCTTGGTGGGGAGTTCATTTCACAGACTAGGGGCCACCATGGAGAAGGCCCTCCTCCAAGTTGCTGAGAGATGAGCTTCTGTAGGTTGCAGCATAGCTAACAGGGGGCCCTCCAAAGATCTCAGTGAATGGGCAGCTCAGTATGGGGAAAGGCATTTTTTCAGATCACCTGGTCCTAAGTTGTCCAGGACTTTATAAGTTAAGAACTGTACTGTACATTTACTGTGACATACACAGTGCCAGGATATTGTTTCCTATAAATAACTCTCTGCTTTTTTCTTGTCAACACAGCAATCAGCTTTGCAGTTTGATTCAGATCCTCGTTTATGATTTGTCAAAGGGGGAGAGAACCAGCCCATGCTCCTGTGTCTCAATATTCCCAGCCCTCCCACAACCACCTCGATCTGTGAACAGCCTAGCGAGTTACCAGTCCAGGTGAACAGAGGGAGCGAGAGAGACGCAGGTTAATAGACAAGAAGGCTTTAATTACACGGCAAAGTGCTCCCTTTGGCGGTTTTAAAAAACAGGGACTCCCGACTCGAGCCTCTAATGACTCAATTTGAGGGGAGATGCAAAAGGTGCTTATAACTCACTAATGACAGTGCTTGATCAAAGGTGGAGGAGTGAGGTACTGAGTTCTCCACACCAGCTGGGTCATGGGTTTCACATCAGCAATAGAAACTGGCCTGTTCTCCCAGCCGGAGAATTTCCTCTTGCTCAGATCACGGCCATCACTCATATTTGTCTACAAATCATCTGTTTTAGATCAGGACTACACCATTTCTGTTTAGCCGAGACAAGGCTAGCACAAGCCATGCAAGCCTGTCTTAGAGAATAAGCTCATACATATGATAAAAATTGCCAGCCACCCACAATCTGCATAATGCAGGTGGCAGCTGTCTGGGAGATTCTGTGTCACTTTTCTAACCATGTAGCAGCAAAAGCATAGCAAGATGGTGAGCATGAGTTGCGTAAAGATGAGTGACGATCCCAGATTCCTGTAGAGCATTTTTCCACACCCTGCCACCATTCTCTTGGTGCTGAGGTCAGGGCTACCAGCTTCTGCAGAGGACTGGGCTGCTGTGCATTTAATAGTTGTGTAAGAGGGAGGTTTCCACCTTTGTACTCTTCCTTAAACTCCACGTATCGGGAGCCTGTGGACCTACAGATGTTGCTGAACTACATCTCCCATCAGCCCCAGCCAGCAAGGCCAATGGCCAAGGATGATGGGAGATGTAGTCTGAGGGCCAAAGGTTCCCCACACCTGTTCTGCTGAATCTGGCAGCTGTACCAATACCTGACCTCAAAAGGTTCCCCACACCTTCAGAAAACTCTATTGGCAGTCAGACAATTGGCAGCTCAAGTTTCTCCTATCACCATAACACCTTAGTGCTTACCTGGCAGCTCTCTGCATACAAAGGTCACCTGGGCGCATCTGAACTCAACTCAGGGCTGGTGTCAGGAGTAGTAGGTTTCAATGGACATCTGCTGAAGCCCATATACTTGTCCACTCTCTAGAACCTCCTAGTCCTCCTCCTTTCACTGGGGCAGCCTGCTCACCTGCCTTCTCTGCGCATCCAAGCAATGGCGAGTGGAAGGAGAGAGAGCAGAGCCCTCCACTTGCTTTGTCCCAGGGTATGGTCAGAAGATACATGAACCCACCACCTTGCTGAAGCTAAGCAGGTCTGGGTTTGCTGAGTGACTGTATGGACAAAAATGCCCCTTGCAGGCCAAATTAGGACCTCTGGTGGTCCCATTTGGCCTAGAGGCCAGTGATTACCCATGCCTGCTTTAGTAAGTGGGCTAGTTAGTATCAGCCTTTCTGCCACCAACACTTGTAGAATGAGTGACCAAGGCAGAAGGGAAAGAAGCGTCAGACAAGACAGACAGGGATGGTGGCAGGGTAGGGGTGGGGGGTTGTGATAATGGTGGGAGGGGCTAAAAAAGCATCATCAGTGGGACACCCTGTCCCCTAAGGGCATCTTGCCCAGCAGCCCTTCAAACCTGGCACAGTCACCATCTAAAATAATTCTCAGCCTCGTCAGCAACCATAACATTCTCAGGTTTAGCTATGGAAACCTTTGCAAGTCACAACTCATGTTTATCCACACTTACCTTTTGCCCTGCTCTTTCCAGGCACAGGTCTGTGCTTTAACACGCCATAATATCCAAGTGTGTGTTCCCCCATTCCCAGGTTTCCTGCATGAAAACCCACTCTTTCAAGCTAGACTGGAGCAATTGTCAATTCAGGTTTTCCGTGGATTGACGTTTGCTTCAACTGAGCTCTAAAGAGTGGGTTTCTATGGAAAAAGTTTTTTGGGGGGAGGGAAGAGGAGCTTGAACACGGAGCTTTAAATCATGGACAGTGCCTGGAAAGAGCAGAGGAAAGGCAAGTGTGGATAAGCCTTTGGGCTGTAGATCACACTTCTGTTTATTCTGGATCCAGCACTCTCCCACTGCTGATTTGGGAAGCAGTACACAAATGGCATTAGTTACAATCCACCATCTATCCTGTATCTATCCTTTTGTTTCTTATGAAAATGTTACCTTTAGATGCATCTTCCCATCATGCCAGCTTCATTATGAACTGAGGAAAAGGAACGGCATAGCTGAGTTTTATGCCACTAATGTGTACACCACCTTAGTTTCCCATTCACTGCACAGGTGTGTCCTCTGCATGATGGAGAGTACCCCACTTCCAACCAGCTGCCAATCCTTTATTTTCCCTCAGCTAATGAAGTCATGCTTTCCTCCTGTGAAGACGCCTCCTGTGAAGGTACACGGGAGCGGGAGATATGCTGCTGCTACTTTGAGAGCAGAATAGCCCCCGTCCTAGACTTGCCAAGGCCAGGGAAATATACAAATGCAGAAAATTGCGGAACAGCATAAGAAAAGCTGTCATGCTCTTAGCATCCCTGGAAACAGCAGTGGCATTGGTTGGGTAGAGTGTCTCTGTTGGGATACTGCCAGGGAGACAAAGGCCATCATGACCCCACGTCGATTCCGGACAATCCATCGATCTCCCGTAGATACAGTATCAGTCAATTAGCGACACGAGCTTCCAGAAATAGCTTGCCACATTCCAGAGCTGGTGCACGCTCTTATCAGCAGAGTTCGCACAGCGAAAGATGCACTCAGGAGAGCATATTTATAACTTTATTCAGCGTTGGTCAGAACAAAGAGAAAACATGACTGCCTGCTTCGATGTCTCAGGCACACAGAGAGAAACGAAAGCAATAGACAAACAGAAACTTCCTGTGAGCAGGAAATACGTAGGCTGTGACTCACAACAGCCTGTCCCCTTTTTAAGGTGGAACGGAAATATCCTAACAGTCTCGCCTTTGTCAACAGTGGGCTTATCTGCATATGGGGGTGGCCATTTTCCCTGTATGGGGGAAACATCACCCCTCACTGTTGGGGAAGAACAGCAATAGAGCTCAGATATATGAGAGGCAGTTGCAGTAGTTATCTGTTAAAGCACCTGATCCCCTTTCCCTGTGTTTACCTGTGTGGACTGCTGTCTCCTGGCCTCCCCAGGTGCAGAAGTCACTGTTGGGTCATGGGCGTAGCCAGGGTTTATTTTAGGGGGGGCGGGCATTATGTTAGGTGGGGGGGTACCAAATTATCTCTGATGTAATTGGTCAGTTGGTTCAGTATTTTTATTTATTTACTTGATTTGGGGAGACAGCTGCACCCCACCCCACCCCAGCTACACCCATGTGCTGGAAGTTGGTGTCTGAAGTCCCAAGATGAGGTGCCTGTGAGCGTTCTAAGCAAAGACCCGTTCGCAATGCGCTCAAGTTCCGAAGCATGTTCTGGAGGTGGGTTGTTTAGTGCAAAATGCTCCCTTTGTGCATCAAGCGCCCTTTTTCCAGAGCTTCCACTCACGAGCGTTCCCCCTTGTGGGCTTTAAATGTCTATGGCATAGGGACAAATTCTATCATAGGGACACACATCCTATCATCAGAGTTGTGGTCTCTTTGTGCGAGGTTTATATATAGTAATACCTCTGGTTGCGCACAGGATCCGTTCCGGAGCTCCGGTCAGATCCCAAGGAATTCACAACCGGAGGTGCCACTTCTGCACATGTCGTGGTAGAGCGCTTCTGCGCATGCGGCAAAACCTGGAAAAATACTTCCAGGTTTGCCGCATTTGCATCCTGAAGGATACGCAACCAGAGGTGTGCATATCCAAAGGTACCACTGTACTTGCTGTGGCATATATCCATATCCCATGCTCCACTGTGACAACATGATGGGGTGGCCATGAGTATCTGGGCAGCTTAAAAAACAGAAACCAAAAACCCCTCCCATTAGTTAATAGGAAGGAGATTTCTTACTCCAGGTCTGTGGGGTGTAAGGTTGCACCATCAATAGGGGTGTGATCATGGTCTTGAGGCGACAGTTCAAGTTTGCTCCTCCCCTGTGCCAACCCCATCCAGCCCACAACTCCCCTGTTTCAGTACTTCTACCAGCACGGTCTCACTGGCAGAGCAGATTTGCAGTGCTCTGTCAATGTAGCTCCTGTTTTGTCAGCACAGCAGGAGTTCTGCCAAATCCTATGTCTTAGCAGCCAGCAAAGCTGAAGTACAGGATTGCTCTTTTTTTATATGATTCCAATGCCTACGGTGGTGCTAAACAACCTAACATTCCTTCAACCCTTCCCCACCTCTTCCTTGATTTGTAAGCACTGTTAAGGATATGCAGGTGAAGCATCCCCCATGCTGTTGGTCTACCAGGTATCATAGGTGTGTCACTCTCACAGAACAGCAGGCACCAAATAGAAAAGCAGGTACCTTTTGACCCGTTCGAGATTTTTAACAGCAGCCCAATGACGTTTTTCTTCAGACACAGTCAGGTCTCATTTATTGCAACAGTCAAGATTCAGCATATATCAAACCAGTGCACTGCGACTTAAGGAGACCTGAGGCTAAGCTGCCAAGAAAAGGCAAATGGTTGACTTCATACTTTACCCGGGACCACACACGAAATAAGCTCCACCCTCCTGTCTTATAAAAAGGAAATGCAGTAGCAAATCTGCAATATGTCACCCCAACACATCCAGATAGTGTTGAAATCTGATTACCAGGCATCAGACGCCATGTACACAGGATCACACCCTTGTTTAACTAATTGGGAAAAGCTAACATCCTCTGCTTCTGTACTGAGACAATCATTAACACAGGTTGGAATCTGTACTTCATCCATGTAGGCTTACCCTCTTGCCATGGGAACTGTGAAAAACCTGGGATAATTACTAGTTGTCCCCTGGAAACCAATCCACACTTTGACTACAATCTTATATGTATCTATGCAAAGATTCCTGCATTGAAGGGGGTTAGACCAGATGATCCTTGTGGTCCCTTCTAACTCTAGAATTCTAAGATTCTATGAAAGAATCTGAAATCCATGGACCTTATTTGCATCTGACCATGCTTAAGAACAGTCACTAGTTTTGCAAATATATTGGGGCAGTTTATGCCTCTTCCAGCTCCTACTCCTGGCTGCATGTAGCACCCCACAGAGAATATTACTCAGGGAACGTTCCACTCCATATTTCCCCACCCCAAAGTAATAAAAAGATCATCCAATTTGTCTAGTGGAAAGAAATTTGTACTTCGATCCATGGGCCCCAGGTTCAAGTCTCATCTCTATCACCAGCTCTGTATATTACTTATTTCATGCATTTATATCGCACCTTTTTTCCATGGAGCGCTAGTCCTTGTACAAGGTTCTCCCCTTCCTCATTTAATCCCCACAACAACCCTGTGAAGGCTGAGCAGCAGTGACTGGCCCAAGGTCACCCAGTGAGCTTCATGGACAAGTAGGGATCTGAACCCTGGTCTCTCATATCCTAGTAAGACACTCTAATCACTACACCACACTGGCTCTTGGGCATCACTGGACCCTCTGGCCCTTTAACACATCTGTAATGTGGGAACCGCAGAACACTGTAAGAGCAAACACAAGATCAGAAAGTAGGTGCATTCGAGAAGACCTGTTAGAATCGTGAACTCAAGCTCCTCACTCACCATACTCCCTTTTACACCCATACAACCACAGTCCAACACTGCTTGCTTGCACACACACACACACCTCACCCACATAAAATACACACACATATACATACTGTATGCCTCCTTACTGGCAACTCCTGCAGCCAAGCTGGTGCCAAACATATTGCTCTGCTTTCCATTGGGCCACATCAGTGAGTGGGTCTTGTTGTCTGGGCAGCCTAGGACCTCCCTACACACTACCCAGGCTTGTGGCCCAGGAAGGTCACTTCAGTGCTGCTTGCCCCCTGGCTTCACCCCCCTGGAGACACAATCCATTGTCTCTCAAGACAGAGGGATGCCGACAACAAGTCCATCACATTGTCTGTTCTACCCATACAATTGCATTAGCAGACACTAAGCAGAAACACACTCTGTAGACATTAATCCTTGCATGTACATAACCAATTCTCTCTCTCGCACCCCCCCCCGCCCCCACCCAGTGGTTTGCCTTACATGCCACTGTGCCTCAGTTCTCCTCTAAGTGTTTCTTATAATAGATCTGAAATGCATTTTTCCAGACCTTCACATTGGCAAATTCCCCATGGATTACCGGTAAATGCAACAGGCCTTCTCGCTCCCTTTGCAGCTACATCCTGGTGGAGAGTGTCAAGCAGACGCTGCCTTGATATCTTCATTGAACAGAACCCATTCCACTCACTTGGGGTGGCTCATGATGGCCAAGGGATGGTTGGGTTGGATTCTGAGAGCCCAACCCACTGTCTGATAGAGGGGAGCGAGACTGGTTCAATCGCACTGGGTACAGAGCCTCCGGGCCCCAGGGGGCATCTCAAATATGATTTAGAATGAAGGGCAAGAGGTTGAGGGGTGCTGAATTTTAGTATCACATGGGGTGCTGCTGAACCTTGAGACCCCAAGATCCGCCACTGCCACTATCATTCCCCACCTACCCTAGCCTTAAGCATCCTTCCACTGTTTTAGTGTTGAGAAGCAAGTGTCTGTCAATCTTAGGAACTGACTGTAGGCTTTTTCATTTATCCCATTTGGCAGGCAAGTTTCTTGTGCTATCCAAGTCTCACCCGAACCGGTGTCCTTTCCTCCCCCTCACATCCTGCCATCCAAATAACCGACATACACTGACATCGCTCCTACGCCCCTGCGGAGATCATCCCCACCCCCGCAGAAGCAAGACTTCCTTAATCCCCCTTTCTTCATTCTCCCTCCCCAAATAGACATTACAACACACACACCACATGCACATGTTCTTGTCTGGCCCAAAAAGCACAAGGACTTTTATTGGGGGTGGGGTGGATCCCGGCAAAAAGACCCACAGAGTTTGGGGAGAGGAAAGATGGAAGTGTCGAGAAGGGCAGTTTACCATGTCTGCTCTTTGAATCTGATTGACCTGTGCTCCCCCCACCCTCTCACTCTATAGCACTAAATGAGTTGAAACACGATTTCACAGTGAAAGGCCCGCAGGTCACAGGCTGTGGTTGCTACTGCTTTAATTAATACAAGTTCCAACTGTAATAAATTATATTTTTTGGAGGGGTGGCAGTAGGGGGTGGAGAGAAAAAAACTAACCCAAAAATAACTATTACAAACAAAACAAAGCAAAATGGAGACGGGAGGGGGGAAGGAAGTATATATAATTATTAACCCTTCCCCAGACTCTCAACACAAATGTTTTGTGATGGGGGGAGATTCAATCAGGAGGCAGATAGTAGCACACAATGATGAAATGAGGAACATTTCCCATTTATCCCGAAATGGGGGAAGGAGAGAGGGAGCCATAATACCTGTTTGAACTGAGGTAACCTTAAGAAACAGGAGGCTGAGTGCACATTACGCGCTTCAAGTACATTCAAATGACATTTCCTCCCACAAGGAAATTTGGGCACTGTAGTTTCTTAAGGATTACTGGAGAGATAAACTACAGTACCCAAAAGCCTAAAGGGTGGAAAATGTGTTTCCAATGTGCTTTAAAGGTACAGAATCATAGAATCGTGGAGTTGGAAGGGATCCCTGAGGATCATCTAGTCCAACCCCCTGCAATGCAGGAATCTCAAGTAAAACATCCATGGCAGGTGGCCATCTGACCTCTGCTTAAAAACCTCCAAGGAAGGAGAGTCCACACTTCCCAAGGGAGACCATTCCATTGTCAAACAGCTCTTACTGTCACAAGGTTTTTCCTGATGTTTAGGCAGAATTTCCTTTCTTATAACTTGAATCCATTGGTTCGAGTCCTACCCTCCGGAGCAAGAGAAAACAAGAAGATGAGAAAACAAGAAGATACTGGAAGATGGCTATCCTATCTCCTTTCAGTCTCCTCTTTTCCAGGCTAATTATGCACAGACAAGCCTGAGTCTTCCACTTCTTGAGGTGACCTAAAGTTCAAACAGGTGCCGTAGCTTCCCCACAATTCAAAATAAATGAGAAATGTTCCAGCATCATCACAAAACAAAATCAGAAGTTTGTTTGAGAACATGTGATTTGACCACCTGTACTCATCCGAGACAGTAGATTCTCCTACCTGGATGCTAGACCCTCGAGGTGTTTAGGAGAAGGTCTTCCCCACCACCACCTCCCTCACAAGCTCTAGCAACATGTAGGCTCCCAAGCCTTGATCATTGCCTCTGGGCTGCAGACTGTAACGGCTGGCAGAGATGCCAAATTATTTTCTACCTTCAACACCTGTGTGGCAAAAGGCAGAAATGCAGCAGGTGAATTCCCAGCACAGCGCTGCCATCGCAAGCAAAAGTTCTGAGGCATTTCTGCTTTTCACCGCCTCTGCTGGCATGGCAGAAAAACCCTACCAGGAAAAAGAAAAAGTGGGCAAAGACAGGACAATTCACCCTGTTCCCAAGGCAAATGACAGCAAGTAACAATTTTTAAAAAGTATCCACGTTTTAATCTGAATCAGGTGCATTTGACTATTTTCAAGCACCCAGACTGGATGTGCTCTCAGAGAAGGCCTCCCTTCAACCAGGGGCTTATCCACACTTACCTTTTGCCCCATGTTTTCCAGGCACAGGCCCAAACTTTAGCGCTCCATATCCAAGAGCTCTTCTTTCCCTGCAAAAACCCACTCTTTAAAACCAATGCACAACAAACGTCAATTTGTGTTTTCAGTGGACTGCCGTTTGCTCCAATTCAGCCGTAAAGAGCAGGTTTCCATGGGGAAACCTCAAGAGCAAAAAGAAAATGCTCAGACACAGAGATTTAAAGAGCAGGCAGTGCCCGGAAAGCGCATAGGAAAACTAAGTTTGTCCTCCTGTCATTATTGGATCCATCAGCCCCCACCAACATGGAATTATGGGAGTTGTGGTCCCAAACAAAAGACTGGAAAAGGCTACTATAATCCATTCATTATTCCCTTATTTCACTGGTTGTACCTCCTATGTGCCCCCACCCACCCAAATGTAGCATGGTAATCTGATATCCAAGAGAGAACAGGACTAAGGCTAAACAAAAATGAGCAATGCACTTATTCTTATCAATTCACACTCCCAGGAGGGAAGTGACTGTATCCTAGGTGTCCCCACCAGCTTTAACTGGGCATGACACTCTAATAATTATGAGGCCAGTCCGCTGCACTGTTAAAACATGCCCTGTTTCTACTTTGTGTCTGTGCCCCTTCTAACCACAACCTCTTGATCAGTAGTATTTCCTTTTGAAATCTAACATCACAACCAGAAATCTAGTATCCACTGATAGCAGAATTTGCAAGATCACTCATGTGCAGAGGGATGTGTGGCTCAGGGTGTTAGGAAGCGCTCACTTCCCCCAAAACCCATTCCAAGAGATGACTCCTTCCTTGCACCCACGTACAGGAGCCTGAGTGAGACAGTTACCTTGCATATTATTTATCAAGAGGGAAGGGACTGGCTCAAGGGCTCCCAGGAAGAGCCGGTGTCAGAGTCTGTGCCAAATGCAAGGCTCACTCTGAGCCCCAAAACAACCAGGCCCCAAACTCAGAGGGGAGGCGTTTCTGCTCTTTGGCACGGATCAGGCTCTAGCCCTCAAGGAAGGGACCTGCCCTTCGAAGAAAACGATTAAGACATTGTGTGTCTTTCATAACAAGGCAGCTCAGAACAGCGCGGCATTTCTCCCTAATGAGAGCAGCCTTCTGCATGCCTTGGCGCATGCCTTTCATCCAAGCATCCCCAAGCCTTTTCCAAACATGATGCTGATTGATTGATTAATTAATGAAATCATCACCTCCCCCCACCCTTTTATATAGGCATGTGTATATATGAGAAAATGCTTCCAATCCCACGGGGTCTTTGAGAAACACAAAGTACATAAACATTTTTCTCCTCTGTTTAAATGATTCACAAAAAGGAACAATGTGGCTGCTAATCCGCCAGAATGATACAACAGCCAGGACTCCAGAAGTGAACACAGAAATCCAGTTTCTCCACTAGACCCCAAATTCTCTCCCTAAACTGGAAAAGTAATGATCACCCATCCCATATGCTTTGAACGTTGCTTCCTTCCCATTGCTAGAATAGATATTGGTGATTATATCCTCCAAATTTCCTCTTCTTCTATGAATGGATGTTCATTTTCTGCTGACAACTTCACTGTTAAACCTATTTTGGGTTAACACAAATGCCACAAGTACTGGTCCTTGTGGGTAATTATTTATTCACTTTCTATTCCCACATACGCATTTTCCCATTTCCAAAAATCTCAACACGGGCAATCCCAGTTGATCATCAATATAAACCTATACAGAAGGGAAAAGGGACAGCGAGATGGGATAGAAACTCAAAGCCACCCAGTGATCTTCATGACTAAGCCAGGGATTTGAACAAAATTTCTCACGCCCAAACTTAGAACTCAAACCATGTGCTTAAACTCCAGTCAGATAACTGGGGGGGGGGGGTGCTTGGTTCTGCAGCACTTCCACATAAAATTACTAAATTGGGTAGCTGCAATGAAACCAAAAGCCATTCAGCTGAAAGCTTGGGACTACAGAAGGATCCAATGCACCCTAACAGGTTACCCAATCAAGAAAGAAGAGAAAAAAGTAAGGTCCCTAATAGACTACCATCGTAATATAACACAACCTATGATAACACAGAGCAGGACAGATTACTGGGTTTATATCCTATACAACACTCTTTATTAAAGCTTAGCTAAGTGTAGTACAACTGACTTTTGGGAAACAATGACATTTTCACCTGCTCCTGCACACCAGAAGGATCCTGTGCTGGAAAATGAGTAAGGCCCACTCAGAGAAAAGACTGCCAAATTTCTGAGAGTCTCAAATGAATGAATTCAGTGCGATCAAAAAGAGCTACCCATTGCCTCAAGCAAACTGGTGTTTTGTTCTAGTCGTAGATAGTGTCAATCCTACCCAGAGGATAAAACCAATGGATTTTGCTCTATACATGGCATTGGGACTCTTAAATTCCCAGCTCCAAAGCGGGAATTACGACTGGTAAATGAGAGCAGACATCCAGTAGCCCGATCCCTCAATTTCTCTAGCACCACTTCCAGGAGAAGAGGCACAGACCCCTAACCCAGAACTCAAAAAGTGACAGAGGAATGGAGGCTCTTCCCCAAAATGTTTTCATGTCAAAGCAAATGCCCATTGGCAAGAATTTCACCATTACGGATGGGGTGAGAGAATATGTCTGTAGAGGGAGATGACAGCCCGGATTATAAGGCGCTGGGGGGTGGGAGAGAGAGGAGGCGTGAAATAATCCTGATGACTAGAACCACTCGTAAAAGAGACAAATCTGCTTCGACACTGCATTCCTGGGAGAGTTGTAATTATAGAAACGGCTCCCAAGTGACATCTCCTCCAAGCCCTTGGGGGTTTCGAGGGGCTGCATTAGGAGGGGATATGTAATTAATCTCCTCTTAGCATGGTGCGTATGCTGGGGGCATTGGAGCGGGGGAAGGCTGTCAATTGCGGGCTGCGTGGTAAAGGCCTCGCCAACGAGTGGAGAGGGTTTGGAAAGCGGGGAAGCCAGAGAAAACCAAAAGGAGACGGTCTTACCTTTGGCCCCAGAGACTGAGGAGAAGCAGGGGGCAGAACCAAAGAAGCAGAGTTTGTCCCATCTTGGCTGCTGAAGTTTTAGTCTGTCTACCAGCTGGTTCTTCTTGTTTAAGGGCTAGTAGGGTGGGGATGGGGGTAGGTTGTCTCTTCGCTGCTTGCTGCTGCTGCTGCTGCTGTCGTCGATTTGCGCTCTTTCTCTCTACTCCTGTCACTTTCCCCTGCTCTTTTAGGACCTCATTGATCGCCTTGGATTGGAGAGGGAGGTGTTTTTGTTTTTTCGACAGCTCGTTGCAAAGATTTGCAAGCCCAAACTGCAGCGAGCACCTCGGGCCTGCCCTCTCTCTCTCTCTCTCCCTCTCTCTTCCCCACCCTTCTCGTTCCTTCAGCAGGGCAGCTGGTTTTCGAAGAGGCGTCGAGGGTTAGTCGTCGTCGGTGAAGGTAGCAACGGGCTCCACGGTTGTCCTCGGAGCTCCATGCGGGCAGGTCCTCCTCCTCCTCCACCCCCCATCCGAGAGCGCTGGGAAGAAAAAGAAGGAGGCTGGCAAAGATCTCTCTCTCTCTCTCTGCCTCCCTGTCTTATGTACACACCCTCTTTCCTTTGCAACTTTTGAACCCCCCACCCGGCTTGCTGAAGTTGCAAGCAGAGGCTGCTGCGACTCTATCAGGGCAGGGTAATCTTTCTCCGGGGGGAAGGGAGGGGGCAAGGGTGGGGTCAGGCCGGGCCCGGCGGGCACGTGCGGCCCCCGCAGCCCGCCCCTCCACTCATCGCGGCTGCTCCCGCCGGGGCAGCTGGCGACCGAGCCGCGGGGCGGAGGGCGCACGAGGCAGCGCGCCGCGACCGGCGACCACAGCGGAGGCGGATTCTTCTCGGCCTGGACGGGACGGGAAAGCAGCAAAAAGCTCTCCACGCGCAGCAAGCAACCGCCGAGCCAGCGCCCCAAGCCCGAGTCCCGACACGCCCGTGCAGGAGCCCTCGGGCGGGCAGGCGGGAAAAGGACGGGCCGGGAAGCGTGTGCCAACCGCACACCCTGAGACATGCACCCTCGCACACACACGCACGCATCTGCAGAGACGCGCACAGCCATCCCGTGCAACCCCGGCCACACTTGCGCGCCCACCTCCTTTGCAGAAGTAACGGCTCCAACGCTGCATGCACGCCCACACGTGCACGGCCCAACGCTGAGAACACGCGCACAGGCGCGCATCGCCATGCACACAGGTATCAGGAGAAATGGGCGCACAACACGTTCGCGCAAAACAGGCGCAACACCCAGCAGTCACAAACATTATTTGCATAGATTATTTATATGCTGCAGACTCGCTCGATGTACATTTTTTGCTAACTATCCACCGGACTTTCCAGCCCGGGCATGCGGCTGCATCATTGTGTGTGGCCGAAATACAACTGCAGCACCTACCGACACAGTTGCAAATGACCACAGAAATGCATGCGCAGCTCTGCAATCCGATAGCTCAAGGCTCGCATACACATCACCATCATCTGGCCAGTTACGTATAACCTGTTCGTATGCGTCCTCGTGTAAACAAAGAATCTTGCAAACGGGGTCCATGGATCCTTCTAGGTACACATGTATATACAGCCTTAGCTTTTCCATATTCACACATACAGGTACAGGGTTCATTAGTTACGTTATTGCTGTATCCTGCTCTAATATCAACAGATATAGGGCAGTTTAGGAATATTTTAATTAATAGACAAATTGCCCCATATGTCATTCAATTACACAGCCCTGCTCTTTAATCATTAGATAGCTAGGACTTGTCTGTTCTGGGTAGATGGAGGGGCTGCTGGTCAATGGCTGCTCCTGCCTCATATAGGAGTCTGGGCTGTAGATGGTGTTCCTTATGAGGCCTTGACTATTTGGTAGGTGCTGTAGGATAACCAGAGCTATTTGGGTTTCTGAAACCTAAAATTTAAAAATTATCAGTTCCCATCATGGTAATGAAATAGCCTGGGGGGAAATGGATGGGTTTGTTTACAAAATGTATTTTTATTAGCATTATTTGTACCTACATTTATGACACTCAAGTACTTTTAATGTGCTTCAAATCCCTGTTGAGGGTTTGAGAAATATCTGCATGTCTGCTGCCATTCTTAAGCATTAAAGAAATGGGATTATTGGCTTGAAAGGCTTGTTGACGTTTACAGTCATTGATCAGAATGCAGATAGATAGTGTTAGCTTTAAACTTCCCTTTAGTCCAGGGGTAGGGAACCTATTTCAGCTTGAGGGCCACATTCTCTTCTGGGCAACCACATGGCAGAGGTGGGTGGGGCAAGAGGCAAAAGTAGGCGGGGCAACAAATGTAAAGTTTACCTTTGTGCAGTAGACTACTTTTCTACACCCTCTCTCTCACACACCCTCTCTATTCTCCACCCAAGCAAACGGGAAAGCATTATTTCTTATTATTATCACTTTATTCACGATTCATCTTACATCCAAAGGTCTCAAGGTGAATTGCATAGCAAACAAGTAAATATTAAAGACGCACATGAAAAGTGACCACACCGAACATCCCCCAAGTAAATATTTCCCACCATGAAATTATCAGAAGCAATCACCACAAAACAGCAAGCAGCTAAAAACATCCAAAAAGCAAGCAAGGAACAACTATGAACATTCAAATACTTGGGTGCATTCAAAAGTCCTTAGCCTGGAGCTGAAAAAGTGTCGGAGCCAGACATACCGTCCTGGGGAGAGCATTACAGAAATGGGGAGTCATGGCACAAAAAGGTAGGGGGGACACTAACAACCGCTTAATCACATGTCATCCTTATTCGTATATATATATTTTATTTTTAGAACAGGAGGGAATGGGGAGCAGAAGGCTTCTTCCCCCCACATCTCCAAGGACACATTGCAGCTGGGTAAAAATACAGGGAGGGGCAGTGAGAGTATGGCCTGGAGAGAGTTCCAAGGGCCAGATGGAGAGCTCTGAGATTCCCCACCCCTGCTAGAGATTGCCTTGTCTTCTCTTGCTATATATTAGGCCAAAGTCTGTGAGCCCTCAAGCTGCCGATTGAGAGGAAGGAGAAGCTGTCTCTTGATGCCTATGGAGAAATCAGCTGCAAACCACATACGTAGATGTAGACTTTACAAGTAGGGTGAATGTGCCCATGTGAAGAAGAGCAGCAGAGGCAAGGGTGCTGGCTTCCCTCCCCTCCACCATCATTTCATTTGCCTTCCTACTTGGTAATGGTGACTGAGGAAGCATAGGAGCCAACTCCTAGGGGTTGAGGTACCTTTGCCCCTCCCCCACTAAAATATTAGAGAGAGCCAGGCCAAGTACACAGGAGAGGCTGCCGTGAAGGGGCTGCAAAGTCCCCTCCCCAACAGCAGTGTGGCTGCCACTTGGGGCAGGAGTGGGGCAGGACGTGGTGAGGATTGGTTTCTTGTGCAGCCCCAACCTCAGCGCCCCACCTACCCTGCACCTCCCCCCACCATCCAGGTAAGGGGCAGTGACACTGCTGTCGGGGGGGGGGCAGCTCAACAGCAGCTTCTGCCAGTATTTCCCCTTACATGTTTACATTACCCAAGTTTTCACTCCTGCACAGGAGTTATCTTTTAGTCTAATCTACTTTACAGGCTTGTAGTTGTGAGGATAAAGTGTGGCAGAGGTGTGGGGTGTGAACCACACGCTGCCACCCTAAGTTCCTTGAAGGAAGGGCAGGGGTTTAAAACTGGAATAAATAATTTGCCCGGTGGATCGATCAGTTAAAGTTCAAATAAATAATGACATTTCTTTTTTAAAAAAACAACAACCCGTAACTACCAACCATGGTAAAAGTGAATACATATTTTTCTGTTTATTTTTCTGAATGCTAGCATGCACCTCTGTAGTCTTCTGTTTCATAATAAACAGCTTTTGATACTTGTGGTTTCACCTGAGAATTCAAGGGTTTTGGCAGTGCATTGCTCACTTTGAGACCTCATGGGCCGAATCCACATAAAGGTTTGGGTGTTGGACAGATGTGCATCCAGTGAACATATATCCCCCCATCCCCGTCTTACTCCTGCTGTGACTAGATGGCTCTGCTGCTCAATGGATGCACACATAGATGGAGCAAAAGGCAGACGGGAAATTGTTAATGTTAATTCTGCTATGAATTCTGTAAATAATAACATGATAATAATAGGGAAAGCTGATGCATTAATATAGAAATTTAGAGTGTCCAAAATGTTTCATACATACTATGCAAGTAATCTAGAGTGTGAAAGGTAGATCAGATCTGTTCATATCCCAGATGGAAAAATGTCTTGATCAGGACCAGCCCAAGACATTTTTCTGTCTGAGACGAAAGACAAGATGGTGCCTCCTGCCTATTCCAGGTACAGAAGCTGACTGGAGTGCAGAGGTGTACCTAAGCTCTCTTGTACCCTTGGCAAGGAGCTGTACCCCTGCCCCATATCCTTGTGCCCTTGGCAATCACTGTCTCTCTTTGTCTTTCTTCACAATTTTTGCACCCTCTTGTGCCAACTTAACCAACTTCTGGGAATGCCCCTGCTAGAGTGAAAATTGAATTTGCCTTCAACTCTGATGATGGAATAGCATCCTGAGGCAGCAGGCTGGTTCTGGGGTGGACAGGATAGGCTGTACAACAAATGTAATTCTGTCTTCCAAAAGAGTGTTGGGGGGAGGGGGGGAGAGAAACAGCCACGTGCTTCCCCTACTACCCCCCATCATCTGCCACCTAAGGCATTCATCTCATTTTGCCTAATGGTAGGGCCAGCCCTGGTCTTGCCAAATGGTCTGGCAGTGCAGTCCTCAGCTGAAACTGCTAGCTTGTACAGTGCACTGACTCGCGAGCATTCTGCAAATATCTGCCTACCTGGCTCTAGTACTTTTGACGCTTTCCATCAAATTACCTAACATAGTTTCAGAAATTAAGTCAGCGCTAACTGTAGTCCACAAAATGCTTTTTTACCATAAGGAACGTGTTTGTTTTTAAGGTGCCACAAGACTCTTTGTTGTTTCTGTTGGACTACACAGCAGCCCGGCTACCCCCTCTGGAAATTGTTACAGAGCTATGCAGCAGTGAGAACATTGGGAGGATTCAGTTGAAACTCGGAATGATTTTGATAAAACTTTTTAAGGATTAGCACATTAAGATAAACTTTTGCAAAGACAAATCAGGTACTTAACTACAAAAGGAGAGAAACCTGGCGAGGCAGCAGCACTGAGTTTCTTTTAACCACAACCTGAACACGAGCCAGCAACTGTGAGGCTCTTGCATAAGAAAAGGTGAAAGAAAAAGGCAGAGATTGGGCTGTGTTACAAAAGGTTAGCGCTTCAGGTAGGAAGCCAGTGCTCTTCTTTGCTCAGTTCCTTTTATACCTCTAACTCTGATAAAGAATGTGTTGAGGATCTGGGCATCCAGTTATGAAAACATCAGGAAGAATCAAATGTAGGAATTGATTGAATAATAACTGGAATTATTAAACATTAATAACTGGAATTATTAAAAAATATTTTTTTTCATCTTTCATCTTGTTATTTATTATGACAAATGTACGAAGTTGCCTTGGTCTGAATCAGAGCATTTATTTATTTCATTTATAGCCCACCTTTTCCTCCAAGGAACTCAAGGTGGCTATGTAGCTCTTCCCCTCTTCACGGAATCCCCATAACGCCTCTGTGAGGTACGTTAAGCTTAGGGTTGCCATATTTCAATAAGTGAACATCTGGACAGAAAAGTTGTTTACCTTTTTTGCAAAATCACAAAGAATTTGGCCTTTTTTTTAGGAAGATCGGCAAAATTTAGCCAATTTCTGCCAGGACACTGCTTCCGGATACGGTATTCCGTGTATGTCTGGGAAATTCCTAGCAACCCTAGTTAGGCTAAGAGGCTTTTATTTTCTCGGGGATTTTTCTTCATTGGGAATCTCATGACACAAGCATGATAAATTCCATGAGGTTGGGGAGTTCTCTGGAATGGAGGATCCTTAAGCGCTTTGGACCACAGTGGATATGGGATTGTGGGGTTTATCTAGAATCATCCGGAACAGCAGTGGGGTTTTCCTCTGCTATTTACAGGTGTTCAAATAATCCCTTTCCTCTCTATAATCACAGCCTTTGTATAAATGGCCTGTGCTGGGTGTTTAAATGTGGTGCACCATGACAGTAGCTGGCTCTGCATTTTTCCACCTAGGCAAAGATCCATGTTTTTCTGTAGTCGAGATGGGAACTGTTATTACTTGGGGCTATGACTGGGCTATAACCTTATAACTCTACGTTTGACCCTTATGCAGGCAGATGCTAATCTGCCAAGGATGCCCTCATTTTAGAGAATAACCACAAGCCTGCAATTCTGCCTAGTGGATTTTTAAAACAATCCGTCAACCCTGTGTACTCCAGAAGGCTTCCTTCAGGAAGCGGCTTAGACTCTCTATGTGGGACCCTCAGAGAAATAACCACTGAATATTTGTCTCCAAGGAAATTATAGAATCTCTTTATCTGGAGGTTTTCAAGAGAAAATGGGTGATTGGCTGCTGGGTATCATTTAAATTTAAGGAATTTGCTGGGTATGACCCATAGGAACTCTTCCGGATACATGATTCTATCAATCTGTGGAAACAGAACATACTATACAGACACCAAGAAACATCACTATGTTGACGGAAGCCTCTCATGCTGACAGCAAAGCCCTTGCATACACAAAACATATCACCCTGTCTTAAGCAAGCATGACTTTGGGGCAAAGCAGATTCTGTACCACTAAGCCACGTCCTCCCCCTAAATTTCAAGCTCGCTCTTGCTATACCTAATAAAGACTTAAATATCTTCAAATATCCAGCCCCTCTGGTAAAACTTTGACATCCTTCTATTTCTAACATGGCAAGGTCCAATGACTATGCTAGATGAAAAGCATCTGCAGTGCCTACTTGGTTTAACTAGCAGAATCCCAATCCCTTTTTTAGTTCTCTTGTTGTAAGCTAACAAAAGCAGGCTCTACAAAGGAGCCCAGGAGGCAGCAAGCATAGACGCATTGCTCCATCTCTTCCACCTGTTGCTCCAAACCAGCATACCTCAGGAAGTCCACTGCATAACATTCAATCTGAAAAATATTATTGTTGTTGTTGTTGTTAATTATGGCTGACTGGCAGAAGCTCTCCAGGGTTTCAGACAAGAATCTTTCCCAGCCCAACCTGGAGATGCCAGGGACTGAACCACTGAGCCACAGCTCTTTTGCAATATATAATTGCCATAAAATTTAATTCATCAACTAAACGCCAGAGACTAATGAAAGATTTTAAACTCCTTATTGTTGACAGTTTTGAGGAGGCTTGGCCTTTCCATCAGAAGGTAAAGCAACATTTATATCAGCGATAGGAAGCTGGTTGCCCTCCAGGTGTTCTGGACTACAACTCCCATAATCCCATGGGCCTATACTGGCTATGCTGATGGAAGCTGGGAGTCCAGTAATAACTGGATGGCTGCAAGCTCCCCATCTTCGATTTACACACACAGTTTCAGTGAAGTAGTGATCAAGGTGACCCAGGAGAAGTCACCTTTCAATATCAGCCTTCTAGTTACAAGGCAAGGGTTTAGGGCAACAGAGATTTGCATATTAGGCCCTTAATGCCTTTCAAGGGTCTCGAGATCCCTGATAAAACCTTAGCAATAAAGGGGCCTTACTCAACAGCACTGGCAGCTGAATCACAGAAAGTGCTGGATTTTCTTCCAGACTCACCAGAGACTTTCTAATCTGATCTCCTTCCATAGAGATGGGGTTGGGCAGGATAAACAATCAACAGTGGAATTAAGAGGAAAGTCTTGAGTTCATTCCATTGAGAACAACACCTCTTTAAGTGCCAATCTGCCATGTCCCAGATAAAGTACTAGTCTTTGTCTCCTCGGGAGCAATGAAAGCTGAAAATTAGGCCTCACCCTCTTCAATCCCTCTCAGTCTGGCCTGTAGGAAGCTTCTTTCACTGTGACACGAATTCAGGCTGGAGGTAGGTGGGAGGAGATAGGAGGTGGTGGCTGCAGACTCACCATACATTTAAAACGCATTCTCCCTCCTCCAGAGAGTCCTGAGGAAGGAAAAAGAGGCGAGGTCCTCTTGTGGATCAGGAATTTGGTCAAGAGGAAGCAGAGAGTAGGAACGAGGACAATTTTCCCAATGGAGCAGGGCTGTCTAATCTGCGAGGCAGGGTGAGGCAGCTGCTTTGGATAACCTTGCCCGCCCTGCTGCCTCTGCTGACAGCAGCACTGGCTTCTGAAATCTTACGAGAGATTTTCAAAACTTTGTGAGATCTCGCATGAGATCTCAAGAGATTTTGGTGAGATTTCATGAGATCTTGCCAGAACTCGCTGTCCCTTCACAACTCAGGTCAGGGAGGCTGCAGTGGCGTGTCACGTTCCTGTTTCACCTCAGGCAGTGAAATGGAATGCAACGCCCCTGCCCTGGCTAGGCCCAGAATTGTTTCACTTCAGAGATTGAACTTTATGAGACACCATCTGAATATTATTTGAGCCATAATGTGTTTGTAGCTACATAAGCCGCAAAAAGTAACTTGGACATTCATCTGAGTTTCTTGCTCAGATTATGTGTGGCACACCAGGGGCCTATCTTCCAGTAGAAAATCTCCGGATGAAATACACCTTTCAAAGTGAAATGTGTGTTGTTGTTGTTTTTGGAGCTGAGGGGGTTGCAGAACATGTGTTGGTCACATTTTTGGTACACACAGACATATGCCTATGCAGACAAGCATTTTGATACCCCCAAACTGAACACCTGAAGCAGGGGGGAGGGTTTAATTGCTAGTTTATTCACAAGGACCATATGTTATTAATTAAAAACTGGTTTGATCTTGAACAAAATTAATAAACAGATTATATTTATTCTTCTTCTATTAATAGCCTTTAAAAAAATCACATTTCAGGGAATTTCCACTGAAACAAAATTGCTAGGAAAGTGTGATTCTTCAAACTAAATTCGTTTTTTGGCATTTTCTCCTCCTCCATCACCCATACTTGTTGTAGAAACCACTTAGTCTCTCCGCAGTCTTCAGTGTCAGTCACCTCCCTGCTTGGTACCAACTCCCACCTGAGGACCACACTACCTGGTTAGGCCCACAACTTCCCCTGCCAGTGGGAGACCACAACAGCTGCTTTGAGAAGTGCAGATGCTTGTGGGGATCCTAAATACACACATCAATTTCCAGTCAAATATGAAGGGAAGTGCTTTGATCTGTCTCCAAACCTTAATGACATAATTGGTTCCAAGTGAAGGTATCCCCTTCCTGCTGCTGTTTTACTAGAGCCAAAGAGATGATTTCACAATCACTCGAGCAGCAGGTCTTTCTCTCCACCCCCAGACTCCATTACAATTTCTTCCCTTAAAGTAGCTAATTCACAGAGGACTGGTGTGCCTAAGTAACTTGGCAGCTTTTTGTGGCACTACAGTGTTGGCTGTGCCTCCCATTCTGCATCACTGCCTAACTACCGGTAAATATGTTCATTGTAGGGACATGTGGTTCTGTCTTTGTACGTTGCTGAATGAAGGCATGAACCTGGCCTCACTATTTCACTCACTTGTGGCCTTATGGTGTTGAGTGTCTGGCTGTGATGTTGCTTGGAGCAATATTGCTCTCTCTCATTAACATGTATTGTTCGCAAGTTACTCACATGCATTATGCTGTTTCCATGTTTAGTACAGCTGACTTATTGCTGCACAGATTCATGTTCTTATCAGTGGAATCACTTCATTTTTGCTGTGCACCCATTACCACAAATGACCAAACACTTTGGGGCCATTCCTGATTCTGGTGGTACTTTCTCAGTGTTCTACAGGTGGGGAGAGAGGAAGCACTTAAGCTGCTGGTGATTCTTCTGTTGTCACTCACTGTGGTTGTTCCTGGCAACCTGCTGCAATTTGGCTATTCCAGTAGAAATAGAAGGAAATTCAATTCTGATAAAATACCTACTGAAAGAGATGTATACCAAGACTGTTTGCCAGTTCTCATTTTTGTTTAGGTTTTATGTAATAATAAGTGAACAGGAAGGAGGTGAAATATTTCCTGGTCTCCATTTTAGAACATAGTTGATTATTTTAATGCATGTTGACAATACGGTTTTGGTTTCACATACATAAATACACTGGAGAAGGCTAATGAGAGATGTTCAAAGTTTCTGCAAGGAATTACTCATAATTTATTCCAAAACAAAAGTTGTAGTGTTTCGTAAAATACAACCACAACCCCTGCCCCAGGTGCAGACAGACTATGGATGGGCATGTAATTGAACAGGTCAAAACCTTTACATTTCTGGATATACTTTCCCTGGAAAATGCTCCTGGCTACCCCAGCACACTGTTAAATTTAAAACTTTCAAAACTTCTTAAGCAATGTGGAACTTTACCTGTGGAACAGGTGGAAGCTTAGTAATTCCGGCACTGAATATATTCACAAGAAAGATGACGCCATAGCTCTGTCAACTCTAGGTGTGGGGACGTGAAAGCATTAGTTCCCTTGAAAGCCTTCAAAAAAAATTTAATGATCATACCTTGCTCTGCCTCAAGGCATTCCAGTAGCTCAACTGCGAACAGTAATAGGCTTTAAGATCTGCTAATGAAACCCTCATTCTGCATTGGCTTAAGCCCTACCTTATGAAGAACCCACATTCTTTCTAGCTAGGAAAAAAGTTAATGTGAAGTGAGTGCAGCAGTGTGTAAGCTTAGATCAGCAGGATGGCCTAGATTTACTTCCTTAAGTAGAAACAGAGGCAAGGCATAGTAAATTTTGGTTAAAAAAGAAGAATTAACAATTACAGCATTCATCAGGGCATGAAGATGAATCATTATTATTTTTCCATATACAAAAGGGTCCAATATTGTGATACCTTTCTTTTATGCTCTTCTTCAGCGATGGCCTTTGGTAATATTTCATAACATGGTGCCCTGTGCGAGGCCAAAATTTGACGCCCCCAAATGGATCTTCTCAATTATTGATCTCATCCATTTTGCGCCCCCTCAGCTTTGTGCCCTGTACAGGGGAACTGCCTGCACCACCCTAAATCCAGCACTGCTCTTTCTTACGTATAGCCTTTATTATGGCTCCAAGATTTTCAGACATTGGAGGGACGTTACGGCAAGCTTTCAGTTAACCAATGTTTGTGTAGAGGATATTTTTCATGGAGGTGTTTCATTTATACATTCCAGAACACCAAATTTTTTGTTCCGCCGTCCCAGTTTATAGCCTTGGGAATGAGCTGAACAAAAAATTGTCCTTTACTGAGAGATCAAAAGAAACATGTCTGTCACCCGCCCTGTTTCTTTATTTGCTGTGGCAGTGCAGAAACTAAAATTAACACTGGCAACCGTCATGGTGACACTTGTCATTATCCTAATTTGATTATTTGGTTTACTATTTCAGTATTTTCACCATTTATATTGTTTTAATACAGTTTTATACTGTGCAATTAGGTTTGTAATGACCTATGGTTAAAAAATCATATAAACCTAAACTTAAGGCGGGACAAAACACGAAGCCGCAACCATACAGGGTCATGTTTGACGTAATTCTGTATTTCTCTGTCTTCTGAATGCTGGTTTGTATCCAACATTAGCCATACTCAGAGTAGACCCTGACATAATGAACTTATTCACATTATTTACAATGGGTCTACTCTCAGGAGAACGTATTGAGGAACAATCCGCAATAATTACATTTCCCCCTGTCTTCTGAAGTTGGTGATGTGCCTAAAAACCCTAACAACTCTGCAACAAAGAAGCTGAGGGACTTTAATTTCAGGTGGGGATTTTGCAGTACACACCATACATTTAAAGTATATTACTTCCCTGCAAAGGGTCCTAGGAACTGTGGTTTGCACCTCACAAAGCTACAACTCCCAGCACCTCTAAGAAACTACATTTCCCAGGATTCTTGGAGGGAAGTCGTGGGAGGAGAGACTTGAAATTCAATAGCACCAGGAACTGAACTGAAGCTGGGGAGGGGAGGGGTGGAATAGGGGGCAGGAAACTGAGGCAAGCTATAAGCAGGTCTGGTCCTATGATACAGGAAGCTGAAAAGACCCACTTGAGGGTGTTGGTGGAGTGATAGATGAAGGCAGAATTTGTGTCTGAATGGCAAAGCAAGACAGCATTGTATTTGAGTTTGTTGCTGCATTACTTGCATCTTATATGGTTTTTATCATATTTGTAAGTAAGGTCATATGTGATAACTGAAACCCATTGTAGGAAAAGGGAAATTCAGCGATAACACACAGCACAGCAAGGAGACCCTTGCTCTTGGAACTACAGGCATGAGAGTCCGGGAGAGACTTAGAGCAGTAATAACAAAACAAAACAAAAAGCCCTGCTGGATAAAGCCAAAGATCCATCTAATTCACCATCCATTTCTCACAGTGGCCAACCAGTTGCCTACAAGCAGGACCTGAGTGCAAAACTGCTCCTCCCTTGCAATTTCCAGCAACTGGAAAAGGGCAGGCTGAATACTTCTAGGTGGGGGGAAGATCCTACAAAAAGCAAACCCCACCCTAAACCCAGCTGACTGCTGCTTCTGTGTGCACCTTCCTGCCCAGTGTCAGGGAGCAGTTTGAAAACCACAATTCAAGCCGGATGATGATGATGATAGCAGGGAAGTTCCATTGTGACCTGCAATGAACCCTCTAGTAACGCCTGGGGCAAGAAAGCCCAGAGGAACCCCTTTTGCTGCTCCCACCATGCTGGGAGAAACCTCTCATTATCTGCCTGTGTTGTGGTGAGGCTGACACATTGCTTCACTTTGGGAGAATCAGATGTTCCTATCCCCGTCATGGTACACTGAGCTACCCGCTCTACACATCCCAGCTGCAGCACAGGGGGAAGCAATGAACCAACAGAGGGCAAGTAGAGGTCTGTGTGTATGTGCCCGCATGCATGTTTGCCCATATGCAAACAAGCAGCATGTATGGCCTCATATGTGATTGCATGTCCACAGCTTCCCACCTCACCAAGCCATATAATACTAGGCTTCTTTCTTTGGTGTGAGGATCTTTTTTCAGTTTGAATTGGCATAAATATAGATTTGGTATATCTTTTTTCATCTGAGGCTGCTGAGCAATCAATATGCACTGACAAAATGCTGCTTGGAAGCCTGTGTTCCACTGACATAAATTGTATAGATGTTGGCGCTCAGAATCTTAGGTCTTCCAAGTTTTATCTCTGCTCCCCTCCAGCACTAAGGTTCCCAAGGCCAAGGCTGTCACACCTCTCATGAGATCATAGTGTGTAAGCCAGTAACAGATGCAGGTGCATGATTAATCTGCATGACTACGAGGGTCAGTGCAACATCAGAGGAGATCGCAATCAAGAAAAAGGCATAGAAAGACAACTCAAAGGCAGTGATTACAAAACTGCAAGGGAAGTTTAACAAGAAACAATTCCTCATGCTGACAGGTCCTTAATACTCCCCCAAATCCCACTTCTGATCTCAACAAAACCAGGCCAAATACTATTGCTTCCAGTTTTTGGTAGATTCTACACCTTTCCTCATTAGTAGAATCTTTGCACCTGGTAGACCCATCAGCATAAATCTGATGCACAGCTAATCAGTCCAAAGAGGCTTCATCCTTAAGATGGGAGTAGGAGCTGCATCAGGAGAAAGCAAACAGACCATGCACCCTCTTGGACTATGTTGACCCACTCTGCTAGGGCACACACACCTGGAAGTTCACAATAGCAATGCTGTCTAACCCAGAATGCTTCTTTCTCAGCAACATGCAATGCTACATTAAGCCCTTGGCGCCCTCTGGTGGGAAAAAGGTTCTTCAAGCTGCCATCAATAAGTTAATTAGGGAAGAATTCTGTGTTTCGTGTCTCCATGCATGAAAGAGAATGAGGGTTCTGGCATTAATTTATTCTTATGAGGCAGCTTAGGAGGGGGAAAAGAGAAAGAATTGATGAATAATTATTATTATTATTATTAGACCTCCCCCAAATTGACACACCTAAAAAAAGGCTGATGAATGATTGTGTGTGATGACTCCTTGATGAATGTGTGTGACCTACCTGCACATGTCACTTACCTGCTGGGAGCCTCACTTATTCGTCTGCACAAGTGAAGTGCTAGAGGTTTTCCACAAGTGACTTTGACAATGTAAATAAGGAACACTGTTGCAAAGCTACAAAACATATAGGACATGCCTTTCATACCAAATCAGTCCATATCCTAACTGAGTGGTCTTGACATCAAATACATCATCATTCAACCCCAGCATCTCTAACTCCACAGGAGCTCTTGACCTGCAAGAGACATAATCAACACTCTTGGACATGCTCCCAAAGCCACTTAACAGCAATGCATTAATGTTAGGCAAAGTCACCTTCATACCACTCTAAATGCTCTGATTAGATAAGAACATAATAAAACCCTGTTGCTAGTTCAGACCAAAGGCCCAACCAGCCCAACATCCTATTCTTACAGTGGAGCAACCAGATGCCTATGGGATGAACAAGAAAATAGTTTAAACTTCTAGTTAAATTACTAATCTGTATTAAGTGCACTTGTGAACACTTCCTTTTGCAACAATGGATTAAGACACTGTTAGTTTAAATAGCTTTATTAATGCAGAAAGAAACAGCAGCCCCAGCTGAAGGTGGGCAAGGAAGCCATGGGAGCGAGCAGTCAAGCTCAGGGAAACCTCTGCTGTTCTCTCAAACACAGGAAAGATCCATTAATAAATGAGGCACAACACTTCCCTCCAGGGAAACTGTGCATGGCCTATAGACAGAGACCCACATAGGACCAAGATGCTGGGGATGGTGATGGGAGAATGTCAGGTGACACCAGTCTCCCGTCTTCAGGAGTGTATGTCCAGTCAATGAGTAATGGAGGCGCAGGGCCTGCCACAGAGGAGGTTATAGCCAACAAGTGCTGGAAACTGCAGGGAACCAAGGTTTCAGAAACAATCCATTTCCATGCTCTGGGGATCCAAGGCAGTCCAGAATGATCCATGTTCCCTCAAACCCATGGCAGGCTTGATTATGCTCCCTGTCTTTGGATTCTGTGGCAAGTTGGCCATCATCCTTGCCCTCATGCTCTGGGCCATCCCTGCCCAGTGTCCTTTCTGTACCCACTCAAATGCATAAGCTGTGCTCCTTGCGTACCGTGCACTTCCGGCACTGCACCACACAGCACCAATGGAAGCGGCAAAGGCAGTTCTCTTCCAGGAGAAGTGTTTCGTCGTGGTGGCCGCGCCCACAACATAGCAGGTCGCAGCCACTCATGTCCATGGCGGTGCTGTTGCACACTCGTCCACGCGTGCCCAGCGAACCCGTCTTGCGGTTAGCCACGCAGAAGTCAGGTGAGTCGGCAGAGTAGATGAGGTCCTGCCGGTCCGGGGGCTTGATATTCCGTCCCACAGGGATGAGTGTCTTGCCATCGTTGCCGCCCATCACTTTAAAAGCCCCATTAAAGCGTTCAAGGAGGCGGTCACCCACCTCCCGGAAAGGCGGCATCTTCTTCCAGCAGGTGCGTAATGCACAGGAACCCGAAAGTCCATGACACTTGCACTCTGTCCGCATGTGGTTTTTCACTGCCTGGAAGGAGGAAAAGAAACAGCCATTGGAGAAAACAATTCATACCTCCAAGAACACACTGCAATGGTGAAAGTGGCAAAATCAAAATCAGCTCACCACAGAGCTGAACTACAACTCCCATCAGCCTATGCTGCCTGGGGCTGATGGGAGCTGTAGCCCAAGACAACTGGAGGGCACTAGGTTGGCAAAGGCTGCTTTCAACTACAAGGGAAGGTGGGGTGGAAGAAAGCTCATTTTGAGCCTAAAAGAGAAAATGAAAATGCATGTCATCCACAGTCAGATTACTGTGTTCTGGCCCTCAGACCCTGAGAATGACATTGCCTATCAGTGCCTTACATTCACAAAAGAGGAGGGAGGTGATGTCAACAGCACCATGCTTTAGAAGCCAGATTATGAACGAGATAATATCTCAGGAGAACTAGGTTCCCTGTCCCCACCTCCTTCCCATATTCTGAATATGGACCAAAAGACTCGGACTGGGTTACCCTCTTCTACATGTGAGAGCATGTAATACAACAGCAATATTTAGCATTTATGTGATACAGTACAGTCCTGGAACATTTGGAACGCGTTACATATGCTATATCAAGAATTCTACAACAACCCTGCAGTGTAGGCCAGTATTATTATCCTCATATTGAGGGTGGTGGGTTGAAATTGCCAGTTGCCTAAATCTACCCCTACAAAGCTTGTTGCTACTGGATTTGATCCAGGCTCATGCACCTCCCACATTTCAGTACTACATCACATGAGCTCTCTAAGCATGTAAGTGCATAGATCTGTCTGCTTTGCATACCTGTTCATAAACTGTCTAACTGTCCCCTCTGGCCTTGTGTATTATTATCCATTGATAAATTGATGGTTCTGATGGGGATCATGAAATCTTCTTGTTCTGCCAGCCAGTATGTTTTTGGTGGTAATCCAGGATGAGCCCCAGGACTGATTGAGGGGATGGAAAAGACAGGCAGAGGCAGGAGGAGGAAGAGGATACCTAAAGATTACAGAGGGAAATTCAGGTGGCAGGCAATGAAGGCAGGTTGAAAGAGATGCCTAGCCTATCAAGGGAACATGCTTTGGTTATAGGGCATCCAGGGTTGAATCATGAAATTAGAAGCAAGCTTGCAGAAAGGGAGGGAAAATACAAAGAGTTTGATGTGGGTGGGTAAGAGAGAGAGCGCATGCTTGGGATGGAGAGTTGGGAATAAACACTTCATCCAACTCTAGCATTTTTGCACCATTAAAAATGATGGCCAACTAAAGTTAAGGAACAACAGCTTAAAGCAGGCCTGATCAGCTAAAGGATGATTTTTAGATATGAATTTGAGGTGGGTATAAATACTTTTGATAATCAGTTGTTACTCTGATGTGTGGGATTTTATGGTATAGCTGTGTACAGATCTTCTGGCAGGGAAGTGTTCCTCCAACTCCCAATAGTAAAAAGTGTCCAAATTGTTCTACACATATTTCAAATGAATTAATAGTTGGCATAGTGTTGGGGCAGGAACTCTGGCTTGCTGTACCATGGAAATGAAGCCCAGTGAGACAGGGATGGCCAAATACCTGGCAGTGGCACTTGTGCCCTATATTGCCACCCACTGCAGGCTACAGCCCTTGATCTAATTTTATGTGGCCTTTGGCCAATTTTTTTAATCCCTCTGCAAGCGCTGAATTCAGCCCTCTAGAATGAGCAATCTACCCAATTTCTGGCAGCCTGCAGGGCAGTGAGGCAGGGGGCAGGGGAAGAGGGAGAGGAAATTGAGGTGTGTGTGTGTGTGAGAGAGAAAGCGAGAGAGACGGGGGGGGGGAGAGAGAGAGAGGAAAGGGGTGTCAGAAAGAATGGGGAGAAAAGAGGTGGACCCTTCCACTTTTGGCTCTGGGCCACCGCTGGCTTTCGCCTCACTCACCAACAGATTACCCCAAGAAAATATGCCCAACAGAAAAACCTACACTGATTTTCTCCACTTGTTGGTCCTAAAGCCCCTACCTCCAGCTTTATGTGCACATGCCTGTACAGTATTAGCAGATAACATGGCAGCAGTAGTGACAGTGTCTGCAAGCAAAAGGGACTACAGCATGCTGCTGTAGCCACAGGATACTCTGCCCCATTACTGCATGGAACAGAGCATGGCCAAATGCACATGCATAACAGCAATCCTTAGCCCTAGAACCGGATGAGGGCTCAAGCTGTGTGAGAGCAGTTGGGGTGATGACCTTGACCATAGAAATAGGTCTGGACACAAGGCAGGGCTGTGTCACTGGAGTGGAAGTGAGGATATGACGGGCAGCCAAGTTAAGCCTAAGCAGGCCATGTTCTGGCAAGTTAAAAGGGCAATCACGGTTCTCCCCACCCACCAAGGAAGAAGGCCGGGTTGCCTGTGGAGAGAGGATTCCAGATACCCACGTAGTGAGGGGAGGCTGCCCTTACCAGGCGTCCCGCTTCGTTGTTGTGCAGGTCAATGAGAGTTCGAATGTCGCTCTTGCCACGCTTGCGCTTAGCGTCCATGAACTGGCGGGATTTCTCATAGCCAAAGTCAACATCATCCCCGCAGCCGCCCCACTCCCAAGCGGAGCCCTCTGACCCTGTGATGGCGGGGGGCAGAGGAGGCGACCGGCTCCGAGTCGCCTCACAACCGCATGGCAGCAACTCGCCCATGCTGCAGGCCTGGGTGACGGCATGGCTCACGCCGGCCGCTGTGATGGCATAGACAAAGGCTGTCTCCCGGATATCTGTGTAAGAGAGTGAGAGGGCAGAGCAGGGGAAGAAGAAAGAAATGGAGAACATCAAATGGAGTCAGGTTTAAACAAACAAACAAGCCACTAGTTCATGGGCCTGCCAAGGGTAAATCTGGCAAAAAGCACGGCCTTTAAAAAAGCATAACAAACAGAAATCCAACCAATGAAGATTCCCCCCACTGCAGTTCCAGGGTGGGTGCACCTGTTCAGTTTCTGCCTCCCCTTTGTTAAACACATTTTAAAAGTAGGGTGAGAGGAAGTAAACTCTGCTCCTTAGTAGAACTAAGTTGCCAGGCTTAAGAACCTCTTAGCCCTGCCTCCAGTCAGCTATCACCCAAAGAGGCCTATCTCGGCCTCCAATATTAACTTCAAACTCCAGCTATCTGTAGAAGTCTAACGTTGCAGCCTTATGCTGGGAGTAAGGCCCACTGTAATCAGTAGGCCCGCTGGTGACATTTTAAAAATAGTGAACGCACTCCCCCTCCAAAATAAAAAATAAAAAATACTGGGAATTGTAATTTATTATGGGTTTTAGGAATTGTAGCTCCGTAAAAGGTAAACTACAGCCCCCAGGATTCTTTGGAGCGATGTGCTTTAAATGTCTGCCTACGGCTGCGTGGGACTGGACTATACAGTAAGGAAGTACTGCAGCTTTCCCAGCTGAGGGGACACAAGGGCTGGCTGACTGGACAAGAGGCTGCCGCTCGAGTGGCCACCGCGGGCTGTTTTTGTTCGTATGTTTTTAACCCGAGTGAGGCAGCAGCTTGGGGTGCCATGCAAAGGGCGGCAGAGCGGGAGGCGGTCATAGTTGCCTCACCCGGCACAGTCCGGCGGGAGATTATCCCGCGCAAATCTCAGCGAAAAATGCGCGGCAGCTACGGACGAGAATTGCGCGGCCCCGGTTGAGCTCTTCTTGCTCAGCAGCCCGTCGGAAAACGCGGCGGGTGGAAAAATCAATCTACTCCAATAAGGAATTGCTTTGCTGCCCGAGCCCGGCAACCAGAGGGCAAGGCCGGGTTGGAATGCCCCCCCGCTCTCCTCCTCCTCCTCCTTCTCCACCCCAATAACCTGGATTCTTATTGACAGCGGGGCGCCAGTCGCCCCTCCGCCGCGGGACACGAGTTCCAGGCATCCCTCGCCATGCCGGGACCTGCCGCAGCCAAAGGGGGATTCTCCTTTTGCTTGCTCCGGCACCAGGCGCCGCACCCGCCGGGGGCTCAGTCTCTCCCGTCCGCCCGCCCTCCTCCTCTCACTTTGCCAGCAGTCGCCCGGCTTGTTACAAACCCGGAGCCGCCCGCCGGGCTGAGATACCAGGAGCGAAGGACACGGAGGGAGGACGGGATGAAAACGGGCGGGCTTCTCTGTCTGCGTTGCAGGAGGGCATTCCTTTACGTGGCCGGCTACCCGGCTCGGCAGCAACAAGCTCCCATGCATTTTGCCCGCAGCATCTTCGCGCATACCTTCCTGCGTTGCACAAGCAACACCACCCCCGATCCAGTTTCTATCCATGCTCCGCCGCCACCAAGGTTCACTTGCTTAGTCCCTTGGACTCTAATCGTCGCCTTAAGACATATACGGTAAATGTCCAAGGGAGAAGCGCGGGTGGAAACACAATGCCGCGGCTTGCTAATTAGGGAGTGAAATGACCGACAAAGGAAAGAGCCTTCCATTCTTTTACTTCCGTAGGTTTCGAACTACACCAGATGGGCTTCTTCTCTGGCTGGAAAGGGCTCTGAAGATCAAATATCTAAGGGAAATATTGTCATCGTCAGCATGTGCTCTCAGCAGAAATGGCAGCCACTGTGTATAAGCCCCTATAGACTGGTGAGGGTGTGGGGATTTGGGGGGCTGCGTTTTGCAATATGTTATTAATGCAATAATAGTGCATTGGTAGTGGGTTTATATTGGATCATCCCTGTACCATTCTGCTTTATTAGTTGCATTGCAATGCTTCCCCAGTATTACTGTATTATTGCCATCTGAAAGGGCACAACAAAATCAAGAAAAACAACAGCATGAGTAACTTTGTGGTTTAAAGTTATAGGATTTAAGTAGGAAGTTATGGGACATGAACTGATCGGAAGCAGAGCAGTATGTCCACCCTGAAACTTTTGCAGGTATTGGGAGTGGGATGTGTAGAACCCCTTGTTGTGTATTCCAGTAGACAGAAATTATAACACTGACCTCCCAAGTTGGTGTCCAAAACGTCCTGTGAAATTTTCCTCAAAAAGGTGGCTCTTATTTTTACAAACCCTTTTTATGAGCCTGACAACATTAGTCGTGCCCATAGTGTGCCTGTTGCTGGCCCTAGGGCAGTGCACCAGGATCCTGCCCTGTCCTTTTGACCTGCCTGTCCTCTTACATTTGGGGCAGGGCTGGAAAAAAAAACACACCATCCAGTATTGTGGCAAGGGGGCTTCCTGGGGTGTGTGTTATTTATTGCCCAGGCCCCTATTCTGTCAGGTTGCTGGGAAGCCTGGAGGAAGCTATAAGGACATGTAGGAGCACAGTCTAATTGGGGGGGGGGGCGGAATGGGGGGCAGTAAATCACTCCCAGACAAGGATACATTCTTGGGCTTTATTAAAAGCTGCTGTATTGTCTGGGAGCACCCATAATTGCTTCATTACAAGGACAGTGAGACATGTCATAGCAGTAAACCTTCGGCCTGTAGCAATAACCTGTGCCGCCCTGAAGACCCAGCAATTCCCTTGCCTCACATACTCTAATGCAGTGTTGCCCCGTGCCTTCTGTGGGAGCGAGGGGAGGGGGAGACACAAAGCAACCCCCCACCTAGGAAAATGTATCAGATCCTTCTGCTCCCAGAAAGGTCCTAGTCCAACATCTAATTCCCGTACCACACTGGCTATTGCATCCAGCCACAGTGCAGAAAATATTTGGACAGGGAAAGTGTTGTTTTTTCCATGAGTGACCTTGATTTCATGCACAAAGCAATGAAAGGCAGCACCCAGTTTCATTTTGAGGACTGTCCCCAGATTAAAGAAATCTTAGTCAGTAAATCAAGTGTTTAAATCAGTCACTTAAATTTGTGTGCATTTGCATATGAATAAATCGGTAGCTATACATAAAATGCATATTTCCTTTGCCTTTCAGTGATCTATGCACATGTCACAACAGGCATCTTAAAAGAGCCATTTCTTCCTTTGGATGAGAAAAGGAGGGCTGCTTCTGAGAAGAGCCTGCTACTGTGGTTTTTGTAAGTACCTAGCAATTAAAATAATTACAATTTGTTAAATATCTGCTGCCTGGAGGAACATTTTTAATTGATCAAAAAGGTTTCAATCAATTAATCAACCATGTTGCAGCCCTTCAGAAAAATGGATAACGCTTCTTCCCTTATAAATGATATAAATGAAATTAGTTGTAGGGCTTGGAGCATATAAAGGTTTCTTCCCAATATTTTCCAACATGGAAAGCACTTCGGTGCTGGAAATGATTTGAAACTCTTGTGTGTATCATCACATGCAACAGCTGCAGAGACATGTACGTTTCATGCAAATTATGAAATGCATGTGGCAACTGACATGCAGAATCCAGACTACTTCACACCTTGACATATTTTCTGTGTAAACACAAAGTTGGAGCTGGTGACGTGTGAAGATTTTGCAGGCTGACTGAAAAATATGGTTGCTGTCTGGAGGCCTCAGTACTTTTCAGCATATCACAGCGGGGGGCGGGGATGCTTCTCTTCATGGATACACTTCAGCATTCAGGCATAGACAGAAGGTCACACGCACATCAGGTCTCCTATTCCACTTCAACTATCATAGAGAATTATGGGAACTGCAGTTTGTTAAGGGCTCTGGGAACCGCAGCTCTGTGTGGTCAGCACTTTTAATAAACGACACTTCCCAGGATTCTTTGGGGATTCCATGACTGCTTAGTAGGATACTGCTTTAGATGTATGGTGTCGATGTGGCCAGACGGAAAAGCATTTCTGCTGATTCTGCATCGCTTTGCCCAGTGGTAGAGCTAGACCTGCCTTCTAGTCTCTGGGAAAATCCCAAAGGGAGAAATTGCCTCCCCAAACAACAGCTCACCCTGCTGTAGGATCTTGCCGAAATATTTGCTGTGGCTGGTGCAGTTCCAGCGACGAAAGCGGAATTGGTACTGGCACTCCCGCACGCCCAGCCTGGCCCCCTTGGCCACCTCCTGCATGATCTCAGGCTCCGTCTGGCACAGCTCAGCCTGCTTCCCAGCCAGCCGCTTGGTCTTCCGGCAGATGCTGTTGGGATCCATGACCAATGGGCTGCCCACTGCCCTGGAGAGGTTGGAGGGAAAAGAAAAGGAAAAACACTCTAGCTACATAGAAATGGTTAGGCCTAGGATAGGCATCAAAGATATTGGGTGTTTTCCAGGGGACATTTACATTGAGCATTAATCCTGATTTGTTTGCAGGGAGTTTAGATGATGTTGGCTATCAAATGAGCATTCATTCTGATCTTATGCAGGGAAGCTAGACAATGTAGCTATTCCACACCTCCCAGTGCATGGGCGTAGCAAGCTGAGCTTTTTGTTGGGAGATTTGCTTTTGTTTGGGGGTCAGGCTTCTGCTGGGTGGGAGGAGCAGAACCTCCGTTAATTGAGTATTTTCAATGCTTTTCAATACTTTTTGAGGATTTGGGGGGACGGGCTACACCCCTTGGCTACGCCCATGTCCCAGTGCATTTTTCTATCACTTTCCTTCTCTCAAAAAGTCTGTCTTTTGCGGAAGCAGGTTTGTTGCGCAAGACCTTCCAATCAGCTTTAATTGTGCAACCTTAATTTGTCAGCAGGTGATTGAATCCCACCTGCAAATAGCAACCATCTGGGAAAGCCCCAAAATGATAAAATTATCCACTGAACCCAGATGTCTATGCAAAGCCAGTCTAGAAACAAGAAGACTTTTTTTTTAATTTCCCCTCTGATTTTAAGTAAATTTGTTGCAATTTTATTAGTTTTAATAGTGGCACAGTTATTAGGGGTTTTGAGTCCACATCTTCCAGCTGACAATTGTTCTTTATTGGGGTTGTTGTTTTGGACAGGGAGGCGCCCCCTACATAGCTTTGGGTTGGGTTATTGATGTTCCTTTTTAAGTCCATCATATTTATGGGCTTTATTTCCTATTTTGTTCATAGTAATGCCTTGAGGTTTTAGAGTAGGTGACACTCAAATAACTTACACTGATCTAATGAGAAAAAGGAGGCAGAATAGAATGCAGTCCTTTTAGGATGCAAAGCCAACTTTAAAAAGCATTGGGGTTGAGTATTTTACAATACAAATGCTCTTATAAGTAATTAAAAAAACACTTTATTGTATTCAAAGTTTGACAGTATGTATTTTCAAGGAATATGGATGACTGATGTAAATCCTAGCTAAAGTCCCAGGAATAAGCGTAAACCTCATTCTCTGAGGAGCATCCTAAGTGCATATTGTTTCTGCTCCTACTTGGTGACTTTACTGTACTTTGAATTATATATATATTTGTATTGTTTTGTTTTAATATTTATTCTCTGCTCTGGGCCCTTTAGGTGAAGAATGGATTACAAAAGTTCTAAAATACCTAACCACTACAACAAAAACATCTGCTGTGCTAGGTCAGACTGAAGCACACTTGCTGTCTCTAACAATGGCAAACCAGATGCCCTGGAAATACTCACTAAAAGGGCAAAAAGCACTCATTGCCTGTGGTTTGTCCTCAGCTTAAGTACCGGTACATAGGAATTACTATGCTGGCTTACACCAAAGGACCCTCCAGCTCTGCATTGTGCTTAGCCAATGAAATTACTTCCAGTATATACAGAACCAGCATCCACACAAACGGTGAGGATTGGGACTGTTACATCTACCTCCCTGAAGCTTAGCACTGGCACCCCACAGGGATGTGTGCTAATTGTACACATATGTACTCATTGTACACATGTACTCATTGTACACATATGACTGCATATCATCTGACCCATCCACAGTAATTATTAAGTTTGCAAATGATACTACCATAATGGGCCTAATTGCAGGCGGAGATGAAACAGCATACAGGGGGGAGGTTCAAAAAGTATCTACATGGTGCTTAGAGAATAACTTGCACCTAAATATTAGTAAGACAAAGGAGATGGTGTTGGACTTCCGGAGGAAGAGAGGGGAACCTGCCCTGTTGTATATCGGGGGGGGGGGGCTGTGTGGAGACAGTCTTCTCCTTTAAATTCTTGGGAGTTTACCTTAGTGAGGACCTCACTTGGAAAATCAACATAACTCAGGTGGTCAGAAAGGCCCAACAGAGACTCCATTTCCTCAGGGTCTTGCGAAAGAATAATGTTAAACAACAGTTGATGAACTTTTACCGGTCCACGATAGAAAGTGTCCTTTCATATTGTATCACAGTGTGGTATGCTGGCCTGACAGCCACGGAAAGAAAGTCTCTACAGAGGGTGGTGAATACAGCACATGATATCATGGGCTGTCCCTTGAGTCCGCTAGATGACATCGCAAGGGATTGTTGCCTTAGGAGAGTGAAAAAAATTCTCAGGGATTACTCATACCCGGCTATCACCTCTTTAATCTTCTACCCTCGGGCAGGAGATATAGAAGTATATTTAATCAGCTGTACCAATAGGCTAAAAAATAGCTTCTATCCGTGGGCTGTTAGGCTGTTGAACGGAAAATAACAGCGAAATTGACTTGCGAGGTGGTGTGTTGTTTAAAAAGGGATTGAGTGTTTGGGGGCAGAGGCTTGTTTAATTTCATTGTACACAGGTTGTACAATGACAATAAAGGTATTATTATTATTTCTTTTCCCAGCTGCCACTTTCTCAATCTGACAGCTGTTTCACATGACTCCCCCCCCCAAAAAAAATCTCCACCAGTTGACTTTTAGGTGGGCTTTTAGCGAATTGCTTTGACATAACTTGAGACTTGTTTTCCCCCTTAGGCCAGGGCAGGGTGATCTTCACTTGTCACTGGGAAGCTGTTCTACACACTGGGAACCATTCTACACAGAATAGAACAGGAGACTTGGGGTTGTAGAATTCTGGCCTGTACTTCAGACTACGAGTAAGAGGGGGGTGGGTCATATACCGTATTTTTCGCCCTATAGGACGCACCATCCCATAAGGCGCACCTAGTTTTTTGGGGGGGAATAAAGGGGGGGAAATTATTCCCCCCCCAGGCGCGGGGCTGGGGCGGGGGAAGCCCGAGCTTCCCCCGACCCCAGCCCCCAAACAGGCAGCTCTCTGCAAGCCGTGGGAGCCCGGCGCTGGCTCCCGCTGCTTGCTGAGAGGTGCGCGAAGCCTGGATGCGCTGAGCTCAGCGCGCGCAGGCTTCAGCATGCAGGCAACTCTCCGCAAGCAGCGGGAGCCCAGCGCTGGGCTCCTGCTGCTTGCGGAGAGGTGCGCGAAGCCTGGAGAGTGAGAGGGGTCGGTGTGCACCGACCCCTCTCGCTCTCCAGGCTTCAGCGAAAGCCTGCATTTGCCCCATAGGACGCACACACATTTCCCCTTCATTTTTGGAGGGGAAAAAGTGCGTCCTATAGGGCGAAAAATACGGTATATCTTTGAATACTTCCCCATATTTTCTTTTAATTCCCTGAATGTAGTAACCTTAAGGAAAGGGTTACACTAAATCTCTTCTTCAGCCATGCTTGTTTTCTATAGACAGAGTGGGTTTTTAAAAATAAAAATAAATACTCTTAACTACAGTCTGACATGGTATAGTCTAAGAACAGGTCGTCTCACTATCACTTTATTCTATGCAGAATGGTCCATAGTCCTGAGCAAGTCCATAAAACACAGTGGGTTGTATTTTACCAAGTCATACCCCAGAGCAGACCAATAGAAATCAATTGACTTAATTTACGCATAAATAATAACTGTTCTCAATAGGTCCACCCTGTGTATTACTTAAGTTGGATACAACTTCATGAATTCTAGAAATGTTGCTTGTTCTGGGGTAGGGAACAGCACAAGCCAGAGAAACAGGGGAAACATCTTTCTTTGTGAGGAAACAGCTGACTAGCCTTGAAAAATGATAAAGGCCAGTAAACAAGCTCTGGCTGTATGCCAGCTTTCCTCCTTGGTTTACCAGACGATTCTCAGTGCAGGGGTTTTACTCATCACACTTAAGAATGTGTTGTCAACTTTTTGGGGAGGCTATTCCCAGGAATCTCCTCACCCTAGAATCCAAGGGGCTTCAATTCTCCTGGGAGAAACTTACAAAACTGTTTCATGTCAGATGCAGTCACATGCAACATCCAGATACTGTAATCTCCATGTTCATTCCTAAAAAGAACAATTTTGCTGCTTTCATGGTCATGGAGAAGAACTTGAAAATATGCCATGTTTCTGCTAAATTTCAAAGGCCAGAGAGGGGGTTTGGTGAGGCTCCCTGTGCTCAGGCACTTGGTGTAGCCCACATGCTTCCTTGTGCATCAACTCCTGAACATTTTCCTCCATCATATTTACTACCCATCAAAGAAACATGCAACTTTTTCAGTCTGCAACATGAAATGCAATGCATTTTAGATATCTGAGGCAGGGCTATGGGCTAGGAAGGGATGGATTGATACCAGGAAGGCAAAGAATAACATTAATCTGCTGTGCCCAGTGTTTCATTATTGTCCATTCTTTGTCTAGTGGCAAGCGGCTTAACAGTGTGTGATACCTGATGGTGGTATATAAATAGCAGCTTATTTCAGGGGAAACCTCAGCATCGCAACACTTAAAATTCAGAAGGCTGCCAGCCTGTTCAGAGTCCCAGATAGTGGAGCTAACAGATCTTACAGGGGATTTCCCCACTTGGATCTCTGCCTATCTTGTTGGATAAGAGGGCACAAAAAGGCTCCTTACTGCCTGGCTCATCTTCTGCCATTCTCAGCAAGTTCTGTAGGAATCAAAATGAAGAAGATGAGTCACTAGAGAAGCTGAGGCAGCCAGGGGATTTCCAGTAATGGTTCAGCCCAACTCAGTGACCTGGGTACATGTCCAGAGAGGAAGTTATAAAGCACAGGGTTTAAGGAATCCATGTGCACCACCCATGAACTTTGAAGGCAATGACTGTGCTTGTGAATGAGACCACACAGGCAGTGCTGCACTTTCTATTTGTCCTATCTTCATAGCCATCCATTATGATCCCGTCATGAGCTGCTTCTGCTCTGCAGCATACTGGCAATAGCTCTAGAATGAGGCATCCCTTGTGTAACGGGGTGTGGTACAAAAACATGCAACCTCTTCATAACATAGGGAGAGCCTTGCTGGATCAGACCAAAGGTCCATCTAATTCAGTGTCCTGTTTCCCACAGTGACCAACCTGATGCCTCTGTGAAACCCAAGACAGCAACAGCCCTGCCTTGATCTTGCTCCTTAGCAGCAGGTATCCAGAGGCCTAACCTCATACCATATATCAGACATATATAAGACCTATCTTGCACTTAATGGAAACCTGAGTACCAGTGAGTACTGATTGGAAATGCAGAATGGTCATCATACTTCAGTAAGGCTAAGGAAACGGAAGGACTGCAAACAGGCACTGTTCTCATAAGCACAGCAAAGAAGCAGAAACCAGGAAGAGCATTCTGGTGCAAGGACGTCCCCCAGCTCTACCACACATCCTGTCTGCTTTGCCACCCCCTGCATTTCTACCTCATCACCATCTCTACTCTTTGGCCATCTCCACAGAATCACTGACAGCTTCCAAGTTGTACTTTTCTCTTTATTCAGGAGTATGTACGTTGGGTTGCAGAGCTGTGCAAAGTCAACTCTGAGCTGTTTCCCATTTGGAATGCGTGCTCAGCATTATGTAATCCCACATTCAGATTCAGAGTGGGTAATCTGCATCATCTGGTTTTGACAACGTCCCCAAAGTGTTGTTCACACACACAGCTATAGCCATAGAGATGATGCATTATACGTTTTCCTTGCCATGGGAAACATCATGATGTGTCCTGAGTTCAACAGATCAAGAAGAGTAAACAGTCCATTTGCCATTTATTGGTACATGTTAAAAATGCATCCATAAATCAATTTTGTAATTTTGCTGGGTCTGGCTAAGTATGAGCCAATCTACACATTCTGAAGAATCACACCATACGACTCTGTTGAGACTATATTTTTCAGATTGCAACAAAACTAGGGGCAAACTGACATCAGGCCCTTGAGCTGGCGCTTTGTTGAACCATGAGACAAACTGGATATTTGCTAGATACATGCCATAGCTGACACAACGTCACAAGTACAGGATGTGTAACTTCTGTGCAAAGAAAAAAGGGGATGAGCATGATAAGGTACCAAAGAAACCCAAATGCTAGTCTCATGATATCTAATGCATATCATTAATTGATTATAAACTATTGCATTTTTACAGATTTTGGAGCAGCAGTCCCATGCAACCATGAATAAGAGTAGTCAATGGGCACTGAAAGATGGAGAAGGGTTGAAGTTGAATAAGCACCATGGAGAGAGGCAGTCACCTGCTCAGGACATTGAAGGTCCACTCCTTGTGCACTGAATGCATTGTCCAGTCTATACGTTTAAGGCAGCATTGGACAAAGCTACCCGACCATTCTCAAAACGTTTCTCTCCAGCCACAAGGGCTGGACATGCAATTCTTTGAGATCTTAGTGGCCGCTGGGACCACATAACACCGGTTCTGAGAGATCTGCATTGGCTCCCAGTACGTTTCCGAGCACAATTCAAAGTGTTGGTGCTAGCCTTTAAAGCCCTAAATGGCCTCGGCCCTGTATACCTGAAGGAGCGTCTCCACCCCCATCGTTCAGCCTGGACACTGAGATCCAGCGCCAAGGGCCTTCTGGCGGTTCCCTCATTGCGAGAAGCAAAGCTACAGGGAACCAGGCAGAGGTCCTTCTCGGTAGTGGCGCCCACCCTGTGGAACACCCTCCCTTCAGATGTGAAGGAAATAAGTAGCTATCCTATCTTCAAAAGACACCTGAAGGCGTTCAGGGAAGCTTTGAACATTTAACGCTGTATTGTTTTTAATACTTGATTGGGAGCCGCCCAGAGTGGCTGGGGAAACTCAGCCAGATGGGTGGGGTATAAATAATAAATTATTATTGTTGTTGTTGTTGTTGTTGTTGTTGTTGTTGTTGTTGTTGTCAAATGTATAGGGACAGCAGGGCTCTTTTCAAATACATCTCATTGGTCTGCATTCAGTAAAACAGAGGAGAAAACAGCAATTTTTAAAAATGTGGGCTACAGGTGCCCCTTATATAGAATCATAGACATATAGGAGTCAACTCCTAGGGACTGAGGTTCCTTCAATCACAATAAAGTATTTGAGGGGGCTGCCCCCCAAGTTGATGGGCATTGCTGTTCAAATACTGTGCCGCATCTTGTGATTGATTGTGCAGGGCAGAGATTACCTCCCCCCCCCCCCATATTTTATTCAAGCTGGCACCCCTGATCATAGAATTGTAGAACTAGGCATGTTACAGCTGCAGCATGGGAGCAGTTTTGGGGAGTTAAGTCCATGCTGCTACTGTAACTTTTAGAGGCCCAGCAGTATGGGGGTCCATTGCTCCCTCTGTTCTTAGCCAAGTGACAATAGGGTGGGAAGAACCTATGCAGCTGGCCTTTTGCAGAAGACACCGGGCCTTTAAATATTAAGGCAAAAGTGTGGGGCGATACCACAAACAAGCAGCTCCTATGCTGCTGTGGTAACAAGGGGCACCATACAGATGTAAGTCAAAGCAAAGGGAAACAGAGATACATATGTCACAATGGAACTGCATGGGAAAATACCACAGTATCTGAACAGATAATACTCAGTCACCACAGAAATAGAATTAGGGCTAAAAGCGGCTTATACTAACTCATTCTGATTGTCATGTACAAAAGAAAACTTAAGTATGTAGGGATAATAAATCTACCTTTTGTGATGTTCAGTTTGTGTCCATTTTGGGGGTGGAGTGTTGTTCGCCAGTACAAAAAGTGTAAAATATGTAAGGCCAGACCTCTGATGTGTGTGCAATGTGTGTGTGAAAGCAAAAACAAGCTTTATATTATCAATTTGCTAGGTTATCTCTTAGCTTTAAGATCAAGTACAGTGGTACCTCGGGTTACATACGCTTCAGGTTACTCCGCTAACCTAGAAATAGTACCTCAGGTTAGGAACTTTGCTTCAGGATGAGAACAGAAATCGTGCTCCGGCAGTGCAGCAGCAGCAGGAGGCCTCATTAGCTAAAGTGGTGCTTCAGGTTAAGTATAGTTTCAGGTTAAGAACAGACCTCCGGAACGAATTAAGTACTTAACCCGAGGTACCACTTTAATACAAGTCAAGCTAAAGGGAATTGCATAGGCTCTAGAATCATGAGAGCAACTATGGTAACAACTAGGAGGGCTGAGGTAACATGGTGGGGATTATCAAAACTCCCTCTATTCCTCCAGCAACACACATACTGCAAGTTGCAGCATGAGGTGCTGGGGTTTATGTATGCCTGAAAATCTCTCCTTCATGGATACACAAAAGCATATATATTCCTCCTTCCCAATATTTCTAATCTTCAAGGCAGCTCACAACTAGAATCCAAAACAATATACAACAAGCTCCAGGAGAACTAGCCGGAAAGCACCCCTTAAAAGCATATAAAAAGATAACAAACTCTAAAACAGCCCAAGCTGTTGTAATAAGCTTGGTGGGAAAGGATGGCCTGGTGTCTGAAATGTAACAAAGGCTGAACCAGGCATACAAGTCTGAGAGGGCACTTCCATAATCAGGGCATCACTGCAGAGATGGCCCTTTCCCCTGCAGCCATCTGCCTAACTTTTGAAGTTAGGATTGCCCAGAAAAGGGTACTTGACAAAGGACCTCAGTGAGCCCATCAGGTATGGAGGGACCTACCTGGTTGCAGTTATATTCAGTTGCGGAGGAAAATTGCTTTGTGGCTGGTCAAAGCAGCTTTAATTTATTACATACATCCTGCCTTTTCTTGGTCTGCTAAATAAAATTTACTTTGGTTGCTCCATCCACTTTTGCCTGTGGCCTCACCCACCACCCACATGTGCCCTCCCTTGAATAAAAAGTTGCCCAGTGTGGAGTGCATCCTTCCATCTTGAAAAGGATCCCCAGTCCAGGCATGGGTTGTTCTACCACCCCCGCATTTTATCATCACAACAACCCTGCCAGGTGAGATAGACTGAGGGGCTGCAGCTGGCTCAAGGTCACCCACTGAACTTTATGACTGAGCCGAGAGTCTGAGCAGGGTCCCAGTCCCTGAGGCCAGAGTCTTTCGTCACCAGATCCATCCCATCTGACCGCTGCTGCCATAGAAAGCAGGTTCTAGACCTGGGCGTAAAGAGCCCGGGCGATCTCGAGCTGAGACTTTACTGCGTCGGGGGTGGAGCGGCGCGAGGTGGGGTGGGATGGGGGGTCGCTCCGCTGCGCGCCACACCGGAGTTTTGGCCTGGGCAAGGGTATCATTAAGCAGGGACAATTTGTCCTCCTTTTAAACATAACGATCAAGCCCCGGGGCGGAGGATCAAACGCTGAACTGTGGTTCACCCCGACGAGATCCGACGGGGAAGCGCCCAGTCAGCGGCCCTCCTCTCCCTCCCACCCACGGTGGTCCTCCTCGAAGAGCGCCAAAGGCCCGCCCCCCGGCCCAGCTCGGCTGCGCCCGTTGCGCGCTGACCAGGACGCACGGCGCGCCGAGGGCACGGGCAGAGAGAAAAATGCGGGCGCCCCACCGCAGCTCTCTCTTTTTTATATTAACCTACGGCGCGGGGGTGGAAAAATAGAAGACAACAGGAAGCTGTCAGCTCTCGTCCGTCCCCCAGCCCCGGGAAGGCGGCGAGGGTAGAAAAATGCTGCCAAACTGCTACTGCTTTGGTGGGGGAAGCCGACAGCTCCCGCGGGGCCCTGCCTGAGCTTGTCCCCGGCGCAAACCTCGCCTGGGTCTGCAATTACCGCGCCCTCGGCCCCGCCTGCGCCCAGAAAGCGGCCCCCGAGAGCGGAGTGGGGCCTCTCTGGGGCCGAGGTACTGGGGAGGCGAGCAAGCGGCGAGGGGGGCGGGTGTGGATCAGGGTGGTGGACCTAAGCAGCCCCCCCCCCCCCCATCGAAGGTTCCCCCCTCCGGAGACTTTTCAGGGCACAAGTATAGAAAACATGCACGCGCGCATCTGCATGCTCACCGACGGGGCGCCCCGCAGAAAAGTCAAACTCTGCATCTGAAATGAAAGGTGTTTATTGTGTTGTTTTTAATGCCGCGGCGTCTGTAATAAGGGACTCCTGTGATGCTTTGTAAACAAGGGCTCCGTTTGAGCCAGGGGTCACTGGCACTTAGTCCCGGAAATTGCTCGGTAAGCCATTGCGGCGCAGTGGTGAGCGTTCCTGGGGAGGGTTTCAGTCCCTGGATCAGGGAAACTGGAGTTCGAATCCCTGCTCAGCTACCAACCTGACTGGGTGGTTGTGGGCCTGCCACTCCTAAGCTACCTTGTGGGGATAATAAGGACACCAGTGCGGTTAACTCTTTTTAGAAGGTTGTTTTTCAGCTGTCGTTTATTATTGACCCTAGACTCTTTCTGGAGGAAGGGCAGAATAGATAATTTTAATACTGTAAATAAATAGGAGAGGACCAAAAGTCCATCTAGTCCTGGTGGGCAACTAGAAGTGGAATTAGCTACTCCTCCCAGTTTGGAGTCATCTGCAAATTTGATGGGTATCCCCTCAATTCCTTCAATCAAGTCATTTATAAAGATGATGTATCACAGTATTTTAATATTCTTTTGGAAGCCGCCCATAGTGGCTGGGGAAACCCAGCCAGATGGGCAGGGTATAAATAATATATTATTATTATTATTATTATTATTATTATGTTGAACAACAATGAGCCCAGGCACCCCATTTGTCACTTTTTCCCAGGATGACAAAGAACCATTAATGAGTACTCTTTGGGTTTGGTCAGTCAACCAGCTACAAATCCACCTAACAGTTACCTTTTTCAACCCACATTTTAACAGCTTCCTCATGAAAATATCATGGGGGACTTTGTCAAAAGCCTTACTGAAATCAAAATACACTATGCCCACAGCATTTCCCTGATCCACCAAGTTTGTAATTCCATTAAAAAAATAAATCAGATTGGTCTGGCATGATTTATTTTTGAGAAACTCATGCTGGGTCTTAGTAATCACAGCTTCCTTTTCTAAATGCTCACAGACCACCTGTTGAATTATCTGTTCTAGGACCTTCCCTGGTATCGATGTCAAGCTCACTGGCTGGTAGTTATCTGGGTCTTCCTTTTTCCCCTTTTTGAAGAAGAGGAAAACATTTGCCCGCCTCCAGTCTGCGGAGACCTCACCTGTTCTCCAATAATTCTCAAAAATAATAGACAAAGTCTCTGAAATTACATTTGCAAGCTCCTTTAGTACCCTTGGTTGCAGCTCATCAGGCCCTGGAGATTTAAATTCATTTAAAGTAGCTAGGTGTTCCCTTACTACCTCTTTTCATATTTTGGGCTGCAGCTCCCTCCTTACAACATTTATTCTGTTATCACCAGGTCGGGCATCACTTTCCTTTTGAGTGAAGACAGAGGCAAAGTAGGTGTTGAGTAGTTCCACCTTTTCTCTTTCACCCAATAGCATTTCTCTGTGTTCCCCACGCAGAGGACCCACCACTTGCTTGTTATTCCTCTTACTTCGGACATAGCCGAATAAACCTTTTAGTATTTTTAACCTTTCTTGCAAGCCTGAGCTCATTCTGAGCTTTTAGCCAGCCTGACTTTCCCCCTGCAAATGTTGGCTACTCATGTATACTCCTCCTTTTTGATTTCCCCTTTCTTTCATTTCTTATACTGTACATGCCCTTCTTTACTCTCAGCTCATCTGTAAGCTCCTTATGCAGCCACACCGGTTTCCTTAGATGCCTCCCACTTTTCTTTCTTGTTGGTATTGTCTGCATTTGGGCTTTTTAAAAGGAGAAACTCCCATCCTTCTTGGACTCCCTTCTCATTGAGTATTTCTGACCATGGAATCACACCCAGTAGCTCCTTCAGCTTTTCGAAATTGGCCTTCTTAAAGTCCAGAGAGTGTGTCCGATTATAAGCAGTTTTCCCTTGCCTCTGTATCCTGAAACCCAGGAGAACATGATCATTTTCTCCCAAATTTCCAAGCACTTCCACTTCATCAATCAGTTCCTCCCTATTGGTGAGGACCAGGTCAAAGGTAGATGATCCCCTTGTTGGTTCTTGCACCTTCTGGGAAATGAAATTTTCAGCGATGCAATGGAGGAATTTGTCAGACCTTACACTCTTGGTGGAGTCTGAGTTCCAACAGATATCGGGGAAGTTGAAGTCCCCCATGATTACTACCTGGGATTATTTGCCTGGGAATAAACTCAACTCAATTAAATAGGCCTTGAGTTTATATGGTTAGGATTGTGCTGTAAAACTGTAATCCAAAAACACACTTATGAGTGAATTAAGTTTTATTGAACACAGCGGGACTTGTTTCTGAGTGAACCAGATGATGTTACATGACTTTCATGAGACAGTGCTGGCTTGGGCTGCATACACACAATACATTTAAACCACACACACAGTCAAAGATTCCTGGGCACTAGTTTGTTAGAGGTGCTAGGTATTGCAGCTTTTTGAAGGGTACACTAAAGTTCCTATAATTATTGGAGCTGCTCTTTAAATGTATGGTGTCTTTACATTATTTCCAGAGGTGGTGTTAAGGCGTGGGGGGACGGACGGCTGAGCTACCGGTCTTTTTTTGCCAGACCTTCAACACCTTCTCATCCTTTCAAAAACTTGATTTTAAAAAACCTCTTTGCTTAAAGGGAGGCTGGGTATGCTGTAAAACACAGTGCTGGTGGGCCCCAGACACTCACCATCCTATTTTGCCCAGAGGCACATGCAATAGCTGAATGGGGTGGGGAAGAAGGAGACATGTCACGTGTGGAGGTAGGGGAGGGGGAAAGAGAGAGGTTATGTTAGATGTTGGACAAGAATTATCATTTTAATATGTACATAGGCAGCAGTTCTTAACAGCAGATCGTGAGTGCAGTGGACGGCTCAATCTACATTCAGTGCACTGTGTCCAAAAATAAATAAGTATTGTTGACACCCCTTGACAATAACAGCCACAGGATTTCCCCCCTTCTGAGTCAAACTGAATTTACATCTATGCATATTATGTGAAAAATTCTTTGGGCTTTTGCCCCAAGTCTTTTAAAGTAGGTAGCAACACTCTCAGTTACTTCTCTGATAAAATACATGCTGTTTCAGGGTTGGTTTTCAAAGGAGCATTTTGAGGGAATCTATCACATCATTAAGTGGCGCTGTGGGTTAAACCACAGAGCCTAGGGCTTGCTGATCAGAAGGTCAGCAGTTCGAATCCCCACGACAGGGTGAGCTCCCATTGCTCGGTCCCTGCTCCTGCCAACCTAGCAGTTCAAAAGCACGTCAAAGTGCAAGTAGATAAATAGGTACCATTCTGGCGGGAAGGTAAACGGCGTTTCCGTGCGCTGCTCTGGTTCACCAGAAGCGGCTTAGTCATGCTGGCCACATGACCCGGAAGCTGTACGCCAGCTCCCTCAGCCAATAAAGCGAGATGAGCGCCGCAACCCCAGAGTCATCCGCGACTGAACCTGTCGCGGGGATTCGAACCGCTGACCTTCTGATCGGCAAGTCCTAGGCTCTGTGGTTTAACCCACAGCACCACCCGCGTCCCCTTTTGTAACTTAGATAATAGTTACGGTATAAACCTGCCTTCATTTTGCCACTGTAATTGCTGCTTCATGGCCTAGATTATATAAGTAAATACTGCTTTTATTTCTTCACAAACTAATGTGTATGTGATTGTTGTCTTTAAGGAGGAGAAAAATGGTGATACCAGGAATATCCAATCTGCTTTAAAGCATCCTGGATTATTTTTTCGAGAAGGTTAAATCAACCTTGTCTTAGCTTCCAAGTTTAAGCTGCAAAGAATGGTATTCTGCTGATATCACTAATGTGAGCAAAGAAAGATATAACAGTATATCCTCTCCTAGTGTCAAAATAAATTTCTACAAAGGCATGGCCCCACCAACATGTGCCTGTTCTCAGCCACCCCACCAGCCTGAGTTCTTTCTTACAAACTGTCCTGGGGTGTGGGGGCACTGCCTGTCAGTTTCCTCCTCCTAAGTCTCAGGGTTGCCTTAGTAGAACCTGGAATGGAGGAGGATGGGGACAGAACTGGAATTAGTTGGCTCTGTGCCAGGGCTAGAGTCAGATGCAGGTCAGCAGAAAAAAGCTATGCTTGCCATTGCTTCTGTTTCCACCAATCATTGGCTCTGACTCCACCTACTGTTGGCCTCCATGCCTTGCACCTTACCTTTCCAATGGGGAACAGTCATCACTGCCTTCTCTAGAGCTACAATCCTATTCACAATTACACAGAAGTTAATACCAGTGAACTCAGCAGGATAAACTTCCAAGCAAGCCTGCCCATCCTTCTGCAGATCCAAAAATCTACATTTAAAAAACAACATATGTGAATGAAATCCCCAGTATCTGGGCCCCTGTAGCTGGGGAGTTCTCTCCTGGGCTGTGTCAGATTATTCTGCAGTCCGTGGAAAAGGTCCCTGGCAGGATGCTTGCTTGCTTGCTCCCAGGATATCAACCCAGCAGTAGCAGCTCCTCTCCCACCTCAGTATAAACCTGAAGCTGGCCTAGTAGGGTGAATTACTCAGCTGTCAGTGTGCAGGAACTGAGAAAAGAATCTGCTGCCCCACTTTGGTGCCTCACTTCACCAAACATTCCTCTCAAGAGCTGAGTGGTCCAGGCTTTGCATGCAAATGGGTTTGTGTGCAAAATGCAAAAAACTATAGGGAGACTAAAGGGGGGGGGCAATGGGCAGAGGAAGAAAAACATGACATACTAAAAAATGCATGCAGCTTTTGAGTTTTGTTTTTTCACAATGTGCTGTTATTATTATAAACATTATGCCCAGAGATCCCTGCTTGGCATTAGGAAGAAATAATAGTTCCACCCCAGAAAGATGAGGGATTCCTGGGCACTGACAAATCACCAGGAGGGCTTCATGCTTGCATGTTCTGAGAGTGTGATATATTTTCATTGGATGGGATTATGTAATTAAGAACTGGGAACACCATCAAAGAGGCAGAGCTAAGGTTACATGTTGCAAACTTCACTGTGGTATTTGTTCCCTTGAGTGCTACCTTAATAAAGTGTGTGTGTGTGTGTGTGTGTGTGTGTGCGCGTGCGCGTGTGTGTATGTACACTTTACACTGCATACAATTAAGGAAGGGGGGAAACCAAATACAATGTGAGTTGGGCAGTGAAAACAAACAAAACTTTTTGGTGTGCAACCTCTGAAGTAAAAACAACTGCCCTTTAACTTGGAAAAGAAGCAACCAAAGGGTATTTTTGACGTGTTGTGTGACTGGGCTCTTTCTCTCCTGTGAAACAGAAAGAGAAATCACTGAATTACCCACTTCCACATAATTATACAATTGGGATGGGGAAGCTCCCTAATGTCCCACATTTAATTTTTATTTCCTGCAGTGTGTATCTGAATTGTGGAACTCTCTAGCTTGTGGACATGACACTGATGACTAATAGAATAACAAACACAAGATGGGACAAATCAATGAAAGATAGAAATATCAATAGCTCTTAATTAAGGGTCTCTGCTCATGTTATTGCTTACACTTCGAGACAGCTGCAAGTAATTCCAGCAATGAAAACTGAACTATTGCAATAACTTATATGCCCATGTCTTTTGTCAAGTCATAGAAGAGGAGGCTGAGAATCTTGGCAGCAATCTGACATTCCTTAAAACAGGGGTGGCTAACCTCCAAATTGGGGGCCTGATTGGCCCACCCACCCCCAAGCAAATTTTCTTACCCTTTCCAATGCCACTGATCTTAGCAGGGTGTGTGTGCATGCGAGAATGTGGGTGACTGTGCCCACACACCACTGGCATTCAGCATCAAGAGGGTTGGCCAAGGGTGAATGCCACCCTCAGGCTAAAAAAGCTTAGCCACCCATCTTATAAGAACATAAAAGCACACAACAGTGGTAGGCCTTGGGGTCTCAAATTTTAGTGGCGCCCTGTGTGACACCAACATTTTGTGTGTGTGTGTGTGTGTGTGTGTCCCACCTCTCACCTTCCATTCTACACCATAATTGTGGCACCCCAGAGGTGCCCCCAAAGCTCTGTGCCCAGTGAATCAAACTGGTTTTACTTCCCTAATTCTGCCTCTGCACACAAGCAGGACAGGAAGGCAAAAGCCCTTTCCTGTTGTTGCTGCCAAGCAGCTGGTATTGAGAGCAATGCTGCCCCTGAAACTAGGAGGCTCGGGCTGCTTATGGCTATTAGCCATTGCCAAATGGGTACACTGGAAGCTAGTCCCTGAAGGCAAATGAGGCACCGCCTCACTAACCTCAATCTGCCCTCCTGCAGATTGGCGGGCGCTTTCTTAAAATCAGTCCAGGGAATGGCACTGCCTGTCACCCTCCTCCTCCCAAGTCTCAGTGTTGCCCTTGTAAAATAGGTAAAAAGTAAGGGTAAAGGACCCCTGGACGGTTAAGTCCAGTCAAAGGCGACTGGGGGTTGCGGCAGAGGCAATTCATATGAGGGGAAATGATGCCAACTCTACTGGCCAATGGTTTTGACTGATTTCCACAATAGTGCAACTCATTGGTCATAATAAAATAAAATGGCCGAACAGTTACAAAACATAAAATCTCCGAGCAATAAATAAATAAAAATGCAAGAAGTTCCAGGATCATGAAAGGCTTGTTAGAAAGATTTTTTACTAGTTGCCTAAAATTGTCAACAGATTGGACCTGATGAATCTCCCTTGGGAGGGATTTCTCTAACAGTGTGACTGCCGCCTATCACAAATAGTTTGCCTGTCTGTCCTGCCTTTCCTGTATATGGTCCAGCCTTGCTCCTTCTCCAGACTGGATCCTGCCAAGGCTTACTTTCCTGGTGCTAGTCCTGATCCTGTAAACGCTGTTCAAACCCAAGCTAGTCCTTGGCATCCAATGGTAAGGCTATTCAAGCTAGTCTTGAAGTAACAAAAAATGTCAGAACCATGAACTGAACTCAAGCAGATCTGATCTTATCTTTTGATCTCAATGAACTCTGACTGACTTTGAATAATTGCATAGTTCTCAGTCATTAATATGTAACTTGGGGAGGAATACTTTGCCATTAGTGGTAACATTTACAGTGCAACTGTTATTAGAGGTGCCTAAAATAGCCATTACAATGTCACAATTTGTTTAAGTCATTTGATACACTTCCCAGAGGGTTAGGTCTGCTGCAGCAAACACAATCAAGGTGCCAAAGCCTCTGTTTTTGTGTTTGCTTTGCTTTGTGAGTTTCAAGCACAGATGGGAGGCAAGAGTGTGTTTGCATTTGTGTGATGTGGTCCATTCCAACTTCATTCTGAGTCATTAAAATTAATAATGGGAGTATGCTGGGTTGGCCAGGTGCAAAGGACAGGACTTGTGCACCTTTAATAGAAGCAACAGCTGCCCTGTCTTCCACAGGACTATTAAAGATGCAGGAGCCCTGAGCTCTCTAACATCTGACTAAAGCATGGAAAATCTTGGCTTGCAAATCACAGAAACAAAGAAAATGACATATTGGGCTTTGGTAGCCAACACTACTGGATAGACACTCGCTGAATATGAAATGACAATATTTTGCATAAAGATTACTTTCTTGAAAAAATAATATCATAAAAAGATTCCTGAGAGGCAGGTTGCTCAATTTTAACACTTCACCCACAATACGCAATAAACATAATGAATGAATGCTGATGATATCCAACATCTAAAATAAAAATGGAGTTGTTACAGTTTATACTCCACCTTTATGTCTTAAGCTCACACACCCAAAATTTGTGAGATACAGGCAGAAGTTCAACAGCATAATCTTTTCCTGTCATGGAGAGGCAGTGAAAAGAAAAGCTTCACTTACAGGCATTGTTACTGTTAAATGAGAAGCACCAAAGCTTGCCATAAAACAAGAAAAGAGCAGCCATCTGACACTTGCACAGTATCATACCCATTGAGACATTTCCTGAACATTATTGACCAAGGAACTCCTCTGTCCCCAGTGGGGAATCCTTTCCTGTTCAGCATCATCATGTCCTGGCTGATGTCTGCCTTAGTGAGTCACACCATTGCTCTGTCTAGTTCAGTATTGTCTACACTGACTGGCAGCAGCTCTCCAGAGTTTCAGAAAGGGAGGCTTTCCTAGAATCACCTGGAGCTGTCAGGGATTGAGCATGGGACCTCTCGCATGCAAAACAGGTGCCCTGCCACTGAACCACAGCCCTTCCCTTGTATTTAAGCCCTTGCCTGGTAGCCATAGGCAATGATGAATCGCATGCAGCTGAGTGCATGGAATTCCATGCAGGTGAGTGAATGGGCTGTTGCAGAGGCAGCTGCCAGAGGAGACTGGCTGGTAGACATTTTTGCAACCCTGGTAGCAAACTGTGCAGGTCACTCAGTCGTCACTGCACTCTTCAAAGACACAGTTTAAGAAGCAGAGAGATAGGTCATTCTTTTGCTTGTTTTGGATGAAAGCTGGTTGTGTGGTGGGATGGAATGCATCAAAATGCAGTATTTTATAAGAAGCAACAGGATATATATGGATTGTGGCTAACATCATCTATACACTGCTTCCCAGACCATTAGTGGGAGTGCACTAGATGCAGAATGAATGGGTGTGTGTACACAGCCACACTGTGAAGGAGCCATATATCCAGGATAAAAGATAAATATGTGAAGCATAAGAACCATTGTTCTGATGTGCCAATTGGTGACAGAAAACTTCTAATACTTCTATGGGAAGATCAATATACAAGATTACAGATGGTAGATACAGGCAAACCTGTTGTGGGGGGTACCAGCATCACCCCAGAGGGGCCATTAATACAAGGAGTGTATCAGACTCAGATTATTCTGTTAGCAATCCTCTCTCTGCAAAACTAAGGATCTATCTGACATTGGTCCTACTGGTACAGATGAGTCTCCAAGGCAGTCCCACTTCTTTCTGAAGTGGCAGTGTGTTTGACCCAGTACATGCACCTGCCAGGAGTGGTTATTTCTGCCTAAAATATTATAAATTAAGATCTTGGTTACAAATATATGTGAATGCTCCTTATGAAAAACAGTGTTTGCAACAAATGTATAAGCATTTTCACGATTTGTGTGTAACAGAAAGAAAAATGAGCATTTATTATGAAAGATGGCCGGACAAACACAGACAAACAGGAAGCATGTTACTCAAGATCCCCCAGAGAGTCGCTGACAGATCTGGGAACCAAACCCAGATCTTTCACCAGCATCCCGACCTTAGCCACAGGTTTTCCTCCTCCCACAGCTTTGCAGTGGAAAGATGGTAAATAAATACACACAGAGCCACAAAAGCATTTGTGATTCTCTTAGAAGTGGGCAGTCTATGGCTCCACAGCAAAGCCCATAGGTGGAACAGGCAAAGTGACAAAGGGATTTGGGGCTAAAGGAATTATTATAACCACACAACTGGACTCCAGCACCCCCAGGGCAGAGAGTCTTGACTCCACTGCTTTGGGTTAAAGAATTTCCTGGACGTCACTCATGTGCTTGACTCATCTCTGCCTTTGCAACTGAGTAATTAACCAGCCCAAATGCTACACTGATAAAACCTCAATCCCACGGTCCAGCATCTAAAGTTGGGGGGCAGATCATACACAGAGATGTATTAGTCTAAGATGAGCTCTGAGTTTTCAGCATCTTGGTACAAATTCAAAGGCATTTGATGGCGTTCCTTACAGCTCCACCAGCTTAAATTTAAGGGAGAACCTTGGGGCATTTCTGAGAGTTACCTTAAACTTTGTAAAGTAGCAATTGATACTCGTTCTAGCATCAATGTCTGAAATGGCTCCTTCACCATGACAAAATGTTTGACTGCAAGTTCTGCCAGGTCCCTTTCTTAACAAGATGTCCCACAGAAATATATTTGCGTAAGATGAGAATCTAAGGTCAAGGAGCAACATGAGACATACTAAGAACTAAGCCTCACAGAGTTCAGCGGTATTCCTGTAAGTGAAGACAGGATTGCCACATTAGCATCTCTGGGTTTCCCCCTAAGGTAAGAAGCTAGGCTCTCTGTCTGTGGGAGACAAGGGTAGCCTTTAGAAGAGATGGTCATGCCTCCATGATTCCCACTCCCGAATCTGGTGCTGTCATCTGCTGTATCTTATTCCATTACCATGATGCAACCAGGCCAAACTACCCTCCGTCATACCTCATCCTGCCTTCTCCACCTGTGTAATAGGTATCCATGTGGCTCCACATTTTTTGCTGATCAATAATCAGTCGGTCAACTGGGTAGGTGCAATAGATACATAGATATGCAAGCCAGTGATATGCTCATATGCTGTGATTCAAATAGCCCAGCTCTCCCTTTTACCTTGAAATCCCTGCTCCAAAGCCCATCACAAAGATAAGCTCTCACACAAACACACACCTCTGTGTGTGCATGCGCTGTCCCAAGACAATTTGCTGCTTGTGGTGAAGCACAAGATAGCACCATGCCCAGTGAACTTACTTCAGCACTGACAATGGGATGGCATCTTAAAACACACCTGAGGGCAGGAGGCTGCCTCAGGAAATTGCTTGTTGCACAGCCCACCCAGCTTTGTTTTCCAACAGAGAATAATGCACAGGGGGAAGTGCAGTCACTGTCCCCACACCCCAGCATCAGAGGCTATGTACATGCTATGCCTTTAAGTCACATTCTTTCCCTCAAAGAATCCCAGGCACTGTAGTTTCTTAAGGGTTGCTGGGAATTGTAACTCTGGGGAGATTAAACTACAGTGCCCAGAATTATTTGAAGCAAAGGATGTGTTAAAAGTATAGTGTTTATACAGCTCAAGGCAGCTGCCTCGCTCTGCCTAATGGTGTGGCCTGCACACTCTTTCTCTCATCTTCTGTCTCAGCAAGTTTAGGCCTTTGGAAACACAGTCCTGAAATGCCACAAAGCGAGCTAGCAACTCCAAGATTCTGTATTTAGTGTAAACTTGGGTTGACAAAAGACTTTATATTTTAGCTTGTTCTAGGAGGTCTGATTTTATCTTCTTTTTATGCAAAGGCTTGTAAAATTTTTGTCTTCCTGAAGCTAACAGAGAAGCAATCCTTGTACAAGGACAGGGTGGCAGTGGGAATAGTTTACAAGTCCTGAAATAAATACAGAGAGGTTTTTCTTTTTAAGAAGAATCCAGAATTGTTTTGGAAAGAAGCCTCAGGGGTGGTTTTGCTCATTTGCACCTTCATGATTGTTAAGAACATTAGGAAGTACCTTCTTAACTACTTCATCCACACACCAGGTTCCAACAACAAGGAGCTCATGTAGAGAGGCAATGGGGTGAGGGGATAATCAGGACCACATGTGCCCACAGCAATGGAAAATTAATGGGTGTACAGGAAACCCACTGTCCACCCTAAACAGTAGGGATGATCCCTCAGTTTCTTAAGCTAATAGAGTTGCAGACCAGGTAGGATCCAGAACTGGCTCAAGACGTATCACTGCCTAAAGCAAAGGACAAGATTGTACCACCACCCCACTCCAGAAACAGAAATTGGCAAGAGCTTTATTTCAACACTTGGAGATGGGGCAGCATCCTCCCGGGGCAGCTTTAGAGGACACAGGACAGGCTTCCAGACCTACACTGCTCCAACATCTTGCCACTGCTCCCCACTGCCTGACATTACTGCCTGACGCAACCACCTTGCTTTGCCTAATGGCAGGGCCAGCTCTGGTGGGATGAGAAAAGTGCTTGTGTTTTTCCTGACAGTTGACTATAGTTCCTTCTAGGGGGTCAAGGGCTTATTTTGCTGACATTGCAGACTGTTGCACTATGCCAGGGATGGCCAGCTTCTCTATTCTCAAGGCTTCTCTATTCTCAAGGGCCATGCTACACTCCAGACAGTGTTCTGGAGGCCAGAAGTATATTTTGACTCACATAGCCTGACCCCTTTCTGGGTGGTACGCCGGGCTTTACAATTGACTCAGCACACCTAGCAATAAGGGCCTCACAGCTATGGAGCATGCACACACATCCAGGCATGGCTGAGGCATTGCACATGAAGCCCTCAAAGAGGTGTAACATTAAAACGCAGCTTCAAATAGCTATCTCACACACAAAAATTGAACACAATTTTCTTTTCTTTCCGTGGAAACAGTGGGCAAAATGTGTGCCATGCCTTTATCTGCCACAGACCAGATAAATTTGCTTCTTGTGTTGCATCTGCCCATGAGTCAGAAATTGGCTAAATAAACCAATAAACTCATGTCATCCAGATTACAAAATGTCAGAAGCACAGACCAAGAGGGGCCTGTAAGAGAAGGAATACATTTGTTAAACCAAAATCTATGTGGCTCAAACAATTTGACATGATTCTACCGGGGGGTGACTGTTGGGAGGATTCAGATTGGAGGGTGTTCAGGATCAATTGGCAAGGGAGAAGAGGAAAGTGAGGCTTTGTCTAGACTGAAAAATTCTATGCTTTTAAAATACTTGTTTCACTAGATCAGAGATCTGGTGTAGTGCAGTGGCTAAGACAATGTGTTGTGAATCCCTGGTTTGAAATTTGCCTTTCCTGTGTCTTCCCTTGACAGCCTTAGGTAGATCTCTCTCTCAATCTACCCATCTACAACCTGGAGATAATAATACTGACTGTTATATTGATGTAGTAAGGATACATTACCACCAAAATCCATAGAGCAAGGCTGTGCAAGCTGTGGCCCTCCAGGTGGTTGGACTGCAACTCCCATCAGCCCCAGCCAGCATGGCCAATAGTCAGGGATGATGGAAGTTGTAGTCCAGCAACATCTGGAGGGCCGCAGGTTTCCTCGCCCCTACCACTGAACATTATAATATAGATGCGTTCTCAGCATACGCATCAGTGAGTATAATACTTCCCATATGTGGTAGGGGGGTTAAATTATGGGACTCACCCCTGTCAGACACAGTGATGGCTACTGACTGGGATGGCTAAAAGATAGACAAGCTATAACTAGCTGCTAGCCACAATGGCCCTGCTCTGTCTTCACAGTCGGAGGCAGTGATGCTTCTGAATGCTGGTTGCTGGGAATCACAGGTGGGCAGACTGCAGCTGTATTCATGTCCAGCTTGCAGACTTCTTACAGGCATCTGGCTGGCCACTATGAGAGCAGGACACCGGACTTGGTGGGCCATTGGCCCGATCTAACAGGCGCAAAGGGGTGAGCTCCCGCTATCCCAGCTTCTGCCAACCTAGCAGTTGGAAAGCACACCAGTGTAAGATAAGTATGTACCACTGCAGCAGGAAGGTAAAAGGCATTTCCATGTGCTCTGGCTTCCAGCAGGGTGTTCCGTTGCACCAGAAACGGTTTAGTCATGCTGGCCACAGGACCTGGAAAGCTGTCTGTGGACAAACGCTGGATCCCTTGGCCTGAAGCGAAATGAGTGTCACACCCTATAGGTGCCTTTGACAGGACTTAACCATCCAGGGGTCCTTTATGTTTACCTTTTTTATTTGGGGGGGGGGAGCAGTTCTGAACTGGTTTTTTAAAAAGATGTTACATTAAGTGGCAGTTTGGGCACAAGCAAGAATGCCTAAAATGAGAATCTCTATCAGTGGCTGTTTACAATGGTACTCTCTCCAATTCCAGTCATTGGGGAACAACAATGGGAGGTTATGGTCCTCATGTCTGCTGGAGTAGACAGGCCTTTCATTTGATCCAACAGGGTTGTTCTTAATGGTGATTGAGCAGTCTGGATCATCCTCAGCCAGCAATTGTGAATTTCCTGACAGTTCCCTTCCTTCTGCCTTGCATTTTGTGGGTGTAGGTGGTGTGTGAGAGAGAGAATTCTGTCTCCCAAGATGGCTGTCCCAAGATAGCTTTTCAAGTTGGTTGTGCTACAGACTCAATACTCTGCTACAGAATCAATGGCTGAGTTGAACAAGTCATCTCTGTGTCAGTATTCTCAACTGTAAAAAGGGTTGCTGCTGTCTAAAGGGTCTTTGAAATGCTTAACCTTTTGCTGGATATAAACATTATATATGGGACTTAATTGTAATTGCAATCAGTGGCTGTGTTTACTTGCAAGGAGAACAGGTTCTGGAGTTTACCTACTTAGGATTGGGGAGGACCATGCCTTAGTGGTAGAGCACATGTTTTGCATGTAGAATATCCTGGGTTCAATTCTACCGCAGGTAGGCAATACTAGGCCTTGTATAAGGAAGCTTCCACTGCTCTTACTCCTACAGTTAGAGTAAATCCATCTCCCCTCCTGCAGCATAAACCTATTGCTCATTGCTACGTACTCGAAACTACCGTTTTTATTTTTTTTATAAGATATTTATTAAGATTTTCAAAATATTACAATATAAAAATGAAAAAGAAAAAGAAAATACAAAATAAAAATGATTAAAAACCACTCAATTTTTCCATTACCTATTTTTCCTTAGCGTGTTTCCCGGACCTCCTCATACCTCCTTTTTTTGTATTCCAATTCAATTTGTTGGTTCAGCAAATCCTTACCCTCTTTATTTATCCTAATCTTTGGTCTTAAAAATAGTAACGTTAGATTTTTACCTATTAATAACCCATTTTTCATATTCCCTTAAAGCATTACAGCTGGAAACTACCGTTTTTAAGATAGGGAGGTAATAATATTCTCCTCAGTAAACAAAATCCCTTTAGACAAGCAGTTAAGTGAGAGTCCTTCTGTTCCCAAAGAGGACCCAGCATTGTCCAATGAGGCTTCAAGGGGAGGGACATAACAGAAGAAGGCGTGGCTTAACAAATTCTACACAGCTGGCCTGCTTCAGAACCTGGAATGATACTCTTTGCCACCCATTGTCTCTTTTGCTGCCCCCTGCTGGCTACTGATAAATTCTGTATAGATGCTTCCTTTCTCTATTCAAATCATGTCCCTGTAAAGAAGAAGGACTTCAGAGACTGTGGGCCCCTTTCGGGATCCAGAGCACAGCCTCCTGGGACAATCCTGCGGCTATTAAATCTCAGTCTGCATTCCCACAAGCCCCAGTGCTGACTGTCCAAGGCGTTAATCTCTGCAGCTATACGATCCATTATTACTCAGATCAAGGGGTCGGTTTCCTTTGCCAAGTTGTCTGTGGTGGGAATAAGTACATCTTGTCAGATCTGAGATGACGCAATTAGGGTTTTCTTGTCCCCCAAGGAGCATGATAATGTCAAAACCACTGGATGAGATCAATCATATATTGTGCCCAGAGTCCACAGTAACCGTGGCCAAGCTTTTTACGAGTGATTAGATTACTCCAGGAAAAGCCAGATCCTGAGGAACTGAGCACCTTTCCATTTCTTTACACCAGCAGAGATTCTGGCGGAGAGTGTGAAGGTTCATACACTTTTCTCCACTAGAATCTGATAGAGCTAAATTAAATATATCCCTAATACATTTGTTTTGTGTCTCACACCCCACAACCCAAAGGACAGCACACCAGAGAGCCAGCTGAACTAGATGGACTAATGGTCTAGTTCAGTATGTTAATAATCCAGAGTCTTCTGGATCAGACCAATGGCTCATCTCACATTGGCCAACCAGATGCAGGTGGGGAGCCCACAAGGAAGCCCTGAGCACATCAACACTCTCCCTTCTTGCAGTTTCCAGCAACTGGTATTCGGAAGTGTTGCTGCCTCTGACAGTGGAGTGTTCAGCTTAGTGTATTAAGGTTATCAGGTAAGATTCTGATTTGAATGCTAGGACTGCTCAAAGTTAGGTTGCCTGGCACAAGATGCAGTCCATCTTGACACTTGCACCACTACTGTGGAAGTCCCTCTTTGGAGAAGCTTAGCAGAGCCGCTCACCTGTGATCTTCAGGAAACAAGTGAAGACCATTTTATTTCAGCGAGCATATTTTAATTTTTAAAATGTATCCAGATCTCTTACTGTTTCTTTTTGTTGAGAGATGTTATGGCTGCTTTGACTTCATAGTATGATAACAGCTACTGCCAGTTTGGCTTGTTTTTTTGAAGGTGTACAATTATTATTATTATTATTATTATTACTATTATTATTATTATTACTATTATTATTAGATTGCTGTATATTTCCCTCATTTCATCATTAGCTCCCCCCAAGTGCTTTTTCATGTCAAACTGGTGGGATGCAAATTTAATCTATAAACAAACAGCATTATTTTACATGATTACATACCCCACAGGGCCACTTTTACCAGAAGCTACATTGACAGGCCCAGCCCTATGGGGGAAGTAGTCATATCCACATTAGGAGGGTTTACAGACAAAAAATGGTGGGTGTCAGTGCAAAGCCCAAAATGGCTACCACTGAATTAATTTTTTGGGATTTTTTTTTTAATTAGGAGAGAGTTTGTTATTTGGATTTTCTGCTGCAGATACAGAAACGTATTGGGTTATTTCTGACTAGGTGCCTATGGTCTTGCCAGGGACTGCAGTTTTTGTTTTACGCAGTTCTGGATCTGAGTCACCTCTGGAAAACGGAAATAAATCAGAGGCAGAAAAAATCTCAGGGGTTGTGGTCCCAGGAGTACCTTACAGTGTGAACTAGGGATAGGATATCTGTGTCCCCGCCAGATGTTGCTGAACCACAACTCCCATCATCCCTGACTATTGGCCATGCTACCTGCAGCTGATGGGAGCTGGAGTTCCAAGAACATTTGGAGGGCCACAGCTTCTCCATCCCTTGTTTAAACAGTTCCTCAAGAGGGCAAGTTTCCATAGGTCCCAGTGAGTGACTGCTGCCCACACATACTTCTCATTAAGCGTGGGGACCCACTCTACAGCTCACCTACTCTCTGCTACACAGCCACGGATGCTCTATCTGTTGCAGGCATCACAGTATGCTTTACTTCACCAAAGTAGGCTGTTAATAATAATAATTAGGGCTTTTTGCCATTCTAAGAGAACAAGGGAGGTGTTCATGGTGAGTTTCAGCACCTATTTTTCTAGAAAAATAGCAATAATAATAATAATAATAATAAACCTGTGTTGCAATGTAACTTTAATTATTCACTAAGAAAAGCTCAGTTCTGAGGACTGGATAAAATATGCAAATTAAACAACATAGGAAGCTGCCTTATACTGAGTTAGTCAACAGGTCTGTCTAACTCAGTATTGTCTATGCTCACTGGCAGCAGGGTTTCAGACAGGGATCTCTTCCAGTCCTGCTTGGAGATGCCACTTACTGAACCTGAAACACTCTGCAAGCAAAGCAGATGCTCTGCCACTGAGCTATGGCCTGTCCCCTACTTAGGCATTTGATTCTTTGGAGCAATTTCTTCCACTAATCATAGCAAGGGCAAATATTTAGTAAGAGTGTAAGGGACATTCAGCCCTTCAGATGTTGCTGAACTACAACTCCCATCAGCCCTAACAATCACTGCCAACAGCCAGGGATGATGGGAATGGTTGTTTAGCAACATCTAACTGACCAAAGGTTCAACACACCTGTTCTAGATGGGCGAACACTGGACCTCATCTCTGGACAAATTCTTTTGAGCGTTCACCCCATGTTACCTACACGTTACCCATGTTAAAAACCTTTCATCACATTCTTCTTAACTAGAAAGCTGGTGTTTCTTTCACACATCTTGGGGGGTCTTGGGGTGCTGAGCTGAATTCAGCATGCAGCTGCCTTTGTTTGCATTGTGCAGCAGCAGAACACACACAGACACAGCGCTGTCAGTACACTCCCAGCACTAACTGCTGCTCGCCTCTTCCTTGCAACAGGAGCACACCAACACCGATAAGCCAAAGCTAAAGTGCTAAGACCTATCCGTTCTCTTGGATCGATTTAGCCTTCCTGATCAAGAACTGAAGTCGACAAGCATAGCCTGGACAGACTCTTTGTGCAATGTGTTTTTGCATCCAGGCTTGTTTTCTTCACTGTTTTGCAGCTGGGTTATTTTTTAAAATTAATTTTAAACAAAAGCCAAGAAGAAGCCAACCCATGCTGAACCTCTGCCCTCCTCTGCATTATCCCCTTAAGCTTCCAGCTCAATCTCTGCCAATACACACAAGACAGTCACAGTTTCTCCTTCCAGATGAGTCTCCAGCTCTCTTTTGCCATCCAAGATCCCAACTGCTTTAATCCTGAGCATCCTGGTCAAGTTCCAGCTCTGGGTCTTTTGCATCCTTGCTTGTAGCTGTCCATTCCACTCTCCCCTGTCCTCAGCTGCCAAAATGTTCCTGCAACCAACAACAACAACTACAACCCCAGGCCTAGCTCCATCACTGTCAGAGTTCTGGGGGGAAATGAGCAAAAGAAAGCACTTAGGAGTGTAAATGTATGTGTTAAAATAGCAAACATTTTGGTATGAGAGAGGAAAGGGGGGACATGGCAAGGATGGAACAAAAATGTCTAGAAATGGTCTGCAGCAGAACGCCATGCTTGTCACTCAGTGGGAGAAAAGAGTAGCTCCAGGGAGTTAGCAATTGTGCCTAGTTTTGACATGCACTGAGTATTCGTGCAATACTCCCAGCTCCTTCCCTGCTGCAACTCCTCCTGATGCTACTGGTGCCAAAAGAGAAATCCCAGTGTGATCCTCCTGGTGTGTATTAAATTTAATATCAATTCACAAATCTCCACAGCAGGGGTTCTCAAACCTTTGGTGTTGTGATCCTGCCTAAGTCAAGAAAACAATGGTCCAGGCCTCCCCCGAGTGCAACAAAGGCCTTCTCACGAGATGGCCACTGTGCAGAGACAGCTCAAAGAGGCAGGGCAAGCTCTTTGGTGTGTACTAGCAGCAGGCACCAGGCAAGAAGACTGGGCCCTCTACCATGTTGCTTGCTTGTTTCCCGTGCTGTCCTAGGATGCTGCTGGCGGTGTCTGGTGGCATGTCTTGGGAATTGGCTGAGCTATGAGGCAAAGCAGTAGTAGCTGGTTTGGGGTGTCCTTAAGAGGAGCTCATGTGGGAGACAAAGAAATATGGCAGACCAGCTCCAGTTGTTGTTATTTTAGAGGGTCTTGGCAAGAGGCCCTTTGTGCCCATCCCTCAGTACAAAAGTCCCTTGCTCCCTTCCCACTCTTGTCCTCCCTCAGGGCTCCTTCTGGAGAGCACCTGTCCTAATGCTGCCTTGACATGACAGTGGCAAGCACTCTTCAAGTGGCTTTAAATGATACTTGCTGCTGTCACAGCAGCGTGGCAGCGATGCCTTCACTCTCTGGGGCAAGATCTCCCACAATGCCTCACTCTGAAGAAAGGCCCATTCCTTGGAAAGCAGCATTGAGCTTGCCAGGGTTGCTGCTGGAGGAGGAGGTCGTGATGGAAGGAGATGGCAGCATGGTCTGTCCACCCATCTCAGGCAGTATAATGTATTGTACCAGTCCTGTGAAAGTCAGTCCTTTCTTAGTGTATTGGTTCAGTAGGTGTCCAACAATGCCAGCTCCTGACACTAGCCTTGATAAGGAGGCACTATCCACTAGGACTCCTGTGTAGGCCCGACTGAAATGACTAAGAGCTGCACAAGATGCACTCTGGTGCAGCTCCTATTCATTTCAATGGGCTTGAACAGGATAAGGTCTCCTGTGGATTGTTCCCCATGTTATTTAAAGGGGAAGGATGGTGCCATTTGTCTTTTCTAATGCAGGTGCCAAAACATATTGAGCCAGCCCTAGGAGGTGTTGAGTGGGCACACTCCAGCCCACTGTCTGGAGCAGCTACTGTGTGGATGTGAATGGCTTCCTTGCAAGATCAACATTGCAGGAAGAAGCAGCCCTTAGACGCTAGAACAATAGTCTTCCACCTTTGGTCTCTAGGAGTTGTTGGACTAAAAAACCCATCATCCCCAACAACCATAGCTAATGGTCAGTGGTGACTGGAGTTGTGGGGCTCCACTGCTCTAAAGGATAATCTTTAATCTTTTCAGACCTAGGACCACCCTTAACTCAAACATGCATTTGGGGACTCATTTACTTATTTTTTTTGTAGAACTGTGGCTGTTGTGACCCACCTTAGATCAGGCCATGATCTGATTTTGGGTTCCGACCCACCAGTTGAAGACCAGTAGAGAATGCAAAGGCAAGCACCCCAAATAAAGGAGTTTGCTCCTAAACTTAGCCTGGGATCAAGAAAGGCAGAAGCAAACAGAAGCACCCACTATGGGGGAACAAGGGATTCAAAGGGCAAGCAAATAAACCCTACCCTTGCTCAGTAGCCCCAGTGCTAAGGGAAAGGTGCATCTCCCACCTAAAGGGGACACCAAACTGTTGATTCTCTATGCAGAAAAGCCATCTATTGCTGTAATTTTAAAACCAAGCTCTTTTCTCTTGCTGCAGCAAACTAAAGCAAGGTGCACCTCTGGAAGAGAAAAACTGGGGCATGAACTGGCAGAACTGGGGATCAAATCAGTGAATGAGGACTTCGGCCCTAGGTCCTATGGGTGAAGGATCACTTGGTATTTCTGCTTTCATGCTGGCTGCCAAGGTCTGAAGACCAGGAACAATTCTCTGATTGAGAGGGTTAGGTTGTCCCTCTGCTTTGACTTCTCTTTGACTATGACTGCACAAAAGTCTGATTTTATGTATATGAACGTACGTGCAAGGACCTTTTTGATCATTTTAGGTTCACCATACTTGCCTAGATATTTTTCAGTAGAATGCAATTAGTATTAGTCTGTGCACAGCTGCTGAAGCTCCTGTTTATTTAGTGAGAACTCACACACGTACATAGCAAAAAAGGTGCCACCATTGGTCATCTGTCGATGGCTGCAACATCAAGTAATTTGCACATGTGAATAGGTCGTCCAAAATTAACTGCTGATGAGCAGAACTTTCATATGGCTTGGCATCACCTCAAACCCAGTGCTTTTCAATGAAGTCATTTCACATTTTCAGTGACCAGCCTCTAAGTTTTGGATACATGCATACATTAACAGGAACATAGGATGCTACCTTATACCAAATCATACTGTTGGTCCATTTAGCTCAGTGTTGTCTACATGGACTGACAGTAGCTCTCAAGATTTCAGATGGGAGATGCCCTCCCCTACTTGGAGATGTTTGAGATTGAACCTGGGGCAGTCTACAGGCAAAGCAGAAGCTCCAGCACAGAGCTAGCTACCACCCTTACCCCATATAGGAGAACCAACCCTATGTGTGGCAAGCACACCTGCAAGTCAAGTCTATTTCTTCAGGACCAGCAAAGACACATGCCTGGAGAGATCAGGAGATGGTAGCTGTAGCCCCTGTACACAAGAAGAGCTATGCTAGATCAGGCCAATGGCATGTCCAGTCCAGCATCCTGGTCTCACAGTGGCCAACCAGATGCCTGTGGAAAACCTGCAAGCAGGACCTGAGTGCAAAAGCACCCTTCCCTCCTGTGATTAAAGAGGCCCAGTTCCCCTATCATTCACACCAGTAAAAGCTCAGTAAAAGGTGACAACTGGCTTGGGCTTTCAGCTAGATAAATGGCCCTGGGTTCCTCTGGAGGAGATGCTTATGATGGAGCAATTGTTGGTTGGTGATGCATGGGACTGAACCTGGGACTTTCTGCATGCCAAGCAGATCCCACCCTTTTACTCTAAAAGCCTTCAAAACTTGTTAAGGGTCCATATCTCATGGGTCAAACCTCCTCCAACTTCTGAAGGCTCCAGGAAGGAGCTGGCTGAGACAACCAGGCAGTGAAGGAAGGAAACAAGTTCCCTCAGGAAAAGAGGTGTGAGAGGGAGGCAGGGAAAGGGTTATCCTTTCAGGGCTTGATTTTGGAGGTCAGGCAAGTGTGACAACGTCGAGATGAATCACCTTAGCTAATGAATTATGTCCCGGATTGCATGGAAGGAAGCGAGCCTGGAAAGCACTTAAAAAGGGATCAGGACAGGTTGGGTGAAATTCTTAATAGATTTAAATAGGTCATGTTTCGACAGATACCTGGGCTTTTCCGAGGCTGGGTCCCAGCTCCGGGCTCGTTCGTGTAATGAACCCCCCTTCGCCTCCCCCTTCCCTCTGTCTCCCTGGCTTACCTCCCCCGCACACTTTGATGAAGGCCCCACACAACAAGGGGGGGCAGAACCGGGGGTGGGCGTTCTCCGAGTCACCTTGCGTTTTCCTTGCTCCCTGTCTTTTTAATTAAAGTTGACTTACTGGAGGGGGAGGGCAAGGCAAGGTGCCCCCCGCCCGCCTCTCCAGAAGGATCCGGAGGCTTTTCGACAAGGGGTCGGTCTCCTCGCCTTCGACATCCAGCCAGCCACCCACCCCGCCGCGCTCCTTCCCTGCTTGCCTTCTCGAGGAATGTAGCCCGAGGACAACTCAGCGCTCGCCGGGCGTCTGCTGCCCCATCCCAACAGGAGCGACTCGCGTTTACCTGAAGATCCCTGGGGACTTGGATGGGGCGGGGAGAGCAGAGGAGGGTCGGGCTGCAGAAAGAAGGGGCGCCCTCAAGTTGGAGGGCTTTTCGGTGGGACTCGAAGGGGGAGAGATTCGGAAAAGTGAAGAGGTGGGTGGGAACGAGACAGCTCTGTGGAGATCCGTCTGTGTTCTAAGATCTGAAGCTAAGGCAGAAAAATCTTTTTTGGGGGGGGAGGCGCTCTCTGAGGTTCTATGGGTTCTTTGGGGTCTCTGGGAATACGTGCATATAATTGCAATTCAGTTGGGTTCTTGAGGGGGTCTCTCTGTCCTCCTCACACTATAAAGTTTCTGAAGCCCAGAGTACTACTGATTCCATGGGACCCTGTGGAACTGGAGGAGTGGTGGTGGATTCTGCTCCTTAAGACCCTGTGCATCTATGGAGCTGGGATAATGCCTGCCCCGTCGCGGATTCTCACATCCAACATGACCTCTCTACAAGCAGCCCCAGTTTGAAAGCCAGTTCCGGCCAAAGATCGCGTTCCCCACGGGATTCGTAAACACCTCTCCTTTTCGGACATCCCAGCTCCCCAGAACTGCCCCCGCAGCCCTCCGAGCCTCTCCAGTCTAGAAAACGGTTCGTGGGGCTGACTGCTGCCCCGACGGCACTCCTCTGGGGCTCTCTCCCTGCGCGAGTGAAGCGCGCAGAGCAAACAGCCCTCCCTTGGCCCACGTTCCATCTTCTCCTCGTTCTTCTCCTTCCCCTTTGGAGAGCCCCTTCCTTCCCGGGACTCGCCCTCGGGGCGCTGCGGCTCAGCTACTCACCACCACAGCCCGATGATGTTGGCCGGGCAGAGCAGGATGAAGAAAAGCCCCAGCTGGGTCCGGGACGGGGGCAGCATCCTGGGTGGGGGCAGGCAGCAACGCGGAGCTGGAAGACGGCCGGCAGTTCCAGCGCCGGTCCCTTCTCCAGCGCGGCGCACCGTGCGCCCTCGGAGGCGCAGCTAGACCCGGAGCGAGAGCGCACAGGGCGAGCGGGCTCCGGCGAGCGGCTGCTCCTCAGCCCCGTCCCGGGCGGAGGAGGAGAGCCAGGCTGGGAGGGAGGGACAGACGGACGAGGCTGCTTCCCCCTGACAGGCAAAGCGGAGCGCGGGGAGGGGACGGCGAAAGACAGAGAGAGGGAGAGGGCGGAGGGGGAGGGGGCTGAGTGAGTGCCAAGCGGCGCATTCCGAGCGCACCGATTGCCATCTCCCTCCGGCAGCCCGGACAGAGGGACCGAGCCGGGGAGGCAGGGGGAGGCGGAAGGGAAGCGCTCCAAAGGAGCCGACCCTGAGAAAAGGCAGGGTTCGCTTACCCACCAGTCCTGCTAAGGCCATTTACTTAGCCTGGCACAAACTGCTCGCCGCCGTGCCCTCACCGAGATCCCAGATTCCGGTCAGGGTTTTAAAGCTGCCTCCTGGGGTTCTGCTAGCAAAGCGGCTGATTGTACCCCGTCGGGGCTCCTTCTGGGGTTGCTTTCGTCTGAATGCTAAAAATAAAACCCTAGGCCATTGTAGTGCCCGTGGCGGGGGGGGGGGGGAGCGAGCAAGCGCCCAGCTGCTCTCTCTAGTTAGGCCCCCAAAGGCTTCCTTTCCTCTCATTTTGGAAGCAAGGGCTCAGTTTCTATTCTTCTTTGTCATATGCATTCTATAAACAACAACAACAACAACAACACTGTTTTACTTTATATTCCACTCATTCAGCTTAAGCTCTGGATTCAACCCAGGCATTTCACTCAAGTACTAGCATTAGCCTCTGAGCATGTGCAGAATGCCCATCACATAACCATCAACACACCCACCCTTCAATAAATACATACACATGAGAGAGACAAAGAACTGTTCAGGGGCTACAACGAGCTTTGGAGATAGTCTTGACATCTCCACCCGTGAAAGCAGTATTTTCTTCTATGTAATATCAGGATTGTTTAACAACAGAGTTTGCTCCGCATAGAACCTAAAAGAAGTGGCACAATCCCTACTGACAGGTTTTGCAACCCACAAAAGCCTGCAATCAGTTTGACATATTCAGCATACTGGGATCCAGGTTTGACACAACCTTGCCCTGTCAGGCCTATTCTATCTTTCTTCCCCAGGCTGCCAAAGCTGCACTTCACCATCTCTGTAAAGCATCTGTCATGGTCAGCCAGGCTGGCCTCTGTATCTTTAAACGCATGGAGATGTTGCTCTCAGCCTGGCAGTCTAACATTTCTAACAGGCTAGACCATATCTAGGCCTGATACCAGAAAGAAATGCCCAGACTGTGCAGGTGTCACAGAGCGAATTGGCAGTAAATCACACCATTCAAAGTTGGAGTTAACTCTTTATTAGCAAAAACATGATCTTCACAGACTTGGCTGAGTGTCAGGCCTAATGAGCACAGCAGCTCATACCCGGTAGGTCTTGCCCCATGAATCAGTTGCTGAGACTGAAAGTCCCCTCCTCTCTAGGGCTTTTCCCAAGCAATTGGAGACTGCACCTGCATGCAGCTGGTCACTGCTCCAACTGTTTCAGCCTTCTTCTGGTTTTGGGAGACGGGGTGTGTGTGAGAGAGAGGGGGGAGTTTGTCGCAGCAGGAGGGAGCGATACCCATGACTCTTCACCAGCCTGACTCATCTCTGCCCCTTGGTCTCCCTCCTCCCACTTCAGCTTCTGCCTCTGATTCTGGACTTCCCTCTGCCACAGGCTCTCCCAGTTCACTAAGCCCTGTTACCCCTTCAGCTGCCGACACCTCTTCTTCCCAGTCTTCTCACTCTAACCACTCATCGTCATGCCACCACCAATCCCCAGGCTCTGAGCCTTTTCTCTTAGGTGGTTCCCCAGCTGGTTCCTTCCACCATTCCTCTACATCCACCCAGTCCATGACCACAGGTGTGCATGGACATCAGAAGTTGCCCACGTGTGTCAATGTGCCTGTCATGGCCTCTTATTGCACCTGTGAAAGGTCTCAGTAAATATCCATGCATGAGAGACTTTTGCTCTATCTGCTCAGTCCCTGTTTAAACTGGCTTGGCCTCTGCTACAAACACCACATGGCAGCCAATTTGTGTTATGCCACAACCCCGAGGAACCATGTTGTGACTGGCCCCCATGACACTTTTTCAAAATTCCAGATGTATCCATTAGCCCAAAAAGCTTGGTGCCCCTGCTGTAGATCCTCCCAGAATCTCTTATGCTTTGTGTTATAAGGAAGTGCAGGTGAGCTAGTGTACCACAGCAGTCAAGGGCACCAGCTATGAGCCAAATTACCTCCCGCCCCCATAGCTCTTCTAGGCCTCTTGCTCACTTGGTAGGCATGGGCCAGCTTTACCCTTTGATCTGTACTATGTGGGTGATAATACCTGCCCAGCCTGTCCACTGCTCTAAAGATTGTTGAACCGTGTTGCATGAAGTGCTTTATTTATTCCTGTTGTTAAAAAACTTAATTTTCAAAAGAAACTCAAGACAGCTAGCAAAACCAACATCACAATCATGTTAAAATATCTAACAATCCCCATGCCAACCCCAACCGTAAGATGAAAATATTCACATCAAAAACCAAATCCACAAAAACAAATTCCAGTGTGCTTTGAGCACTTAGAACAATAATAAAAATACTTTTTCTTTCCCAAGAACGGTGTTAGGATTTGGAGTACTCTGATTCTGAAAGCATTTTTATTATTAAAAACATATCAAAAGACCTTCTGCAGCACACAAGAGTACAGTATCCTGAGGAGGCAGTGCTGCCTACAACATAATTTCTTTACAAACAAAAAGCATAAAGAGAAGTAGATAAATTCCTGTTGCTGGGTGCATGATACTAAATAGGAAATTTACTCCTGCATGTAACTTCCCCCAAAGAATCATGGGGATTGTAGTTTGTACAGTGTGCTGGGAATTGTAGTTCTGTGAGGGGGTAAACTAGTTTCCAGGATTCTGTGGGGGAAGTTGTGAGCTTTAAATGTATGCAGCCACACAACTGTGAAGAGTAGACTGAAATCCTCTGCATACTTATCTCAGAGTGTGAACACTGAGGGACTTACTTCTGAGTAAATGCATAGGATTGCATTGTGAGGCTGTAGTCCTACACTCTTACATGTGAACAAATCTTACTGAACAGTGGCACTTACCTCTCCTAGTAAACATGCAGAACTCAGACTGCCGGACTTTGCAGCAAGATCTGAAGATGATTGGAGATCACTGTTCACAAGCACTGCCTGCAACACAGATCATCACTGTGCCCATTTTACAGAGGGACATAAAGGGAGCCTCCAGACATTCATCTGCCTTGATGGAAGAGCTGGCAAACTGAACTCCTGTCTCCCAGGCTCAAGCCCCAGTTTGCAATGTACGGGTATTTGTCAATCAACTCATCTACATTTGTCTCCTTTGAAGTTTTCCCGCCTTGGCATAAAAAGCAAGGGAGAGGGAAACTATGCATGAGTCATATGAAATGAAACCCTTCTTGGTGACAAAATTTTATGATTGAAGGATGATTGCTTTGCTTTTGTTTTCCCTTTTCTTTTCAAAGAGCTCCAGCTCTTTCTATAAATAAACACTTTCAGAATTTCTTCCACGCTGGATATTATTTCCTCAGCAGCATTTCTCCTCCAGGTCCCCAAACCTGGCTTCATTAAAACAAAAACCAGATCAAATTGGGAGGCGGCAAGAAGACACACTTTGCCTGTCATTCTTTCCCTTCTTCTTTCTTCCCCTTTCCTTTTCGCGCCTTTCTTTAGCCACAGACTAAATGGGCATCGGTGCCCCATTGCTACAAACGGGGGGGAGGGACGGGGGACCCCTCAAAACGAAACCCCAATGATAAACGATCCTGTGGACGAGGCGGAGCGAGCCTGGACTCCTTGGTGTTAGTACAACGGGGGCAGGAAGGCTGGGGCTGTCCATGAGGGCAGGCCTCAGAAAGGGCGAGGAAGGAGAGCAGGCGCTTCGAGCCGCCTAGGCCCAACCCCGACGAGAACTCTTCCCCGCGCCCTCCTCCCGCGCTGCTGCCTGCGCCACGCCCCCTCCCGTTTTAGCCAAGGGGCCAGCGGGGCAGGTGAAGCCCCTTTATCTGATTTCCTAACCGCCCAAAAATCCCTTTGATGCCCCTTGTCCCGGGGAGTTCAAAGCGGGAAGAAAGCGAAACTCTGTTTGACGCAGCAGCAGGTGCGTCCGACGGCAAATCTCCATTCATCATCGCGGCTGCGTTGGGGTGGGAGGACCGTGGGGCGGGGGCGAAGGCAGACAGGCCGGCTGGCGGGCCCGTGCAAGAGCCCTTTGCCTTGCAGCCCGGGACACATACACACACGCACACAGAGCGAGAGCGCTACAGACACCCCCACAGACACCCCCACCCCTCGGTGCGGAGTGTCCGGATCCCACCAGCATCGCCTCGAGAGCCACCACCCGCGGTCAGAAATGCCGTTCGTTATCATTGTTTTTATTGTTGGGTTGGAAGGATTCGAGCGCGATTATTGCATGATGATGTGGTCGGAGGCATAGCTGGATAGTTCAATCAGTAGCATAGGAGCCAACTCCTAGGAGTCGAGGAGTCTTCGCCCTCCCCCAATAAAATATTTGAGGGGGCTGCCCCACCACAAGTTGATGGGCATTGCATTCAAATAGTGTGCGTATATGATCCACTGTTCGGGGCGGGGCTTACTCCCCCCCCCCACGATGTTTTATTTAAATTGGCAACCCGATCAATCTCTTAATCTCAGGGCCGTGGGTTGAGCTCCAAGTTGGGCAAAAGATTATTGCATTGTAGGGGGTTGGACTAGATGTCCCTTGGGGTCCCTTCCATCTCTACAATTCTAGGATTCTCGTCCCCCTCAACCCCCCTCAACACACACGTGTTCAATTTTTTGCACATAAGAGAGAACTCTCTGAGAGCTGGTGACTTGCCCAAGGCCATCCAAGAAGAGCTGGATGTGAGCCGGGGACTCAACAAGGCTTAGCCCAGGAAAAGTAACTCTTTTGGAATACCAGAACTTTCAACTCCAGATCGACTTGTCACCTCCCAGGGTATGGGGCGGGGCTTGTAGGGCGGAAGGCGGGGCCTAGGCGGTGCAGCGCTGCTCAGACATTTTAACAGGCTATGGACCCCGGCCAGATTGGTGTTTTACTGCGAGCGGTAGCAATGTGCCATAGTTGGTGGATTTATTCCTGTTCCACGATGCTTCCCCAATGCTGCCTCATTAATGCTGTCTGGAGAAGCTGTGTAGTGCAAGAGAAGCAGAACAATCCCCGGCCCCGACAATTGTGGTATAAAAAGTTGGGAAATTTCAGAAGAAGGTTAGTGGATACACACTGATGGGAAATGGTGGTGTGGCCACTCCAAGCCTTTTGAAGGTGCAAATATTATTGAAAGCGGGGTCACGTATGACTTTCCTGGTAGCATCATGAGCTCAAACAATCATACATTGCAATGAAAAAGATGGGGGGGGGGGGCTTCTGATTACACTGGGAGGGGCAGCTCCACCGTTAGACAAACAGAGGTGGTTGCCTCAGCCAGGCTAGCCAGCTTTTTTTGAGTGTCATGAAAGAACCACAGATTTGTTTGTCATTTTATGTATTGTTATTACTGAATTTTTAATTCCTCAGAAAAATGCTTCTGGGATTTTCTGAGGTACCAAAACAACTTGGCTGACCTGGGGTACTTTATGCACCTCGACATGGACAGGGGTGTTTGCTACAGCACCTGAGGCAGTAAAAGGTCTTGGGTTGTCCCTGTTTCGGACACCAAGAAAAAAGACCGACACAAAAGTGCAAAAAGGTAGACTGCCTCCCAAAATACATTTTCTTCTGCATGTGCTAGCATGAGGAACCTGTGATGATCCAGGTAGTGCAGGACTTCATTCCCATCATCCCCAACCATTGGTCTGAGGGTGATGGAAGCTGAATCCAAAAACAGTACAAGCCAGACTTAATTTGATACAGAAACCTGGGTTTCTCAACCCGATTGTTTGTAACATAATAAGTCACAATTAATTCATGAGTGTCAACAGAATATCGGCAGAATATCATTCTCTCTACAAAGACACACACTCCTGAGATTAGGAAGCAGGGGTTCCAGGCAGGCTTCAGCACAGCACTTCTTGCTAGAAAGAAACCACTGCCCTGCAGGTATTTCAACTCTGCCATCAGAATAAAGTTTTTATTATTATTATTTCTGAAACAGCCTGGGGGGGGGGGGGAATCCTGGCTTACTCAGTGAAGGAAATGGATGACAGCAAAATCCCCTTGATATTGGTGGGAATCAGGAATGGTTGCCTGTAAAGAAGCTATGAATAATCTTTGGTCCTCCTGATTTTATTGAACTGCTACTTCCATCATCTCATTCATTCATTCCCCCCAAAAAAGTATAGTCCAGCTCCCCACAAGATCTGAGGGACAGTGGACCAGCCCCCTGCTGAAAGTTTGCTGACCCCTGGATGAATCTCTGCTGCCAGTCAATTTAATTGCATAACTGCAAGCTCAAATATGATGAAAAGAAATCTGTTCCAGGGTCTTTGACTCTATTTATTTCTTGAAGTGGGACATAATTTTTCTCCAATACTGTGCCCATCAGAAAAGCAGCTGAGTTATCACTACAATGGCGATCCAGGCATTCATGTGATGGTGTAATTATGGTGATGTACTCCAACTTTAACTCCCCCCCCCCAATGCTCTACATCAGATGCCAATCAAACATATCCCTCCCTGCTGCCATAGAACCTTCTGTACCTGTCCACTCTCCCTTCTTTGTGATGGAGATGGCATTACAACATCAGAGACAAATGTTCCAGTATGTGAAGTGTTTTTGGTGCACGTGCTTGCCTAGGTCACAACATAGGATTAAAGCTGCACTAAAGTTCAATCACCTTTCTTTCTCCTGTCCTTTCTCCCTAAAGTTAGGTCTCAAGCATCATTTTGATTCTACATGATCCCTCACATATGTGCATTTACTAAAAGTGTTAAGAGTATCTAAAGAAGAGGTCTTCTAAATCCATCTTTGCTAAGAGGTGCTCATAATATGTAGACAATTCCTTTTTGAGAGAAGCGAACTCTCCCTTGTCCTGACCAAAGCAACTTTGAAATATTTACACGTCTCCTCTCTCACACTTTTATGAACTGAGCATATCCACTCCCTCCAGTATAGCTTATTACAATTTTAACCCTTTAGACTGCTCTCCAGTTGCTGTTTCCAGACAACCTTGACCTCTGACAACTTCTTTTAGAAATTAAGCAGGGATGATGAGCAACAACAAGGACTGTACTCTACTCCCATGTTTCACATCCGATTACAACTCCTGATGAGTCATTTGAATCCCGGTTGCTTTTTATATATATATATATAATTTTTATTAAATTTTCTGTTTTACAATTTAAAGTACTCATTGTTGCATCCTTGAGATAACGACTCCCTTCTTCTCTTTCCATGGTTCATTTTGCATATCATAAATCCCTGCATATTTTACAAAAACTATACCATTCAGTAGTCCATTATTACATCCATCAAAACTTAATTTACACTGTTGAATTTATCTTAATGCTGCCAGCGTTTTCAGCTGTACAGTTATTTCCCATATATTCAATAAACGTTTTCCAATCTTCTCTAAATGTATGTTCTCTTATTCTATATGTTAAGTTTGCAAGCTGCGCCTATTCTGTCAATTTGAGCTGCCTAATCCCGGTTGCTTTTCAGTGCAATCCACCGGATCAACGTGGGCAACTTTTTAAAAAAAAAGTCGATCCCGTTGTTCCTCATGCTTAGACTGGGGATAACCCCCTCGCCCCAATTTCTTTCTTAAATAATAGACAGCCGGGGAAGGCCTCCCTGCCTGGAACCTTCGCCTGGCTCCGCTTGCTGGAGCACAGCGACCCCTAGCAGCCAGCCTGCCAGCTTGCAAGAGCAGTCTGAGGGGCGGCGGTGGCGGCGTAGTCCGGAGGGCTGTGCCACCTGCCGCCCCTCCGGCGCGCTCCCTCGTTGCAGCGCCGCCTCTCTCCCCGCGAGGCGCCGGTCTTCGCGGCTGCGCCTCGGCCCCCGCCTGGAGGCCGAGAAGCTCTTGGCTTCTTCGCCGAGGCTCCGCTGTTGACAGAGGACCGCCCTCCTCCCCGGCCGCTCCGCCGACCCAGGGAGGGGCGGGAAGGGCCGGCCCCGCTGCGGGGAACGCTCGCCTGTCTCCAAGTCAAACAGCCGCCCGCTCCGCGGCCGCATACTTTCCCATCGCCCAGGCCGGCGCTGATGGAAGGCCGGTGGGCCCGGCGTCCCGCCGTGAGGTCATCGAGGCATGTTTGTGACATCCCCGGCCGTCTCCATAGCAGCACGCTGTGATGTCATCAGCACGGGGTCGCGACCTCGCGGCGGGCGGAGGGGATGATCTGATTGGAATAACAAAAGGCCCGGCAGAGAAGGTGGCGGCGCGGGAGGAAGCTCCGCGCGGAGGCCGCTGGTGGGCCGGCCGGGGTCGGCGGGGTTTGCCAGTTGCCCACTCCAGCCGCACACGTCCAGCAGGGCGAGGGATTGGCTGGTTCGAGGCCTGGACTCCCATCGCCCTGCCTAACTCCCGAGTTTTTAGGGCATGTGTGTGCAGCGCTGGCTCGCCATTCTGCCTTTTCCCTGCAACCGAATAGCTAGGGATTAATTAAAAGTCAATTGGCAGTAAGAGGCTGTGTTCACACTTCAGCCCAGGTCTCTTTTTTAACTCCATCAATACTAGACTCGCCATATTGGCAGAATCGGTGAATCCTTCAAGTGTTGTAATTCCTATTTGCACCCTGTCCACAATGGCCAGCGTTGGCTGAATGTTATTGGATGGGGAAAGGCAGTAAGACAAACAACGAGGAGTCTGTGGCCCTCCAGATGTTGTAGGACTGCAGCTCCCATCAGTCCCAACCAGCGTTTTCAGCGGGCAGGAATGCAGGGAGTTCTAGTCCAGCACCATCTGTGAACCCACAGGTTCCTTGTCCCTGCTGTATGAGAATTCCTTCAGTTTTTCCTCTTCCAAGAGGTCTGGGTAACTTTTTGACCCTCCAGTTGTTGTTGGATTAGAAATCCTATCATACATAAACATTGGTCATGCTAGCTTGGGCTGATGGGAACCGGAGTTCAGGAACATCTATAGAGCCATGGGTTCTCCATCTTTGCTTTTTCTGCTGGGAAAGCAAGGTGGCAAAACAGTAGCACACAAAGCCCTTCTGCAGGGTGATGCCAGTAGAGCCCTGGAAGGTTTTCAGGTGAGGCAATTGTTTGCACAGATCCTCTGCTGCTGTAGGCCTATTTTATATAGGGAACTTCCAGATGTTGCTGGGCTCAAAGTTCCATTGGCTCCAGCGAGCAGAAATGATGGGAGCTGTAGCTCAGCACAGATTCCCCATCACCAATTCAGAAGACATCAAGAAAGGTGAGAAGCCTTGTATATGTGCTGAGTATGGTCACAACCATAATTCTCTGCCTTGATTTTGAAAGGCACAAGACGACCAACATCTTTGCACTCTGCTTGGAAGATAAGATGGAATGAAGGACAGGGTTATTCAACCTTTGGATCTCCAGATGTTGTTGCAGATGTTGTTGGAGATGCAGCTCCCATCATCCCCAGCCAGCTTAGTCAGTGATCAGGGATCTGGAGATGATCAGATGGAGACCCAAGGCTGAAGAAGGCTGGCGTAAGCTATACTGCACTAGATGGGACAATGGTCAGACTTAGTACTGCATATGTTCTAGTTGTATGTTCCTAACTACAGCATTGATGTTGAAGGAGCAATTACACTTCCATTCCATACCCAATTGCCACCTACCTTGAGTGACAGGAGCTAGCAAGTCACTGCAAGCTGTCAACTGATCTCATGAAAGGAGGGCAAAATAACTGCTTCAGATAGCAGAATTTTGCCATCATAAAAGGGCAACAAATAACCAATTCACTTACTTTGTTTCTTAATTACAACTGGGAGCACCATTTGGACCCCCTCCCCCCTTGTGCATCAAAAGATATTGGGTTGGCCCTGATGCTCAGAATAGATTCACGCTCAAGTCTTAGCATGAATGAAAGTGTAGCCTACACAGTGTTATAACTGGCACAAATTCCTCCATTTATCTTTTTCTCCCTAATAATGGACTTGTACTCTCATCGTTACTTAAAGCACCATTCCTGTGGCGAAGGAGCAATTTCTTCTTGCGTCTTTGTGCCCCATGGGACTAAGATCAGAATGAGCCAGCAGGCATTAATAATACCAATAATACTAAGAGTACAGTGCATTTTGGAGTGTTCAAAGCACTCCACGTACATAATCTTATTATAATCCTTAAAGGAAACCTGTAAAATTGGGCAGCAGTATTATCCCCATTTTGCAGATTAAGCAAGGCTGAGGCTTAAGAGAGAGCCGTTTGCCTGTGGCTACTAAATGAGTTCCCGGCAGAGACAAGATTTTATGCAAGGGGCCTCCTGATTCATGACTCTTAGCCATTATGATAGTGTCACAGTTTTAGCAGCTGGTAAAAGCTGAATGACACACAGATACTGTGACATCTTGTAAAGGGCTGTCGCGTAATATCTAGATGAGTAAAATGGGGCATTTCTGTGATGGTGGAATATTTGCGATGGTGGAATATTTGCACTGCAAGGCAAGATAATACCATATTTTCTCAAATCTAATGCTCAGCTTTTTTGGCCAAATTACGAAAATTAAGGTACACATTAGATTCGATGGCACATTTACATTCGCCAAGAAATACTTTCTTTGGTTTCAAGGTTCTGAAAATGTGAGGTGCGCATTAGATTTGAGTAAATACGGTATATCCTGCTTGATCATCATTCACATTGCCCTGTATAGATCTGTCACTGCTGAGATTCTGGAGTTCAGCATATATTATTTTCCTATGATTATTGTTATTTTTTTTAAAAAAATACTTATATACTGCTATTCATTAAAAACTGTCAAAAACAGTTATCAGATGTTACTTGATTACTGCAAGGAAGGGGAATCTTAGTAACAGGGGCTAAATGTGCCTCCCCCAGGCATCCATGTCTGGCCCTTGGGACCCCCCCAGGCCACACCCCTTTCTCCAAGCCCCACCCATTACCAGCACTGCTTTGCACCCTTCTTGAGTGTTGTTACCTGGCTGGAATGTGGCCTTGAACTCGCATGATGTATCTGGCTTGTCTAGATGGGGGGAGGGAGGGGTGTGAGTGTGCATAGAAACTAGTACTCTAGTACTAGTGCTCTGTCCACTAACGTGGCTCCTGGAAGACCACCCAGAAGGGTATGTGGCCCTTGGGCTGAGAGAAGGTCCCTTTTTGCAAGATTACAGAGAAACTAAGCCCAAACTGGCATGGGGGAAGGAGTTGTTCCCCTTGGTCTCAATTCCTAACCTGTTTTAAAGGGCAGGGTCATTGGGCATCGATGGGCCGCTCTGAACCTGCTTAAAATAGCCACCTGTCCTGCGGGTCCATAGCATTTCCAGACTGGAGGCATCCATTCAAACCATCCCTGCTCTGACCCAGACTCAGGCGGAGGCACAGTTCTCAAGCCCAGGGTGATATGGCGCAACCTTTCAGGACTGTCAGGCTCCCCACAATCTCCCTTTTCAGGGGTTGCTGGTGTGCTGACTGCAGCGCTGTGGGCTGTGCAGTCTCTGGACGCAGCCACCTCCGGGCCTCTGCAGCTGGGAGCTTATCGAAGCAGGAGGCCCTTTCATGTCCTGCCGGCCCAGACAGGCAGATGAGCTGCCAGCAGGGGAGGGGGGCTGGCTGGCTGCTGAGCCAAAGCCTGTCCACAGATGACTGTAGGCTCCTGGCTGTGTGTACTTGAGGGGCTCTTGCATCAGACAAGAGGCCTGTAGCATAGGCTAGGGTTGCCACATTTCAAAAAGGAAAAGCCAAGGCATTCCGAAAGTTGTTGAGCTTTTCTTAGAGCTCCTTTCTTACCTGATTTTTTGATTGACTTGTCTAAGATCCAGGACAGAGTGGCAGACGTATGGCAACCCTAGCATACACACCTTCCTTTCAACAACCCCAGCTCCTCGTGCTTGATGGGGGGCTTGTGGGTTAGAGGAATCTTGCATAGGGCTCTCAACCAACTGAAAACTTACATGCTTAATCTGGGTTCTAACCAGTTCACTGATAGGGTTTAAATTCCTTTATGGATTACAAAATGGTTACTACCCACTGTTGGAGGCAGTATGCCTCTGAATTGCCAGGTGCTGGGAACCACAGATGTGCTCAGGGGCTTCGTCTGCCCCTCAGCTGAATCTCAAAAGCTGCCTGCATGGATCAAGTCAGACCTGGCAAAAGTGATCTTTTCCTTCTCCAGCAACCCAAATGGTGGGGGGGGGGGAGAAAAAAGAGGTGCCAAAGTGAAGGAAATAAAGTGGCAGACAGAGAGCGAAGGAGAGGCTGTGTACACACCGGACATTTAAAGCACATGGCCTCCCCCCAAGAATTCTGGGAGCTGTTGCTTACCCCTCACAGAGCTATACTTTCCACCACCTTTCAGAGACTACAGTTCTCAGGATTCTTTGGGAAGACTAATGTGTTTTCAATGTATAGTGTGCATGCAGCCAGAGAAAAGGAGATGGTAGAGAGAGGGGGGCAGAAAAGGTTACCTATCCTTACAGTAAGGAGAGAGCAACCAATCACAGCTTAGGTCCTACCAAAGCATAGGGCACAGACCCAACTAGGATTATTGAAAGGGTGGCATGAGGTTTCTTAGTCATTAAATCTGGGCAGCCTACTTGCCAGCCTCAGGCAAGATGGAATGTGGCAACTGTTGTGTGTGTGCAGGAGTTGATTAAGTGAATGAAGCAGGAAAAGAGAGGCAGAGTGTAGGAACCAGCAGAGATGGGAAAAAATATAAGTTAAAGCAATAGAGGAAGCAACCAAGTATACTCAATGAAAGCAGGGCACCAGTGGTGGTGGTTACAGAAAATCTAATAAGTTCCAAAGGAAGCATGACCTCACAATGTTTGAGAAAACTCTGGCATAGGGAAGATCTATAGCTGAGGAGTGCATTACTCAGATAAAAGGGTTAATTTCTTAAATAATCAGAAAGGCCCACACTGCTAGATTAACCGTGGATGAGCATTTCTGTAGGCATATCATGAAAATGATGGTGTGCACAACAGGCTTGGGGAATAGTCTCACAAAACTACACACAAATCGCACCAGTCTTTGAGCTGGACATGTTTTCCCCAAGTTTTGCTTGCATACATTTCCAGACATA